CCGGTTAATAGAAACCGCGAGGTGCGAGGGTTATTATATAGGATCGGCTGTGGTTGTGTAACCATTACGAATCTGGGTAAATATGCAAATTCGAGCATAGGCAAAAGTTAATTGCGCGTTCTAACTTCTTCATTACCGATCGATCGATCGGTCGCGCAATTAATCTCGACAAATCGAAATTGCGGGTTGACGTCAATGCACTTTCTAAAAAAATTCGCGCAACAATGGCGAGAGAAAAATCTCGATTTCGATGCGATCGAGCGAGCTACTCGGTTTGCTCCTTAATAGGGTCATAAAGCCTACGAAATTCGAAGTAGTTTTTTTTTTATTATTTAATTGATGCATCGCGTGGGCACCGGCCGGCTGTCAAAAATAATTTCGGCCATTTCCTCGTTTACGACGTCGGGTCAGGAAGTCTCGTTACGCGTCGAGGGAAATTAAAATTTTTAATGAGCCAGCCTTTACCTTGAATTCTGTGTTTTTTTTTGTCTGTTTGAGCGAGTATTTGCGCTTTAATAGACTAGCGCCGAAAGTTTTGTATCTAACAATGGGTAGAATGTGTGTGTGTGAAATTTTATTATTGAAGTTCTAACATTTTGCTGTATTTATGGAGAATATTGAAAGAGTTCAAATGAGAATGGTGGAGGAACATAGCGCATCCACCATTTCTTCTTCTTATTCGAAATTTAATACACGGTGACAAAAAAGTACCCGGAAAATTGGAATAAAACTTAAAATTCCTAATCTTCGTTCATTTTTCTTGAATCTCCTTCAAAATATGCTCATTTTGAAGCGATACACATAGTCAGAAGCCTTTCCCAATCGTCGAATCATTGTCCATTAGGCCCTTTATTTTGGTACGGCTTTTAGCTCTTTCAACGAATTTTCTTTGATGGAGTCAAAACGGAATTTCCAAAGTGGCAATTTGAGTTCAGGAAACAAGAAAATGTCACACGAGGCTACATCTGGTGAGTAAGGTGAGTGGTTGATGATACTTCAGACGAACCAGCATGTCTGCATACCGTTTTTGAATGAAACTCATCAGCTCTATCGGAACGAGCCGAGCCTCAATTCGCGGAATGATTGATTGAGCAAAATCAAACGAGCGATTTTACGGGAGATGTTGAGGTCACCTGTTACTTCTCTAATATTAGCATAATGATTTTCGTACTCAATTTTCCTTAATTTATCGCCGTTATCATCGGTTGAAGATGTCGAAGACCGTCCGGAACAAGGCATGTCTTTAGCGATCTTTCGAATGTCTTTAAAAGTTTTGTACCATTCGTAAATATGGGTTTTCGATAAAATTGTCATCTTAAACATTTGCATCGATTCGGCCCACGAAATGTGAGACAAATTAACTCATTGCAAAATTCGCAAAATTCGCACTACTTAGATGAACTGATATAATCAGTTGCTACAAAACCATCAAACTAATTGGGATATATCTCTAATTTTTTGCATACTAATTAAGAACGGTGTTGCCTACATACAGAAACTTGAAATAGTTAAAAATATTAAGTGCATGTAATTTAAATCATAAATTCCGGATACTGTTTTGTGTTAAAACTAGTGTAGTTGTTTTAACGAGAAGCGAATACCCTTTTGGGGACCGCATTAAAACTAAATGAGTTCGAGAGTCGATTAATTACATTTTTGTATACACACTTTTCAACGAATACATATGTTTAAAACGACAAGAAGCGGGCGCCTTAAAGCCAGTCGAATGGTTTCCACACATCGTAGTTCTAGGAACCATTTGAAGCCAGCTTAAAATCGCTAAAGTTAAAGTCGTCGGATCCGTTCCACCGGCACAGTGGGGGGACTTGATAAAACCGCACCGTGACTGTCGCTTCCACCAAGTCCGGCGGTCCGAACGAACGTAACGGTAATCGAAATCGAACCGAATCGCCTTGAAATCGAGACCGAATTATTATTTTTATTTCCATCCGAAACCAGCGATTTTTTTTCGGCCGGAAAATTCGCCGCGAATTTTCGTTGTTATGTGAACAAAAGTGCACTCGAGTGGCCCGGGGTTGTTTTGCAGTGCGCAAATATGGTGGTTAATAAAGTTAGTAACATGTCCGTGCAGCCGAATTTGAACGTACGACGCATGTTTTTCAATAGAAAGGTGAGGCGAAATTTAATTTTTTCCCGATAAATTATTACACTGACTAATAGAGTTCATTGGATACTTCTCACGCTTGTATTGGATAAAATGATAATCCAGCAAAAACATTTTTGTCAACGCTTGTACTTATTTAAACGCGAAGAAAAACAAACATAAAAAGTGTCGAACGCAATTCGCCACATCAATAATTTATTTGCTATATCGCCTTTATAACTAATCCATTAGATAAACTCGAAGGAGATAAAACATATGTATGTAGTATAATAATTGATAAAGCACGCCTCATCATCTCTAATAATCCTCTAGGTAGACGTAGAATAAAGCGAACTCGATATCTAATAATAAAATTCCTTCATACGAGCATATTCAGTTTAGATCTGAATCGATTTAAATGCCTTCACGAAAACGGATCGGAGTAAAAACCATATGAAACAATTTGACCCGAAGATGAATGAGCGCTCGGAGTTCATCCGGTGGAATTTTAATGACTTAAATACGTTGAGATACGTTTCATAAATTAACTCGAACCATAAGAACAAAGATCCCACAATGTGCCATGTGTGTTCTCTTATATTTCGTTTCGATTTTGAAGGAATTGAACAGAAAATGTTCGTTATTTTGGAGCAAAACTGAGGTAAAAAATGGACGAGATGAAACCTAAAGTTGTATATTATTTTTTGCTTTTTATCTCGAGCATGCCATCGAATGCTGGCCGATGTGAAATTCAATCTCGATGTTATTGTGGCTTGTGCCCCAACTGATAACGATCCTAGCGAATTTATTATAAAATCTGCTTATTATTCTCTAAACTTCATTTAAAATGCCTAAGATAAGTTTTTGCAACGTCAGGTCATCTATTCGGGTCATAGAACTTCAGGTTGAAGTCTTTTGTACAAATTTTTTACACATCTGAAGTTAGCAGTTAGTTGAGCATCCCTGATGTAAAATATGAAGAATACGAACAATAAATTTAACTATGTAGTATTCTGGGAAATTTTTATAGAAAGTTATACCCACTATATTTTTTAATGGTCTCACAGGTAAAAGTTTTATTTAGGTAGATATCCAATTATAGAATTTTATACCGCCTGTATAATCCTTGAATTAATAGTGACACCATTTTGGTAAAAAATCGAATTCTGGAAAAAATATCGATTATAACAAACATTGATTGATAAATGAAGAAACTTGTGAGAAACACTCGTTCTCGGTGTAAATTCCAGGCTAACAAATACCTAATCATTTGTGTAATCAAACAAGTACTCAATATTTCGATTCGAAGAAACCTGGTTTATCTCTCGAGATTAATTCCATATACGAATTTAATCGGTTCCTTTGGCGTTCAATAACAATCCGTTATCAATTCTTAACACGCTGACAAACACACAATTAAATTTCGTTTAAACAGACTTTGTTTATTGCTAGGCACTTCGAATTTCGTATCATATCGCTGGTATGTCGTCATCAATATTAATCTTACATCGAATTATTGAACAAATGTAGAGAGAATCGTGCATTATACGCGTGCACCTACGTAATTATAATCCTGTGGTTTATGTTCCTGACTTTGGTTGAAATTTATTTCAGTCACCAACACTTGTAATTACTGATGAGTTATTTATTTATATCAGCGATTTTTGTTTGAATAAGGTAAATCCTGCATCCGGCAGGGAAATCCGCGAAACGTACACCGAATTTTATGAATGAAAGCGGATGATTTATTTACGAATTTCTCTATTGCTTTTGCGCTTTGTCATCGAGTCAACCGCGTAGATACGCCTAATAAATTTTATTTTTAGATTTCGTAATATTAAAACGTGTACGTAAATAAAACACATGTTAGTACCTTGATAACAGCGTCGTTGGATCGATTTTTCCATCATTTATGCAATTTATGTAAATTTATTGACAAAAGAAATACATTCATAGGTTACAGAGATGCCAGATTTGGCCATTTTTTTTTTACTTATTGGTTGCTTAGTGCATTTGTATAATATTAGTCATAATAAATAAACAAAAATTATAAAAAGATTCTTTTATTCGAGCGTATTTACTTAATTTATGACTTTTTTGTTACTCGATTGGTTAATAGTTAAACTTATTAACACTTGACTGATATAGGAAAACGGGTTTCATAAGTGTTATAAATTAAAAAAAATTATGTGGGCGTAAGAGCATTTTTTGAACATTTTAGAAACCGTCTTTAAAATTATAAATAACTGTTTAAATGTTTTTTTAGGGTATTCCAAATCGGTATAGTTTTTTTGTTGGATCTAATCTCGAAGTCGATAGATGATTGAAAAAAATATATTTATTTGTCCTGAATACATAATGGTGTTATTGAGAACTAAAATAAAATATAGCAGGTGAATGGTGATTTAAAAAGGAAATGTCCAATAATTAATTAAAAATGTAAATTTATACAATCTTGCCACTTATTTTGGAACAAATTTAGTTCATAAAAAAGAGTAATTTACAGCAAATTCGAAAGAAACAAAGATTTTCTCAAGGAACCAGAAAACTCTCGTACGAACAAAAATGTAGTATACCTAAACGTTGATTTAAAAAAGAAAAATGTCAATAAACCTAATTTAAAATGTAAATTTATAAAATCTCGCCATTTAGTTTGGAATAGATTTAGTTCATAAAAAAGAGTAATTTACATCAAATTGGAAAGAAACAAAGATATTCTCAAGGACTTTCTACGTACGAACAAAAATTTTGCTATTAGCGGTTAAAAAATACAAAGAAATTAACGATGTTAATAATGGAATTAAAGCATTTCCACAGCTAATTTCGCGCTTTTTATCGTGCCATTAGGTATATTTTCACTGCTCGTTCTAAAACAAAGCACAGCAAAACTAGGAAAAAACCTGCAGTAAGCGAACGGTAACGATCCATCCAAGGCTGCACGAATTTTCGTTCGGGACACGCGAGAGTCCTTGAGGGGACAAAAAGACAAAAAAAATCGTCCGCAGGGCTGGATCCTGCGGCGATGCCCTACATCAGGACATGCAATTGACACGGTAGATACGTGTATAACGTGGGATCAAGCGGCCTTGTGCTTAACAGAACGAGCGACTGTGGGATTTTATTTTTCAGTCAGTACGAACGCGGCTCTCCGGTGATTATGATTGATATCGAATGTCGCGGATTATTTCCGATCGCGCCCGCAATATTTCAATTTATTCAAAATCCGCCCGAAATCTGATGTAGTGCTTTCATTGGACCCGAGTCAAGGTAAGACACCGTGCAAAATCGTTAACACACACCGACGATTGTTCTATAAATAACGCGTTGTATATTTTTTATTGGGTTTCGGCTGAAAATGCGCGCCGAACGCAGGTGAAATTTCCCGGAAATTTTATTGGCTTTGTACGTGGAAATGGGCGATAAAACGCGAAACAAAAAGGACTAGAATAAATATTTACAATGCTATTATTCGGACAATACAGTCGAGGGAACCTTCGGCAGGCCTTGGGAAACGTATTATTTTGCATTATTTCTCTAACGATTTTTTAATGATTTTTATATTCTTGCACAAATAAGCCGAAATTCGCACTATTCAGGGTTTTTTTATTGTAGCTGTTCACTAGAACTTTTAGAAGTTCCTGAAGAGGTACCAAGTGCTATTTTTGATTTTATTTTTGGATTCTGTATGACCTTTTTTAAACAATATGCCAAAAATGCACCATATTTTTAATCATTTTTAATCATCCTGCATCATCCCGTATTTTTTGCATTGAGTAATGGAAATTTTGAAGCTCTCGATCCATATTCCGTAGACTCAAATCCAGTCGTTTTTGAAATAATAAAACTTTTATTAATTATACTATCATAATTTTCTTCTCGAGTTATCTAGATGCCTTTAATACGTCCTGACTACTGTCATTAGTATAAATTTAAAGTTTTTTGAAGCTATTCTACTACAAACAAGTTCAAAAAATCGATACAATTCGCCCGCATCGGTTTAATAAATTTCAATACAAGAACGACGAAACGTTACGTTACCAGGAATTTGAACCTAAAAATAATCTTAGAGCAAACATTGTAAAGCGGAAAAACCAATTTTAGATAACCGAATAGATACTTCGAAATATGACGGCGCGTCTTCAAAACCGAAACGAACCGGCGACAGTGACCTCAACTCGAGAAATAAATGACACAAATCACATTTACTATACCTACTCGAAATACATAAATCTACACGTTACTCACTAAGCATATCTATCTAATAACAAACATAATGAACGGCTAGTATAATTGCTATATTTCAAATAAATCTGCATAAAAAAATTTCCTTGTCGCAAACCAACGCGCCGTCATTCCTCAAACTTTCTCTTATCAGATAAGATAAGAAACGGCGACGACAGGTATACAAGGTACAGTAAAACCTCAGTTTCTAAAAGATCCAGTCGGCGTTCGAATGCCTTGAGGATTATGTAAAAACCGAAACGTGTGTTCCGTTTGTATGTGCGTGGGTCGATCCCAAAATGAGTCGCAAGAGCTTCTTCAGCTTCAACAAGAGCGAATCCGATCTGTCCAAAAAGAACACCAGGATATACGAGTACGATCGCAGTTACAGGTCCAGGCGGGCCGATGTGCCCTCGTTCGAGGAGCGCATCCAATATTTCAGGGTGAGTTTAATCGGGAAATTTTGCGAGCTAAAGGAAAATTTGAAATCCTCTTCTTCTTCAAGTGCCGTGCAGATTCCTTATTGCAGATTTTCCTATCATATGATTCTATTATTTGTAGTGTTTGGAGGTCCTTTATCCATCAATTTTATCCTATGAACATCTCTAAATCGATCCAATTCGAATGCCTTGCTTATTATTATCTACAATTTTAATTTTAGTGTGTTATTAAAATCTTCTTGTTCACGATTTTTCTTTCAAATTTTCGCGAATTATGCAAAAATTACGAATCGAAACCGAGTTCAATCCGATTTTCCAACATAACAATGTTTGCTCTACTTATCTCGAAGACAATGAAAAAATCTTAAGGCTTTACGCGGGTTTTCGAGCAGGAATTTCTCCAAAAAGAATTCGGCGCGTATTCAAATTTGCACCGAACGTAATTACCTATACAACTTGTAAGTACGTGACTCACAAAATAATGTGACTCACAATTAAGGATTAACAATTACGAAAAAAATACGTTTTAACAACCTCTACTGTTAGATAAGATTGTCGCGCTCCATTCGTTATATACGTTCGCGTAGGTGGAATTCGGTGGAAAAAATTATTATGTATACGAAAAATTTTTATAAAATTGCATAAAGTTTCCAACCGAATCGCGTCCTCGATGCACCAATTGCGCGTATTAATTAATAAATTGAAGCAGCTCGTCGAAACCGCGACCCGGATTATTAAATTACAAATCGCCCAAACCGTCGCACATGTGACATATTAATGACGTGAAATAGTACGGTTTCATTCATGCGGATAATCCGGTGATGTCATAACGTAGACGTCGTCACAGAGTCGTACTCGAAATATATGTGTGACGAATTCGCTAATTGCATATACGGTTTAATCCGTTTCGCAGACGGTGTTCGCTCGAAATTGTTACATAACCGGGATGATTCAACCGTAATGTAGAGTTATTAGAAAATCGGTTATTCTTTTTGAGGAAAGGTCATTGGATAATTTGCATGTAGGATAACGAGGTCAGTTTCCTAGAAGCGAGCTTTGTATTCTCTTAATTTAAGATTTAACAATACAAGTTTACTTGCAAATAAACACTTATCACTGAAATTAATTCTGCATCATACACACAGACAGGGCTTTCAATGGTTGGAAGTTGAAATACAATACAGCTCTGTTTATTTCGTGTTTCGAGCACATAACAAGTAAGATATGGTTCGGAAGGTCATTTTACATCTCTGAACACTTGTATCAATTTTTTGCCGATAAGTTATACAGACTCTGATAAATACTATCGCTCGGCTCCTTCGATAATCAGTACACTTTTAGGTATTGCAAAGAGTGAAGTTTATATCTGATTTGTTTCGGTAATGGAAGCGATCTAATTTATGGAAAACGGTATGAAATTGTTGGTAATAATGCAATAGAATTGCCTGATTTTGGGTTTTTTTATCGCAAAAATTTGAAAATGTGCACGATCATTATTTAGTTTAGATCCGCGTTATTGTAATTAATGTGTGGGTAAGTGTTTCAAAAACTGTTGCAAAATATTATTGCGTTTAAACATTTAAACATTATATGTAGTTCTATTTCCACCAAACATATTGGTACTTTTTTTTGTAATACGAGGGTAAGGTGAAAAGTTCTCGGCCGAGGGTGTATTATCCAATAAGCAAAAATTCTCGTTTCCTCTTCGGGAGATTCATATTTAGTTCGTATGGGATAACTACGAAATTTTAAATTCGATTTGCGAGCAACGCTTCAGAACCTTTTAGAACTATCTAGAACCATATAGAATGCGCCCCATAATCTTTTAGAACTGTCTTGAATTAACGATTTTGACTTAATAAGAAGATTAATATAATGTTTCGACTGAAAATCGTGGTCTTTCATTTTCAAGCCACGAACTTTTCACCTTATCCAGCTTACCCTCGTTTGGTAAGCTAACTAAATTTCTATAATAATTACGCAGTATATTCATTTATCGTGAAGTAATATATTTCTGTTTTTGTTAAAGATGGCGAGTGAATCTCCCACGGATAACAATGCGAATGGAAACGAGCCGATAATCCAAACGATTATAAAAAATCCGTCAAGGACGAGTGTAACCACAACATCGGTGAGTATATTTACTATTTTCATTCAATTGGGCGTTTTATTTTTAGTGCGATTCTATAACGTGTAGACGAGTTAATAAAAAAACTGCGAAAACTGAGAAATTTAGTGAAATTAGCAGCGCTGCAGAGGGAATGCATTCGTTTTAAAAGTACCAAACGAAGCAGATAAAGTTTTACAATAAATGATTCATGCTTTATTAATATTGATAAGTCGTTGTGATTCACGTTCAAATCAATTATTAGGTAATTATAACGTGTAGATAATTGCGGTTTGTTTTACCTGTGATGGGTTATATTAGGTAATTCTAGTGAATCTTATAGAATTGAATTTGATTTATCTATGCTAAAAATTAAACAAAGTTTTATAAAACAGACAGGGTCGATTTCATAATGAAGCGAAGTAGGTATCCTTTAACAAAGGGGAGCTTTAAGATAAAATGTCTTTTAACCTTATTCCTAAAGGTTCCGTAAAAGGGTTCTTTAGGAAAATGCGTTGTTTAAAGAGATTTTAAAGCGTTGGCAAACCTGAAAACCGATATAATCGAAATAATATTGGCACATTTTGGAAAATTTATATGGCATTTGAGCTTGTCTTGATTGCAATCACTTTAAAACTGCCTGAAACCCGCTCTAAACCCAACCAAAAGCCATTTTAAAACCGCTTTCTTTTTCATATTTGAAAAAGCCCCTTCATTTCCTATATAGGCTTTTGGTTTTTTTAATATAAATAAATTCTTCTTCTTCTTCTTCGTTTATGCCTCATGAATTTGGCCATTTATAACAAGAAAATTTATATATTTGAAGGTATGAAAACAATTTTTTTAAAAGATATGCTATACCGGCTATACCTTTTATAAACTAAAATTTACGATAGACCAGACAAAATACTTCTCACTAATGTTATAATCACTTAGTTAGAATCGACAAAATAATGATTTATAAATTAAGAGTGATATCTTAGTTGAATTTTGTGTATTACTTATTTATTCCATATGGTCTCTAAGTTTTTAGAATCATGGATAAATTATAAAAGTAAACCGGGATTTTCAAACAGTACGAGTAGAAGAAAATAAACTTTAAACTCGAAAGAAATATTAGCTCACCTATTTTGTTGTTGAAAAATAGCGAAGTTCATAGTGATTGTTTATTAATAATCCCATTGAACGCGTGTGGTATTGCCAATTTTGCAATTAATTGTTCCAGAACATCACTAACATGAACCAACTAAACTGAAAAGAACACTAATAACTAAAACAATCAAATAAATCACTAAAGTCTAATCACAAAAATCTATTTAACCCCGACGTTATAAACAAAACAATACAATTCGCACTAGAAAACAATGGGAATCGGTAACGTTTTTCGAAAACTGGAGGTCGGAGGGGGAAATTTGCGCTCGCTGATAAATACACCGTATCTGTTTTTTTTAGTTAAAATTCCGATCAGCTGACTATTCAGGCCAGAGTTGTATTCGCTCTTTGCATTTATTTCTAACGGCTCTATTTTGTTTGTTATAATTTTTTTAGAAAAATGAAATCTGCAAATCGGTCTTAAATTATGCAAACTACCACCCCTAGAATTTAGTGCCATAAGTTCGAGAACACCCTGTACATACATATATGAAATTTACTTTCTTTTCAACTTAATTTCAAAGTAAAATTGATGTTTAAAACACACAAAAACCGACGTCCTTGTAGCATTGTTATACGAACATTGGAAAAATTACAATTCACTTATTTTTATCGTTATGTAACGAGCGCAACAATAACAACACGATCAAAGTAAATCGAACGATCGACCCGAGTCGGTTTAATTGATATTGAAATTGAAGAAGTATTTTTCCTAATGAGCCCGTTAAAAGCGAAATAAATTTTTAACCTGTCAACCGTACTATATTCCTGCAATAAATCACGACGAAAATTTACATATTTTATTCATTGCATCGAATGGTTTTGCTCGAGGTACGGAATCGGTTATTCGAAGATTTAATTAAAATGTTATTAAATTCGTCGAGGTCATTACATTCCTTTATGTGCGTGAATAAAACGTAGATTAGATAAAACTGGGAACATATGTTACACATTCGTTATTCAACAAACTTTTGCCCACTTACAATTTCATTAATGTAACGGCAGATTTCATAGGAAGATAAAAAGGAATCTTTAATTTTAAAAAGGAGTAACCTTAAGGTTAAAGGAAACTTTTATCTTAAAGCTTTCTTGTGTTGAACGATGCTGTAGGAAGGAGTAGGAAGAAGTAGGAAGGAGTAGGAAGGAGTAGGAAGGAGTAGGAAGGAGTAGGAAGGAGTAGGAAGGAGTAGGAAGGAGTAGGAAGGAGTAGGAAGGAGTAGGAAGGAGTAGGAAGGAGTAGGAAGGAGTAGGAAGGAGTAGGAAGGAATACGAAGATGTAGGAAGGGAGAGGAAGGCTTATAGGAAGGCTTAGGAAGGAGTAGGAATGAGTATAAAATCGACCCTTATGATAGATAAAGCTTGTATTATTTATAAGTAAAGAAGAGAGAATATAAGGACGTTTGAAGATAATAGTTTATGTAATCTTAATTTAAAAAGTTTGCAATGGAAATGCAAACATAATTCTAATTCTGGAAACCGAGAATAAACTGCACGAGAAATTTTAACCCGCGTTTTCGCTGGTATAATGAAAATAAAAGAACAATTTTAGTTTTCCAGAGCAGCCGCATCCAGTTCGCGTCATCCGCGTAATTTCCAATGAACAACGTAATAATAAACTGTCATTGTCTTTTGGCGCGTTTCCAAACGTTTCGAAAAACTTATCTACATCTAAAATTATACTTACACGGAATCGGAATATACATAATATAGACCCGAAAATACGTATGCATGTCTCACCTAATGCCCAATTTTTATAATAGCACACCGTTACTAAAATAAATACCAGTACGAAAACGATCACGGTCCAGTGAAAATAACCGATTCTCTCTACCTATAACGCTTTTTTTTACCTATCGAAATTTTTGTTCAGGTATAAAAACAACGTTTTTTCCAATTAACCTTCTATTAAACTAACCGATTGTTTACTATTCATTTATACTATGTAATTTTAGTTACAGAGTAACCACACGAGTACCAGTACTACACGAGTCAGTAAATCATCCAGCAGTACTTCGACTACAAGCCAACGACGTCAAATTACAACAGATTTGAAAGTAAGCAACTCGATTCTTCTACATTTGCAATAATACCACTACATATTTCAAGTTGCACTCTTCTTATAAATCTTCTTATTTATCTTCTTCATTCAGGCGTCCAATATGAAAAACGATCTCGTAGACTTCAAGAACAACATCAACGACATGAAGAGCAGCTTACCCAACACACTGATGCAATTCAGAAGTTCCTTGGAAAATTTAGTGGATGCGGACGAAAGCGATCCAATAGTGACTTTTCCGGACGATACTCCGGTACCTTCGGAAATGAATTCCCCTACCAGCACTGTGGACACGCTCAAATTCGAACAGAAGACCATGAATAACTTCACTCATACTATGGTAAGTGAGGTAGGGTACACCTGTACACCCTATTTGAAATTTTCGTTGAGAAATGAGCGAATTTTGGTGATTTTTTTTAAATGGCGAAAAGAAGGATTGAAAAGTTTGAAATATTCATGGAAAAGTAATCAAAGTTACCTTGTGGTGCAGATTTTATAAAAAACAAAAAATGAGATTAAAAATTTGGTACTTTTGTTAAAAAAATGGCAAAATTTGCTTATTATTATATTAATTAAGATGCTTATTTCATAGAAATAGCGAAAAATGGGAGTAAAAAAATGTCATATTTTTATTAAAAAAATCAAAGATCCTCTGATGTATATTTCATAAAAGAAGCGAGAAATGAGATAAAAAAATTGTATACTTTTATGAAAAAAATTAGCAAATTTTTATGCAAAATTCATAAAAATAGAGAAAAATCGAATCGAAAAATTTGAAATATTCATTAAAAAATTATCAAAGAAGGTACTTTCAGGTGCATTTTTTTAAAAAGCGGACAAAGGGGTACTTTTTGATGTAAAAAAAACGAAACCTTTTATGAAAAAATGAGCAAATTTTGATGCAAATTTCATAAAAATAGCAACAAATAAGAACAACTTAACCAAATATTCATCAATCAATATAAAAAAAAACATCAAGCTACCTTCTCGTGCAAAATTCGTAAAAATTCGAAAAATGAGAGTGAAAATTTATTATTGGATTATTTATTTTGTGATATTTCAGAGATTTTGAAACACTATTCGATATTGTACCTAAATTATCGCACTTTAATTTAATCTAATTTAATCTTAATTAATTCGCTATATTCCTCATTTATCTCAAAGTGTAACGTGGAAATAGTATTAGAAAAAAAAACCGATTTGTTTGTTTGCGTTATCTAACACTTTTCGATGTGTTAATGTTATTTTTAAATAATAACGAAATGGTATTGTTTGCCCGCTGGCAATGCTTCATTACGTTCGTACGAAAATAAAAATAAAATTCCCCGTAGGTGATTCATCGATGAGAGATTTTGTCCAATATTTCGAACGAGAATGAAGATTGGCAATTATAATAATTGAATTCATGAAATCTAAAATACCATTAAACTCGTATTTTGTTTTAGTGGCTTTCGGAAATCACCCTGTAGCATAAACATTTGTATCATTCGGAGTAGATTCAATTAAATCCATCATTCATATCGTTTAGAGATTTTCAAATTGCGCATAAATATTTATGACAGATCTAAAATGATTTTAATGAGATTCCTATCTGTATCAGAGGCGTGCATATTTTGCAAAAAACACGCAATGCATTTATTTATACGTATAAATTTAAATGTTTAACACTTATTGATAATACCATTAATATAAAAAACTAATTTATTTGTTTTTTATTATTGGATGCGCGCCTCTGGTTTCTGTTACAATCTTCCATCACCTACATACTTCCGAAAGATCTAAGTGTAGGTTTCAATCTTTTGAAGAATATATTGCGCAATAATTCTTCATAATCTTTAAATAACTCGTTGAATTGTAGGCAGAGGATTCAAAATTTTCCATCAATTTATTATGCACACTAATGAATAAAAATAAATCCATGAATATTCATTAATAAGGGGTTTTTGGATCAATATAATTGTAGTATATTCATTAAATAGGGATTTTTTGGATATTGCAGGTAACAAAGGATGGCATAAGCGCGGAAAAGGAAAGCGCCAAAGTGGCGGAAATGAAGAAAATCCGCGCTGGTGAATTATCATATGAAGAAAACAATGCAGCTGCAGCTACGCGAGCCCGAGTCGAATTCGATGGAGTTTCTGCGGAGAAAAGTCAACTTTCTGCTAAGGTAAAAATCAATTTTAATCTATAAGCCACCCACAGTTAACTAATATTCGGATTTTTAATGTACTTACCATTGACGTAATAGCATAAAAAATAACTCAATTAAAACATTCTCGGGAACGTTATTATATCAATTATATCGGTTTATTTATACACTATTCGTGCGTAAACGAATTGAAAAGAACAACCTTCACGAGCAAGGAGAATTACCTATAATTAGAGAGAAACTTATCCATCCACCCTCGTATCGAAGAAAATCCTCCCTATTGAATCGAATAAAAAACATTCTCGGATAAATACATTATTATTCGTATATCAATTATCGGTTTTTTATTATATTATACACTCTATTCGTACGTAAACTAATTGAAAAGATCAGCTTCACAAATATCGAGAATTTCCTATTACTTATAAACAATCATCATTAACTTATCCAACCATCCTCGTATCAAAGAAAATGTTCCCAATCGAATCGAATAAAAACATTCTCGGGTACATTATTATATCAATTATATCAATCACTATTCGTGCGTGAATGAATTGTAAAAAATAACCTTCACGAAAAAGCAGAATTTCCTATTAAAGAGCAACTTATCTATCCACCCTCGTATCGAAGAAAATCCTCCCGATCGAATCGAAAATAAAAAAAAAACCTTGACCGAGACGAGCCGCGTTTCATAATTACAATTCTCCTGTAAAAGTTAAATCGGGTCATTCGACATACGTATGTAATATACCGAGCACTCCTTTTCAGGTGTGCCACATTACAAATGTAAATAAAGATAAACACGCGGTGCGATACGCGCGCATTCACAGTGATATACGATAGCGAATTTTTCTACTGACACCGCGGCGATAATATTATTTTTAATCCGCCCACGCGCCGATCGAGCTTGTAATTTTAATACCAAAAAAATTGCTAATATTTAAAACAAGCCTATCGTTAATAATTATATGTTTTTTTCAAGTGTTTTATACAGAGTTTTTTTTAATGACATGCTAATACTGAAGGGGGTGATTCTTGGAGTCTTTTCTTTAGCTATCGTGTTATTAGAAAACAACCTGTATATAGTCCATGCGCATTTGGTTTGTTGTCAATGTGAATGCGATTTAGGAACTGATTTTCTATAAAGTTGGTTTTTAATATCTAATATTTTTTCCTATGTAAATGATAAATCTGTTATAAACTACATTTTTGTATAAAAAATTGCAGTTTCTATAACTATCTACAAGTATATAGTCTATTCGCTGCGGGTTTCGGATTAAAAGATTATTTATTGCTAATTATTGCGAATGGTCAGTTTCTCATTGAATTCGGGTCAATTGCACTAAATGGGTTGATTCATTTTTAATAACTTAAATTAACGTGTTATATATTTCTGCTATAAATAACTACTATTTATGAGTTCAGTTGAATTTATGGCCTCGTAGCGTTAATATTGATTTGTACAATTCAAATACAGCCGGATTATTTTCGATTTTATTCATATTTGTTTCGAATTTCGTATGAAATTATGTGAATTATGTGAATTTTTTACAGATAAATTGGGCGCAAAGTTTCACCTCTGAATCTACTCTGAATGTACTCTAAATCTACTCTGAAATTGCTCGAATCTGCTCTCAATCTACTTTACCCTATCTTGCCATATCATACAAGCAACAGATAAAATTTGGCTACCGTCCGTCAATTCACCGTAAAAGTATTAACCCAAAATTCAGCGAACGAACTATAATTATACGCAATGAGTCGCAAATACGCGCACGGACTATACCGTTTGATTAACAATTTATAGCCCAAGTAGTACTGAAAATTCCGTGTACATTCCATCGACTTTCCCGGATCGATTTTCCACCCGCGTCGCGGCGTCGCTTTTCCTCGAATTTCCTTCGTCGTCGCGTGCCCGTTTCGATCGTGGCGCTCAGTCTGGCCCCGGAGGGGCGAACTCGCGCCATGCGACACTCTACACTTTCCATTATCTTTCTATTGAATCGATCAACGACTAATTCGATTAATTCCTTGTTGTGTCGACGATCAGGCGAAATTAATCGCGCCGGGAGCTCAGCCGCTTACGCCAATAAGGTAATTGTACCGATTTTATCGGATTAATATCTGCTTGTTTCTTCGAGTATTTGTTGCTTGAAATAGATGTTTCGTCGAATCGAAAGGCGGCGTATTGCATCGCTTTAACAATACCTAGCGCACCATTTAAAACTGTCTAGAACTATTTAGAATTGTCTAGAATCCATTGTCAAGAGACTGTCAAAAAACCATTTAGAACCCTCCACAATCAATTAGAACGGTTTAGAACCATTTAGAACGCACCAGAACCATTTAGAACTATCTAAAATCTTTTAAGACTGTCTAAAACCATTTAGAAAGCTCCACAATCAATTAGAATAGTTTAGGACCATTTAGAACCGGATTAATATCTGCTTGTTTCTCCGAGTATTTATTGCTTGAAATAGATTTTTCATCGAATCGAAAGGCGGCGTATTGCATCGCTTTAACAATACCTAGCGCACCATTTAAAACTCTCTAGAACCATTTAGAACTGTCTAGAATCATTTAGAACTGTCTAAAACCATTTAGAACCCTCCACAATCAATTAGAACGGTTTAGAACCATTTAGAACGCTCCAGAACCATTTGGAACTATCTAAAATCTTTTAAGACTGTCTGAAACCATTTAGAAAGCTCCACAATCAATTAGAATAGTTTAAGACCATTTAGAACCGGATTAATATCTGCTTGTTTCTCCGAGTATTTATTGCTTGAAATAGATTTATCGTCGAATCGAAAGGCGGCGTATTGCATCGCTTTAACAATACCTAGCGCACCATTTAAAACTCTCTAGAACCATTTAGAACTGTCTAGAATCATTTAGACTGTCTAAAACCATTTAGAACCCTCAACAATCGATTAGAATAGTTTAGAACCATTTAGAACCGTATTAATATCTGTTTGTATCTCCGAGTATTTGTTGTTTGCAATATAATTTTTCGTCGAAACGAAAGTCGATGTTTTGCGATCAATTCGCCGAGAATCGGTTTCTGGGCGTCGAGATTTATTTATTTTACGAAGTCATTTGGTCGTGGCACGCGTCCAAATCGTCCCGTTTCGGTTTCGGTTTCTAATTTTTCGCACGTTAATTCAGTATCGAAGATCCGTCCGATGGGCGCGCCTGGGTCTAGGGTAAAGTGGCGTCGCGACGTCGTTGAAACATGTCGGCGCCGTGGCCGGTGCGCGAGGGCGCTTTGAAAAACAAACATTTAAATCGCGGTGACGGGAAAAGCGGGAGAAAACCCGTTCCGCCGGAACTGACTTTCCAATTAATCGGCTGCGTTAATGATGTAAATAACTGGTGGTAATCGAATTTTGTGTTAGATCTCTCTTTAACTGTAGGTACTTTTCTTTTTAGTTAAACTAACAATGGGCAAACGAATGCGATGTTTTATTTGAATAACCTCCAACTTTTCTCATTCTAAAAATACAACGTGTTGAAAAAAATAATAACTCAAACTCGACGAAATAGTAAATAAATCGATTAAGCGTACATGTACCATCAACCTATATTTAACAATAAACATTTTCCGATCTTATGCGCTTTCATCACAACTTTTTACAACGCCATATACAAGATAGGAAATTCTCCTATCGCTCAAACGTTGGAATCCGCCCGATAAACGTCTATTATTTTTTTATCTCCAACAGGAAGCCAGATCGCTGAAGGCCGGAGACCTCAGCCAGCAGGAATCGAAGAATATAGCTCAAACCAACATGAAAGTGACTACAGATAAGTTCAGCAGCGAACGAACCGCCATGGAATCGCAACAACAAAGGCAAATGATGACGTCCAGCGGTTTCTTCAATCAGGAGAAGCACAGCTCGAGCACCAGCCACACGTACACCTCCTCCATGAAGGGACTCAGCACGTCCACGACAGCATCCATGCTCAACGCTCACAGACAGGTAAATCTCACCGCAATTCTTCGCATAAACCAGCAAATAAACTTTCTATCCACTCGATTTCAGTTCCATTTACTAAACGGCACTCCCGAAGAATCCATCCTCAACACGTCACTGGAGGACTTGGAGAGCCTTTCGGCGCAATCGGACTTGCAAGACATCGAACGAGCCAAGCACAAATACTCCACCTACTTGGACGAATCCGTCAAGTACCTCCAGAAGCTGGACCAAGGCAGAGACGCGCCTCTGGTACTCGATAAAATCAACGACGTGATGCGCAAAGCCTGGGCGGTACCGACCTACGGACACGAGCTCGGCTACGCGCTGTGCAACGCCTTGAGGAACAGCGGCGGTTTGGATTTAATCATGCAAAACTGCACCAAATCCAATCCGAACCTCCAATTCTCCAGCGCCAAGCTGCTGGAGCAGTGCCTCACGGCGGAGAATAGAGCGCACGTGGTGGAGCACGGTCTGGACAAAGTCGTGAACGTGGCGTGCGTTTGCACCAAGCAATCGAATTCCGTGCAGCATTCGCGAGTGGGCACCGGCATTTTGGAGCATCTCTTCAAACACAGCGAAGAAACCTGCAGAGATGTCGTGCGATTGGGCGGCCTCGACGCGTTGCTGTTCGAATGCAGGAAAAGCGACATCGATACGTTGAGGCACTGCGCCGGAGCCCTGGCGAATCTGAGCTTATACGGCGGTGCCGAAAACCAGGAGGCCATGATCAAGAGGAAGGTGCCCATGTGGTTGTTCCCTTTGGCGTTCCACAACGACGACAACATCAAATACTACGCCTGCCTTGCCATTACCGTGTTGGTAGCGAATCCGGAAATCGAAGCCGAAGTGATCCAATCCGGCACGCTGGGGCTCGTCGAGCCCTTCGTGACCACCCACAATCCGTCCGAGTTCGCCAAATCCAATCTGGCCCACGCTCACGGCCAGAGCAAAACGTGGCTGAAGCATTTGGTGCCGGTGTTGAGTTCGAAGCGAGAGGAGGCCCGCAACCTGGCGGCTTTCCACTTTTGCATGGAAGCCGGCATCAAGAAGCAGCAGGGGAACACCAATATGTTTTCGGAAATCGGCGCGGTGGAGTCGCTGAAGAAGGTGGCCAGTTGTCCGAACGCCGTCGCTTCGAAATACGCGGCGCAAGCGCTGCGACTGATCGGCGAAGAAGTGCCGCATAAACTGAGCCAGCAAGTGCCTCTGTGGTCCGTGGAGGACGTGGAGGAATGGGTGAAGCAAATCGGCTTTCCAGATATAGTAGGCAGCTTCGTGGACAGTCGTGTCGACGGGGATCTTCTATTACAACTCACCGAAGACAACCTGAAAGACGACATCGGCCTCAGAAACGGCATCAAACGGAAACGATTCACCAGAGAACTACAGCAATTGAAAAAAATGGCCGATTATACCTCCAAAGATACGGCCAACATAAACACGTTCCTCCAATCCCTCGGACCCGAATTTTCCATATACACCTACAGTTTCCTCAACGCCGGAGTAGAGAAAAAAGACTACCTTCGAAACATATCCGAAGACCAATTGCTGGAGGAATGCGGCATCAAGAACTCCATCCACCGGTACAGGATCATGGAGAGCATCAGGCAGCTGGAGAACGGTTTCGCCAACGGTTCCATCGAGGACAGCATGGACAAATCTCTGGACGTGTTCGTCAGTTACAGGCGATCGAACGGCTCGCAGCTGGCCAGTTTGCTCAAGGTCCACTTGCAGCTCAGAGGCTTCAGCGTTTTCATCGACGTCGAGCGATTGGAGGCCGGGAAGTTCGACAACAATTTGCTGCAGAGCATCCAGAAGGCCAAGCACTTCTTGCTGGTTCTCACGCCCGACGCCCTGGCGAGGTGCGTGGGGGACCACGAAAGAAAAGACTGGGTCCACAGGGTAAGTTATACTCGTCTTGTTGCATATGAAGCGGTTTGTAATTGGTGGATTTGCAGGAAATTTGCGCTGCTCTGTCGGCTAATTGCAATATAATTCCAATCATTGATAATTTCACGTTCCCCGATGCGGAGTTACTGCCGGAGGATATGAGGCAGGTGTGCCATTTCAACGCTGTTAAATGGATTCATGATTACCAGGACGCTTGCGTGGACAAACTAGAAAGGTAAATCGCTGTTTAGTGTTTAAAATCACGTTTTTTAATTAACAATCGGTCGCCAAACATTTATTTCGTGATTCAATCAAGTCAAACATGTTTCATCTAATCTTCAATTCGGCGCTTTTCTAGTTTTGATAAGATTTTTGTAGAATCTTTAACCGCTGTTAACGATTGAATTGCATTGCTTTTATCTACAGATAAGTGGAAATTTGTACATAATATGGTCTGTGGGTGCAACAAAGAAAACTTCCATTATAGCCTCACATAAAAAAATGAGAGTGAAAAAATGAGTGATATTGTGGGATTGCAACTTTCTCACTCTAACCACTATTATTTTAATAATCTTTCTTTGTTCAACTCACTGAAGTGGCCACATTGTAAACAAACTTGCTCTTACCCATGTAGTTTTTGCACGAAAGATTTTGTGATAATCAGAAAATCTTAGAGCTGGTGTTACTTTTTATTTTCAAATTCCATAGAGGTATCTTCGCATTCATTTCAATGCTTGAGTGCACCCATATTCGTTATTTCCATAAATGGCATCTAACTATCAAAAACATGTACGCACGTTTTGTTTGTTAGAAACATCAGGAAAAACCTCTCGAGGAGATATTAACGACTAAACAACAACATCAACAACAGCAAAATATTTAAGGAATTACGTGCAAACGTAGATACCTGTGAATTTTGCGTAAAAAGTAATACCAACTTAAAGAAACGTGTTGGCTATTATTAACGTATTTCTCGCTTAATTTCGCATGCCTCACTCCGATACACGGTTGAGGTGAGTGTTAACTTTTTATTTATACAGTTAAGTGCAATTTGTACGCAATAAATGCAACAAAGAAAACTTCCATTAGTCGCGTATGAAGGAAAAATAAAGAGTGATATTGTGGGATTGTAACTTTCTCACACTAACCACAGCTATTTTAATATTTTTTCTTTGTTCAAGTCGAATATTGCAAACAAATTTGGACTTATCCATATGTAATCTTCACGCTTCCAGCAATGTGTCTTTCGAGCTTCCACGTACAAACGTTTTAAATACCTTTATGATGATCTTCCGAAACTGATTCAACCTTTGTATATAAAAGAATCATTCAAAATACGTGTGACTTTTCAGGTTCATGCGCGGAGAAATGAATCCTCGAACGCAAGACGGCCTGCGAATGGGCCTGTCGAAAGGCGACATCACACCGGGCACTCCCTCGAATCCGGGCCTAGTCAGGCAACCGCCCAACTATCAAAGAATGCACAGCAGCGACTCCGGAAAGAGCTCCGATAAGGACACCAACGGCAATTCCGGCCTGACGAGAGATTGACTAGATGGCGGATACGCTTCGGGTACACCTACACCATTACCAAGGTCAGTCTATATCCTTCATCTTTCGTTCATTATACATATGTATATCAACTGTGGATCCTCTTCAATATCACAAGGACCCAGTCATGGGCTCAGTCATGGGTACCGATCATCAGTATCGATACCCTTCTAGTTCTAGATATGTAAGATTTATCTGCTGGATTTAATCGGTTTGGTTTGAACGCTTCCAGGTTCTGCAAGGCGAACAGTCCATCCAGAAACTGGATAATCAATTCCAACAAATTCGCCGGCAATCGACCGTACGCGAGGCGGAGTTCCAACACGCCCGTCTCCTCGCTGGCTTTGAACAGTTTCCCTCCGGTACCGAACAGATCTCGCAGCCTCGACGGTCTCTTGGACACGGCCGAGGCGCCCGCTGAAGCGACTAACGAACAAATTCCGTCCTCGTTTACAACGAACCGTCGAGATGATATCAAGACAGACTTAGACGAAGGTGATAAAGTGACTGATCGAAGCAAAGCGGAGGATTTTTCGTCGGATGCTTTGGAGAACGACGATAAGAGTTCGGTGCACAGCAATTCGAGCGAGTCGAAGAGGAAGAGGAATTTTATGGATAGGTGCGTGAATAAAGTACGGTCGTTTATAAAAAAAGTCGAGTAAAGATGAAGGTGCAAAATAGCGAGGTAAATAACGATTGTTTGGGCTCTTCCAGACGTGGAAACTGGTGCTGTTAATAAACGATCTGGGGTACCGATTTTACATTAGGTTAGAAGGACCAATTACAGGTACTGTCGCCGGATATCTCAGTGGCGCTTACTATTAATAATTAGTATATTTAACATTGCTAATTAAGGTGAAAAGATTCATCATCGTCATCTACTGAACATTTCGCATAGATAATCTGGTCAAACGCAGAGTATGCACGTCTGAAAGAGCTCTTATTGTATGTTATTGTGATTTTAAAAGTCTGTGTTTCGTTATTTTAATAATTTATTATTGTGGAATTTTTTTATTCGTTCGAAGGAAGAATTGTTGACTTGTTAGATTTTAAAATTTTTACAATTTTTATTTATTATCATATTTTGAACTTTCATTGCATTTAGTACGTACATGATACGGAAATGTAAAAAATACATAAACTTATTCACTTTACCTCCAGCTTGAAATTCAATTTCAGTGATAACTTATTAGTATATTTTTGATTGATATGGCAACTAAAATTATATTAGTACAAATTGTGCTTTTTATACAAAAAAAATAAAACTGTATATAATTTATTTATATATCGTGATCATTTGAGCAGCCTTTTTATCGAAAGAGAAAAAGAAACAAATCGTCGTTTGGCCTATTTTTTGAGCCGTTTATATTTAGAGTATTTCATAAGTGTTGTCAACTGTATAGCAAATTCCTATTTAGTTCGACGTTACTTATTTCATATTTTCGTCTTAATGTGTTTTAACATATTTATTTTATTTTAATTTTAATCTAATATCGTACCAAAGCTTGCTTATGCGCAAGTGTATCCAGTATAAGCGAGAGCGATAGGTATTTTTTAACACTTAATTGTGATGCATCATTTAAATCTGTCCCGATCGAGTACTATTTTGTTGTAATTAATTTCGAATGATGCAATTTATTTAACATTTAGTTTGTAATTTACCGACATATAATATTGTTTTTTATCTATGTTATATTTAAAAATATATTTTATTAAGATGAACTGTTTTTTAGTTAATCATAATCTGGTTATTAATTAGTATATAGTGTCTACTAAAGGGTAATATGAAATTACGTTATTATAAAGAACAAAAAAAGTAACATATAAAAAATTTATGTTAATTCCTAGTTAATTCAACAAAGAATAAAATTTAAAACTATTTTATTAGAAAAAAAAAAACAATTAATTATGGCTTTGAAGAGAATCGAATCTACTTAAGACGTGCATGTCCAAATATAAAATTTTAATTTCATGTTGCTAAATACATATAATATAATAATATAATATTTCTTTCTTCCATATAAAACTAAAAGTAATCAATAAAACTTAATTAACGAATAAATGTTCGAAAAAACTGTATTTAACACGGAGTGTAGTCCACTAGAAAAGTTTAAAAAAATGAATTTGGAATTTGAACTCGAGTAGATAATTATAAATTATTTAATTACAATGGCAAAAATCAAAAAGTTTTTTAGAAACATACTTGACAATTGTTTCATTAGTTTACCTCTGAATTACATCAGAATAGCTGTTGACGGAAAATGGTAGAGGTAGAGGCCAAATTATTGACAAGATTGACAGAAGACAGAAGATAACCTCAAAAAATTGACATGGCCTAACATAACCTATACAATTTTAACAAACCAATTTTGATTTAATTTAAATAACCCAAGAATATAATATGGAACTTCAACCTAATTCATTAGAAAACGGGTTAGTATTTTCAAAAATCACTCAAACATCAATTAATCCACCTAATTTACTTCAAGCTATTCAGCCCCGTGCAACGAAATAATCGACGACATCGAGGATTTAATATCCTCGCAAGATATAACACCGAAGGAGAGGTACAGCAGCCGCAAAGGCGTTAAAATCCAAGCAAAAAGAAAAGTAAGTTCAAATTTAATTAAATCGTATTTATTTTACGAATTTGTTACGTTTATCAGGCAAAAAACGAACCGTTTCCCACGCCAGTGCCCCAAGGAGACAACATACCGGGTACCCAAAAAATATGCGTTCAAACGTGGGGCTGCGCTCACAACAGCTCAGACTCCGAGTACATGGCCGGACAATTGGCCGCATATGGATATACTTTAACGGAAAACAAACACGAAGCTGACCTTATACTATTAAATAGTTGCACAGTTAAGAGCCCTGCAGAGGATCATTTCAGGTAAACGACGTTCCTCTATTTAATTTAGTTATTTCACACTTATTATCTCATAGAAACGAAATAGAATCCGCTAAGAAATCGGGGAAGCATCTAGTGCTTGCCGGATGCGTGCCCCAAGGAGCCCCCAAAGCCCAATTTATCCAAGGACTCAGCGTAATCGGCGTACAGCAAATCGATAGAGTCGTAGAAGTAGTGGAAGAAACGCTCAAAGGAAACACCGTGAAATTATTGGGTACTAAAAAAGAGAACGGTAAAAAATTAGGAGGCGCATCGTTGTTGTTACCGAAAGTACGTTTAAAATTATACTTATACTCGATGTTTATTACCTTTTGAACTACCGTAGGTAAGGAGGAATCCGTTGATTGAAATCATTGCTATAAATACAGGTTGTCTCAATCAATGTACTTACTGTAAAACCAAGCATGCAAGAGGTGATTTAGGTAGTTACCCTCCAGAAGATATCGTTGCCAGAGCCGTACAAGCCTTCGAAGAAGGTGTCGTGGAAATTTGGCTAACTTCAGAAGATACAGGTAAGAATCAAAAGTGTTGTAGAGGTTCCAATGATAACATTATTGTGTTTAAAGGTACGTACGGTCGAGATATTGGCACTTCTCTACCTGAATTATTATGGAAACTGGTCGAAGTGATACCTAAAGGATGCAGATTACGTTTGGGAATGACGAATCCCCCTTACATTTTGGAGCATTTGGAGGAAATAGCAAAAATTATGGCAGATGATAGGGTGTATGCTTTTCTACATGTACCCGTACAATCGGCTAGCGATGGGGTTTTAAGCGATATGAAAAGGGAGTATTGCAGGGATGATTTCGAGCATGTAGTGGAATTTCTAAAACAAAAGTAACATAACTGGATTTAAATGTATCGTCGAGTATTGATTTATATTGTACTTTCAGAGTGCCTGGTATAACGATAGCTACAGACATAATTTGCGGGTTTCCTACGGAAACCGAAAAGGATTTCGAGGAAACTATAGATTTGTGCGAAAAGTACAAATTTCCAGTACTTTTTATCAATCAATTCTATCCGAGACCTGGTACTCCAGCGGCGTTGATGCCTAAAGTACCGGCGCAGGAGGTTAAAAAGCGAACGAAGAAATTGACTGAATTGTTCCACTCGTACCAACCGTACGATCATAAAATCGGAGAAATTCAACAAGTACTAGCCACTGAAGTGTCACACGATAAGAAACATTACGTGGCTCATAATAAATTCTACGAGCAAGTGTTGATACCTATGAAAGAGGAGTATATGGGTAAAATAGTGAAGGTCGAGATTGTTAAGGCGACGAAATTTTCGATGTCCGGTCGACCTTTGGATGAAATTAAAACGCCCGGTTTGAGAGAACCTTTGCAAAAGGGCAAAGTTTCTGGTATAGATGTTAGCGAAAGCATCGATAAAAAATGGTTGTATTGCATTGTAATATTATTTATATCGTTTATTTTGAGGATGTTATGGCGTTATAGTTTTTTTTAGGTAATTAAAAGTTTAATATTTTATTAGATTTTCTTTGTAGATCTTCTAGATTACAGTTGGTGCAAAACAATTATCAATGCACGTCACTACTGTCGTCATACTTGTCAAGCATTGTGTCCAACTCTTAAAAATAAATACACAAAATAGATTAAGCTTAATACCAGCAGAATTTAATTTAATACTAACAAGGGATGATAGAAAATGTTAAAAAGAAAAAAAGTAGAAAAAGCAGAAAATTCAACGTTTGTAAACGTTGAATAAACTTATTATTTTCTTATAGTAGGTTGGTGTGCACTGACTGTCAAATTGCATTGTTGCCGTTGTAATCCGATCGGTACTTTAATTTTCAATTTCTTCTATTTTCTAGTTTACTAGTCTTAACAACTAAAGTTTTCTAAAAAAACTATAATAAACAAAATTTAAAATATTTCAAAGAAATACGGTCCTGTACATCGGTTGAAACCCCTCTACAGCGCCATAGATCGCGTTCACCATCGGTTAAAATCGACAAAATAATGATTTATAAATTAAGAGTGATATCTTATTCGAATTTGTTTACCTACTTAGTTACTCCATATATGGTCTCTAAATTTTTAAAATCATGGATAAATTACAAAAATTAACCGGGATTTTCAAACAGTAGAAGAAAATATACTCGAAAGAAATATTAGCTCACCTATTTCGTTGTTGAAAAATAGCGAAGTTCATTGAACGCTTGTAGCTTTGCCAATTATGCAATTAATTGTTCCATCATCACTACGAACTAAGAACTAAAACAATAAATCACTAAAGTCTAATCACAAAAATCTATTTAACCCCGATGTCATATACCAAAGAATTCAATTCGCACTAGAAAACAATGGATATCGGTAACGTTTTTTCGAAAACTGGAGGGCGGAGGGGGAAATTTGCGCTTGCTGATAAAGTACACCGCATTTGTTTTTTGAGTTAAAATTCCGAACAGCTGACTATTCAGGCCAGGGTTGTATTCGCTCTTTGCATTTATTTCTAAATCGAAAAATGAAATCTGCGAATCGGTCTCAAATTATGCAAACTGCAAATTATTATATTAGAATTTAGTGCCGTAAGTTCGAGAACACCCTGTAGAAATAAGAATTTTTTGCGTATTTTTTTCGCTTGTTAGAAATGACACAATTACTCTTTTAAGGGTCAATTGTACACTAATTTTTTTACTCGCACTGTTAAATATATTTCAGATGATAGATAAAGGAATTTACCCTAATTTTTTCAATAATGCCAACCAACTTGGAACCAATTTTTTATTATTCTATTTCAAATACATGTAAAAAATGTTCATTGCATTTGTAAATTATTAATGGTATACACACCTATTCAATCAGTTCTTTTCTTTTGCTTTTTAATCGGCTAGGTACATTAACAAGAACAATTTTAAGCTAACTTTTTTGTAAATTATCAACAAAAATGACAAGAATCGTTTACTTTATTTAAAAAAAGGAATGGTTGGGAAAAACCTATATACAAATATTACAAAATAAATAACAGATTGCTATATATATAAAATAAAAAAAAACTTTTTAATCGAATATTGAATTTTTCTAGAATAATTTGCTTACTTTAAAAAAACCGTCTTTTGGTGGAAAAAATTCACTAATAACATAAAAAATGATAAGATTTTTTTTTAGTTTAAGTATCATGAAACCATCGGAATCGTATGCAAAATTGAAATGCACAGCCAAAGAGAAATATACCCGAAAAATACAATCGACACAATCGTAAGAGTTCAAGATTTTCCTAAAATTTTATTCACGACAGACCTAAAAGGATGAATCGCACACATTCGATCGGAATTCATGATCAATAATAAATTTGCAATTACACAAAAAAAACAAACACTTTCTACTACTCTTTGCTAACTTTGGCGTTTTTCCTTTTGTGTATTCTCTTGTGATACGATTGCGCGAACGAATTCACGATAGACACGACGAAATACATCACCATGGCGATCACGAACGTCTCGAAAATCGACGCGAATATATTTCCGCCGCTTTCCCCGGCATTTCCGCTCGAATTCTTGTGCAACTTTTGCTTTTGCCCGTCCAAAATCATCTTGAAAGGTTCTTGGAGCTTCTGCCCGACGACCGGCACCAGTTTCAACCAGTCCAAAGCCGTCGCTATTAACGTTTCATTGAACGCTATAATGACAAACATTTTTTGTATGTGCATTTTAATGACCGCTTTTCCTATTAGAGTGGCCCCGAAGAATGTCCAAAAAGGTACGAGGAAATGTCCGCACGTGATGCCGGCCAAATCAAACAATGGATTCGGAATCTATAAGGAAATTAAAATTTAGCTTATTTTGTGTTTGGAAAATATAGATAAAAACGTACACTAGCGCAAGCTAATATACCCAAAAATCCGACTTTCTGAACGATCTCTTCGACAAACAGTTTCCCTTTCTCGATAAAAGTCAATTCGGCCTTGCTCTGTTTCTTCTTCTCCAATTCTTCAAACGCTTTAAGATCGTCATCATCGTCATCATCGGGATTCAAGCTACGCATAAAAATACATCAATTATTAGAACTATTCGAAACGTAAACGAAATTATTAGTCCTTTCGCTGAACTTACGCAGATCTTTGAATTAAAGATGACACTAGTTTATACAAGGTTTCGTGCAAAAAACTTAGAATAATGGAACTGTCTAGACCTATTTAGAACTGTCTAGTACCATTTAAAACGCTTCAGAATCATTTAGAACTATCTAGAACACTTCTGAATTATTTAGGACTATCTACAACAATCTAACACGCTCCAGAATCATTTAGAACTGTCTAGAAACATTTAGAATGCTCCAGAACCATTTAGAACAGACATGTTGGACAAATTAAAGAAACAAAAAAAAGTTGATTTTATGTCATGCACTAAAATAAAGTGAAAAATTTGTAAACTAGCGCAATCTTTCAATAAAAAAACCCGCTTTAGTTCAGCGAATGGACTATACAGGGTGTCCCGTGAGTGGATGAGTATTGACTTTTAAAACAAGACATTTTCGATTTAAGATTGACCAAGGAATATTCTCCTAACATACGTCCATCGTGTCACGAGACATCCTGTATATTAAAGTATAATAGAAACTCACCCCGAAAGCCTTGCCGCTCTTGCCATAAAATAGGGCGGCAACTCGCCCAGGGCCGTACCGGCTCCCCAACACATAGCTTCCAATCTTACTTTAGACATAATACTAAGGAAAGTTATTGACATTTGTTTACCGTCAGTGGGACATATTATTCTGAAACGAGAGAGAGATATATTATTATTTTTTATTTCTTCTATAAATATACGGGGTGTCCCAAAATTGCCGGTTACACAGATCTCTACCACGTGTAGTAGAGATCAAAATAAGTCGATTCGACCCAATTTATTGAACGGACAAACGGTACAAGATGACCTCTATTACAAGTGGTAGCTCTGTGCCCCAGGCAATTTTGGGACACCCTGTAGAACTAATTGGGTTATACTAACTCGTCCGGGTAGGGGGGTTCGGGAAAATCTAAACTTCCGCATTCGTACGCCGCCAAAGTTACTTGAGCAATGTGCGGCCCTAGGTATAATAAAAACGTGTGTAATCCAGTTCCTAAACCTACACTAGACAAAATACCTGCAAAAAAAAACGATCGTATTATATAGGGTGTCCCAATGATAAGTAGCCTATTTAATCAGCTTTATAACTTTTAAACGCATAATCAAAAAACGGTTTTCGCATATAAGTATTTCCCATTTGATAAAATTTGGTTACTGTGAATTGAACAGAGAAGACTTTGATAAAACACCCTGTAGGGGTGATACAAAATGTATGTATCACTGTAACAAAAGTTATAACAAAACAAAACCTACATGCGAGACCCGCACGTTTTTATTAGGCGTTTAATAATTATAAGCTAATTAAATGGGCTACTTTTCGTTGGGACACCCTGTATTATCAATGATTCGTTCTTGTTTTGTATATTGGAGTTTCGTACCCTGTCTGGAAAGTTCTTGTTTCATACAATTTATAAATACAGTTAAGAACTATCCTAGAACTATTTTAAGCTGTTCAAAATCACGTGGAATTGTCCACAACCACAATCGTGTTGAACCATTTTAGAATTAACTACTTCCCATTTGAAACAGTTAAAACAACTATCTTAAAACTATTTAGAACGGTTCAAAATCACATAGAACTGTCCAGAATCATTTTGAACCATATTAGAATTGACTATAGGTACTACAATTTGAAACAGTTCAGTACTATCTAATTGTAAGAACTACTCCAGAGTATTCTATTCCACTCCACTCTAAGGGTACGAAACAAGATTCTCCTCAAAAATGCCTTTCTCACCTCGAAAAAAACTCACCTAAACCTATCCAATATAAACACCATAACAATTTCTTATACGCTCCTTGTACTACGTTCTGATGTGGTCCTTTCGTATTCACTAATATGTACAATGATAATACTGAGATCAACAAAACCGCTACCAGTTTTCTATTCGCCAAGACTCTGAATAATAAAAAATAAAAATAAGCGTAAAAATTTGTATCAGGAAGGATGCGACCCTTGTATATTTGCTAACCTGTATCCAAATTTGTGTTGAACTTGAGTAAAGAGTATTGAGTAAAAAGTAAAGAATAAAGAGTAAAAAGAGTATTGAGTTAAAATTAAAGAGAATAAAGAGTAAAGAGTAAAGAGTAAAGAGTAAAGAGTAAAGAGTAAAGAGTAAAGAGTAAAGAGTAAAGAGTAAAGAGTAAAGAGTATAATGAGTAAAGAAACTGAGATAGGACATTTGTTATGAAATTTGTTACTTCAATTTCGAATACAGGATAGCAAATATACAAGGGTCGAAATCCTAGGGTTGCACCTGTTCATAGTTCGTAAAAATAATCATAATCCAAAAAAAATGGTAAGCAATGCACAAATCTTACTTTCTTCCATATGTAGTGGCCAATTCGAAACATTCCCTAATAAAAAATTCAACCGTCTTGAACGGTTTCCTCCATAAAACTAAGCTTTCGCGTTCGCGCTTTTCCTTCTCCTTTTTATGAGCGTCTCCTTGCTTCCTGTGCTTCAAGTTTTGCAATCCACCGTTCGGTTGTTGGGACGTGGAATCTTCCCTTTTCCTCGTATGGCCTGCCATCGTGTTACCTAATCGTTGAAGCTGAAATATACCGAGAACAAAACTATTATGCAACCGATATGTTACCTATATACGTGTAAATAGATTTGTTTTAATGCAGCCTCGATCAGTTTAAATTGGTAAAAGAGAATTATTATTGCGAGGCATTCAAGTCTTCAAGACTATAAAAGAAGTGTGTGTTTTTTTTAAACGTGATTGCGTCGATAAATATTTTTTATAACGGAAGATACAATAAGCAATTCGAAAATTAATGTAGTAATAAATAAATTCAATGGATTAAAGATTAAACTGATTGAAGTAGATTTTAAAATTTCTTCAACTCACTAAATTTTACCAGCTGAAGTAACGTGAAAATTAACATAAATAAACCATTTTAAATCTCTAAACTAATAAGAGGTGTCTCATTTTTAGATAATAAACTATTTCCTGTATAAATTATTATTAAAAAAAACGAATTAATCTAAGAACTTACACACCTACATGACTATTCAAAGTTCCACTATTATTCAAAACACAATTTTCGATATCTACGACGACGAAATCGCTCTTAGTACTTGTACCGATTAGCATGTCAATTAATATTGTTTATCGATCGAATAATTCGAAAACACGAACTATCGTTTAAATGGAAAATTAAGAAGACGCGAATTAAAAAAAAGACCGTTTTGAAATTGCCGATATCGAGCCGTCAAAACAGCGCGTGATCGTAAGGTTATGTGTAAAAATAAATTTTACTTTATTTCGAGTTTAGTTGGCTCGCTAAAGCGTTTTTTTTTAAATGCCTAATTAACGTAATCGGTAATCATTATTAAAAGTACTGAGTAGAAAGCTTTTTAGCAGAATGCTTAATTTGGTACAAACATTGATATAAAATTTGGTGCAAAATTGGTACAAAATTTTCTATAGGTGCGTAAATCAATGGCTACCGAGATAACCAGATTTGAACCCAATGAACATTTCGCAGTAAATACAATTAGATAAATGTTTTCTTTTTAATTTAGCATAATGGAGGTTCTGACCGTAATTTTTTTGTTAATCAATTTGTTGTTCTATCGATTCGGTGTGTCCTTAACACGTATTAAACGAATTATTTCTAATTTGAAACGTAAATAATTACAAATGATATATTTTATGTAACCTTCACTTAAGTACAAAAAGAAAATATTTTGTCACTTTTTTTAAATTCATGCTTCGGTATAATTAATTTTTAATGTATTACAAAACACTAGTTTTGTAAAAATGGTTTTTCCTGATAACTGTTCATTAAAACTTTTAGGGCTTCCTTTTAAAATTTGATTATTTCAAATATACAGGGTGACCCATTTGAAATAACAAAGTTATGGCCACTTTAAGTTAGTCAGATAATTTTAAACGGACCATGAAAACCTAGTTTTGTATAGTTTCCTTTAGTAGTAGATATATGTCTGGACATTATCGATATAAAATTTGAAACTTTTAGGTGCATTAGTAAAGATATCATTGAAAATACAGCCGGTCGTTTTTCCAAAAAATAACGTAAAAATGTTGTATTTTTGGCAAATGGTGTTATATTATCAAAATCTAGTTAAAATAAAGAGCCACAGAATCCAAAAATAACACTGGTAGGAATAGTTCTAAAAGTTGTAATGAACGGCTACCTAAAACGCCCTGTATATATGAAAAAAAAAATAGGTTGTATTTCCTATTTCCTCAAATTTTGATATATCAATTATATATAGGTTTATTACAGGTAAAATTTTTATTTGAATAAAAGAAATTATTTCACAACGCATCGAAACCTACAATATTACACAATAGTAATTAAAAAGCGAATAGGATGTTCGTAATTTAATAGTAGGAAATAAATCAAAAAATTATATAACTATACTCGCTTCGAGCGAATTTTCACAATCGAATCGCATACACGGTGGTTCAAATTGCTTATTCGATTAATTAATAAAATTTAATAACAAAAATTTAATCGAGTGGCGATTTATGTATACACAGAGTGATCTCAAAATGCACCATTCCTCTTAATTCGCTCATCGTTCATTTTTAATTAAAAAGGCTATTTTTACCAATTCTATCAAGAAATATTTTAATCGCAATTTCAAATAACAACTATAGGCAATTAACAACTATCTATTAAACCTTCCGATATAACAAAACAAAGCAATTTTCTCCAATTAAAATAGATAAACTCCTATATGCTATAAATAAAGTAATTGTAATTGATAATTGGAAATAAAACTTACGTTTTTCCCCAAGCTAACGGCCGCGGTGTTATCGAAAAATTCATCCATATTTCGCTTTTGCACCAAACGCGAATCGAGATAATTATAATCGAAAGTCTCGACGATTTCGAACGAAATGCCAACAACGCCACGGGTTCCGACGGTTTTAAAAATAATTACCGCGAAGAGAAATTCGTACGGAAGCTTCCTCGTTTCGTTTCAGCAAGAAAGTTAAAATAACGCGGAGATTAATTTTTTTTGTATCGGCTAAACAACGTCTCGCGATGCCGCAAAAGTTGAGGTTGTTGGCATTAATGAGTTCCGTAGAAACAAAAAGAAATTCAGAACAAAAAAATTGGAAATTTTTGGAATAGTAGAGGAACTCTTCCGTGAATCACCCTGTGCATACCAAATACCAACATGCCTAATATGGGTAAATGCAAAGTTGCGTTTGCAATATTGTCAATTCTACGAGTTGAACAAAGAAAAATTATTAAAATAATAGTGATTGGAGTGAGAAAGTTGCAATCACAATATCATCTTTCTTTTTCTTTTATATATGAGACTGATGGAATTTGTCTTTGTTGCACCTTACACCCCAAACAATTTTACATCTACCTGTATGTACAAATTTACGAGAATACCCATTACCAGCTGGTAAAATGTTCTAATCAACATTATACAGGACGTTTCAATAATAACTATACAAATTTGTTTATATTAAATGCATATCTAGATCAAATATTTTTTACTAGCAATTATTTTTTTGTTAGTGAAATATCCTCTATATTTTAATGTCGAATATTAAATAAACGAAAACCAATTTATCAAGCCAATCCAACTAAAATATGCAAGCAAAATATTTCAAATTAAAGCTAATAATTAGGGCAATACGCGAACGCCATTCATTAAATTAATAAATACTACCTACACAATGAAAGGGGGAATTATAGAAAAGTAAGAATTATTGAGGATAATACTTGAATGGTTCGCGTATTTTCAAACCGAAAGTTTCGATCGATAAGGCCGAAAGAGTATAATTACAGTTTCCAATAAAATATTCAATCCAATACCAATGCCCTTTCCCTTATAGGTATGTACATTTTGTAATAACACATGAAAAATAATATTGTTCTCCTTTTGAAAATTAAATAGTGAATTATTTAGTGAATGTGGGCACATATTTACAAGTAAAAAACCTGCTACTTTTTATTAATGTACCTACTGCCCAACTAGTTCGAATGTTATCTATCGCAATTTGATAAAAAATAGGTTTATTTAAACTACTCTGTAATTAGACACAATTCAATTGATAAGAAACAAACGTAATCACAAATAGTAATTTCCGCTATACAATTTTAGCAACTGTAAGTTTGCGCAGAAGGTATCAATGGTACAAAGCGAAGGTACAAATCGAACAAAAATATTCCAAAAGGTTAGTGTTAAAAAACATACAGTGTTTCCCTGGATGGAGTTGACAAGAGGAACAAAATCGTTATTATTAATTTTGCCGAAGAAAAATCATTCTTTATAAAACGAGAAGTAAAGAAGTACAATTATTTATTAGTTGCACAATACTGTTATAATATTAATAGACTAAAATAAATTAAAAACACTGACAGATATAAATAAAATCAGTGACGTTAACTAAACTGTATTTAGTTTAGATAATTGTATTTACTTACGTTGTAAAGAAGTTTGTATTACCGGATATTAACGATAAATTATAAAAGTTACGAATTTTCAGTTGAAATTTTTCATTAACGTATTATTTACGTATGTATTTACGTAAATTTGAATGAAAACAATTTGTTTTATTAAATTTTGCTCCGAAAATGTACAATAATGGCATGCATGGTACTCTCTCTTGACTCATTTTAAGGCTTCTTTATTGTATTTCAATTTCAGAACACCCGGTACATGATATTGCAAATTTTAATACCGAAAACTTATTATTTCGACAAACAAAATTTTTTTATAAAGTACGACTTAGAGTATGAAAATTTTAAAAATAACGATTTTTTATCTTCTTGTCAACTTCATCCAGGGACACTGTTGTACAGTGTGTGTTGAATCAATATTAAGCAACAATACTAATATTTTTTCATGACTACTGCACTATTTAGGTACAATATTATTGCACACGAGTACAAATAATTATAAATATAGGTACAGGACGTGTCAGTTTTAAACAGAGCCTTCATTACACCCGCAAATTTCCTTAGAATTGCTAATTCAAAATTAAGATCGAAACTTTCGGTTAGTGCGTGCATTTATTTCTACCATTGGCAAAAAAAATGTACTCCCATACCAATTCGCTCTTTGTGCCCGTCGTTTTTTGGCCCCTCTTTCGGCACTCGATCTTCAATTGCTCTTTGTTCAACGTTAATAAAGCGTCCAGCATTTTAGTGGGTCGTTTTTCGCTAGCGCTCGCCGGCAGAGGTTTAGCTGGCCCGTGAAATTTTACAGAATTCGCGTGCAATTTGCGAGTTTTTTTGCCAGTCATCTCTTCGGGGCCACGATTTTTTTTTCGCAAATATCTACAATAACTGCATGGAATGTTGTGTTAGTGTTAGTACAACCCTCGATATTATCTAACTAATTAGCTATATAAACGTGATATTTGTTAATTTGTTAGATACACAATGATAACTAATAATAATAAATAAATGGTAATTTTACGATAAGTTATTGGGTGATTAAAACAGTCGTAAATTCGAGAAAAAGGCGGAAGGAAAAAATTTTAAATTTTTGGCAAAATTTCAACGTTTCGTCGAATAACATCGGCTTTGTTTTATAAACGATATTTTACAGCAGCTTTGTGTTAATTTACGTGACGAAAAGTTATTAAAATCTCACAATAACCAACCAGTTTATTCCCGTCTAATAAGGACTGCTTAAAAATACTGCCTGGTCTTCAATGTACAGGATGTCCCCCATAAGAACCGAAACAGAACAGGAGCATGTATAGAGGAGCCCAAAGTATGGTGTTTAAACCAACTTAATTAATAATATAAAGTTACATTCCTGAGAAGTTGTGCAAAGTGTTACAAATAGTTACAAATGAGTTACAAATTAAAAAAAATCGGTAATATTTAAACTTAAAACAACTAAATTTGACATACATTCTGAGTGTATTAAGAGATCGATAATTAGGAGGGATCAATTGAATTAATATAAAGGGTTCGTTTAAGGGCGATAGCCCTAAAAATAGATCTAACGATAGCCCTTTAAAATGTTACATAATTTTTTAACTGATGGACGATTTAAAAAAATATTAGTTAATTTCATAGGTATTTTCATTTTAAAACTTTTTTATTTCGTTTATTAAATTCTTTATCCTCTTGATGAAAAGCGCTAAAAAATATAGTCATGTACCTACACTATCAACGTTACTTAAAATTATGAATAATTCAAAAGTTGGCTGTATATTAAGTTAAAGTGTTAACAACATATTATGGGCTCCCCTACAAGCCCCTGCTTTGTGTCGGTTCTTATGCGGGACACCCTATATAGTGAAACAACCACACAATACTGTTTAATGCAATTTATATCACTAACTTACCATAAAAATACCAAATACAAAAAATTAAACAAATCTCATAAAAAAACCAAACTAAAATCCATTTCTCCTTAACCAGTGTTAATGAAATTTATACCAAAAAAATCTTAAACAATTCAGTGTAGCCTTTACGTTATAAAAATAAGCCTACTTATATAATCACATGAGATGATTGAGATACTTAAAAAAGGGACACGTGTTTCAATTTACTAAAACAGTCCCAACAAAGCCTTTTTAATACAAATAATTAAAACATGACAAATACGTGTCACAAAGTTGGTTATTTTCGTTAATTTCGCTGGCTCATTATGACACAAGCAGAAGCTCGACATGCTAAATGCAAAGATAAGCGAGTAGATAAAATTATCAATGGAAATCTTGTGAATTTTTCTCGGTAAATTATTCTATTAATCGAAAAATGAAACTTAACCTAAAAACATGGTGCAGACGTTTAGCTGAAGCGTGTGGACGCGTTTAAAAGGCGCCATTTAACTGTTTGGCGATAAATAAGACTTACCTTTATAGTTTTATGGAAGGAAACACACTTATTACGCACATTACCGTTGAAAAAAGCTAAGAAAAATTATATCAACCGTGAACATTCACTACAAAACTGTCATCATATCGGACTATCAGCAGATCATAGATCAACGTTCAAATCACAAAACACTAAAAAAACACGAACTGTCAACTGTCACCCACCGAAACGTCAGTTCACAGCTGTCACTTACTGAAAATAGGCAACACACATTACAAATTACTATAAAGAAATCAGCATACCTCCACTTTATAGTGCAATATTATCGAGAACAGATCCGTACTCAGACAAACAATTTCAATATTAAACGTATATTACTTAAATAAATTAAAACTAAACTAAACATAAAAATAACTGGAAGATATAAAACAGAAAATAAATTGAAATATAATCGAGATATTTAATATGAAAACGAAACTAACGTAAACACACAGCCAATTTTGAAGTAATTTATATACAGTTTTTTTTGGAAAAACGCAAGATCGTAGAAATAAAAATCGTAAACGACACTTTTCAAGGAAATTTTGTTCATTTAATTTTTGTACTGGTAATCGTAAAGCTGTATGCGAGATTAAGGTAAACAGTAGCGTAACAAATATAATATGAAACTTACATCCTAGGGACTATTCATTTACGTATATTTATTACAAGAATTTGTGCGAAAAGGAATACTTGGAAATGTGTTTTATTGAGGTATGTTAAATTATTTTACTTGCAATGCAACAATTTTAAACGAATTACTTATATTTAACTTTCTAAAATAAAATAAACCGGCCAGAATAAACTGCATACAAAACAAACCCTTTAATGTTTTTTATAGTTCGGCGAGTTTTCACTGTCTAATGTGCCAGTGTCATTAAAAAGCTTCTTCAATGTGTTTGAAAATATTTTTTATATTCTATTTTAGACTCAACTCTAGAAATTTACTCGCTAAAATAAGTGAAAGTAAACTCTCTACACTAACTATAGGTACATAGATAATCTTTAACTATAACTTCTCATAAAATCAAATTTGGTTGTAATTGGATTCGATTTACCCTTTTACGAAAATTTTAAATTTAAACGATAATTTGGGGGACTAGATTCGTATATTTTTTATGTTAACACGTTTGCATATAGCCTCAAAAAATGTACATTTTATTTAATTTCGAAACGCGTCAACATAAAAAACTAAAATATAACTAATTAGTAACAAAAATGCGCACAAACAGCCTAATGTATTTTTTGGGCGTTTGTTAAAATGAGTTAAATGTTAAATTTTGTGTATTAGATAAGTGTTTTTAAGGACTGGTTTTGAAACGTACAAAACTTTGAAACTATTAAATTTTTAATAGCTCAATAGACGCGTGTTTGTTGTCGATACTTCTCTTTTAATCATCGAATATTTCAGCTAGCGCTTTATTCGGGAGTTTCGTCTGTGGAGTACCGTAATCAATCACGACTCCTTCGCTGTTGGGCCGAAGGGCGTCCGAATCGATTTGGAGTTTCGTCTCCACAGGACTGGCCACTAAACTTCCGTGCGGTCCTTTCATCAAATGCACCACGTTCGATCCTAAAAAAACAACGTTAAACGTTTTCAATAAAATTACGAATTCACGTCTTCATTAAACGATTTGTTCCTATAAATTCAGGCTGAGTCATTCCATATAAGATATGCGCATTAATGATAGAGATAGCCGGAGTTTTGCGGTAAAAACTCGTTTCGATTTTGCGCGTCTCTCGCCGAGTGCGCGATGGCGATTTTTGTGTACTTGTATCTGTCTGGAACATTGGACTGATGTCTACAAAAACCGTAATTCGATGTGTTTACCTATATTTTGATTGACGATTACTAATATTACTCGAAATCCGGTCGTGTAGAAAGAAGCAAACCAGTTATTGCACGACATCATAATAATCATGACGCTTCAGATATATCTAATAATTTCAGTATTCTATTACCGGATTAATAATATGTATACAGAATGTTTATGAAAAACATGCGATAAATATTCAATGGGTCGTTTCTTGGACTGTTCCAAGAATAATTCTTCACTAGTCCTAGAACTAAGAAATATTTTGTGCTTTGATGATTTTGGAAATCCATGTTGTTTAGGAGATACAGGACGAACAACATTTTCGACAATATCAATAGTTTATTATACTAGCAAACATGCAGATAAATTTAATCTACAAGAACTGTTGAAAATGAGTACCTCCATCTAGAATGCAATTGTCCTCATTAAGAACTCTTTCAAAAATACCAGGGTTATTTCCTATTGAGTTAAACCCAGAAATTATTCGAAGTCTTTTCCACATTTTCTACTGGAGTAGTATAAACTAATTACCTTAGATGGCCACGTACGAAATAATCCAAGGGGTTTAAGTCCGGTGAACGAGCAGGCCTTTAATGAGGTCCATCTCAACCAATCCGGCGATAATTTTGAAAATATTAAAAATGGTTTTCTCCAAAATGTTGTTCGTCCTGTAGGTATTATCTTCGAAACAACAAGGAGTATCAAAAATCATTAAATGGCAAAATATTTGTAGAATAATAGTACAAGGAACCTCAATTTTACGAGTTGAACAAAGAAAGATTATTAAGATAACAATGAGTTAGAGTGAGAAAGTTCCAATCCCACAATTTCACTCTTTAATTTTCCTTTATACGAGTCTAAATGTAGTAAATGTTGTACTCATGTACCATATTGCATACAAATTTGCACTTACCTGTATATTAAATTGTAAATATTTTGATAATTTGATGTATTGGAAGTATTTTTAAAATGAAAGTTTAGCATACTTTAGCTTTAAAACTGCAATTTTGTAGTTTTATAGAAACCATCTAGAACGTTCCAATAATATTTAGAACTGTCTAGAACCATTTGAAATATCTAGAATCATATAGAACTGTCTAAAACTATTTAGAACTGTGGAGAATCATATAGAACTGTCTAAAACTATTTAGAACTGTGGAGAATCATTTAGAACACCCCAGAATACTATCTATCTAGATACTAATACTATCTAGAACACTCCAGAAATATTCAGAACTGTCTAGAACCATTTGAACTGCCTATAATCGTTTAGAACTATCTAGAATCATTTAGAACGCTCAAGAACCATTTAGAACTGTCTAGAAAGCTTCTAAAATTACGCATTTTCGAAAAACTCACCTATAAGATCCTTCTCTCCAACAGCGTGGTGATGGTTCTGGTGGAGCACCTCTAGCACCGGAGGTGCGCTCAAACCAGCCTCGCTCGACTTGGATTCGCCGGATTTAGCTTTCACTTCCGCCAAAATCCTCACGTCATTAGGATGCACCGAAGGTTTCTCCGACGAAACGACCTCATCGAGATCATCCCCGTCCTCGTCCTCGTCGTCGTCGATCCTCCGCGAAGAACTCTCCGGCGGATGTTGTAAAATTCCCGTTAGAGCAGCGTGGGCTCGGACGTCCTCCGAGCCGAAACGGACGGGCAGATCGGGCGGCGACGAATCCTCGTCGATTTTGAGGTTGTTGTCGCGGTTCTGCTTCAAAAACAGCCGGTACAAATCGGTGCCGTAGTCCCGTTCGATTTCGTTCTGGTGGCTCTCGAACCATTTTTTGTACTTTTGCTTTTTGACGTCGCCGTCCGACGAAGGGAGGCGCTGCGTGTTCTTCGTTTCGAGTATGTCCGGCACCTCTTCGCTGTGCTTGTTGCTGTTTTTGTCGATGGTGAAGAGGCTTTGGGGTAGTTCCAAGGTGTGACCGTCGGTGATCTCGCAGTCTTCGGTGCGCACTTTATCGCAACTTTGGCACGAACAATTCGTGATGATTTGGACGCGTTTTTGGAGCACCGGCAGTTCCGCGTTTTTGTCGATTTGCTTCAAATTGACGTGGTAGCATTTGATTTCGGAAGGTTGGCAGCTGTCGCAATACGGACCTGAAATTTATATGAAATGAATTTATGTGAAATTTTGTATTACGCAATGTTAGATATACCAATCAATTCTCCAGGCTCCGCAGGTTGCGTCTTGGGAATTGAATAACTATAGCAGGCTCCCACGCAAACGTTATTGTCGATTGTTACCGATTCATAACCGGGAGATGCGATTATTTGCTGTATAGGGGTGAGTTGACACCATGAGTGCATTTCCGGGTACAACACTATGTTGTGAACCTACGAGATAATAGAATATTCATGTTAGTTATTCATTATAGGTCACTTTCAGTTGGTATTTCGTGACTGTTGCAAGTATACGAAAGCTTATACGTATTCCATCTGACCAGGTAATTTGAATACTGCTTGTAAGAAAATGGTTTATTTTTATTTTCACGCTTCGCCGGCTCGCATGTACCCATTTCGGACGAAATCGCATGCGAATATATATACGTACCTTGTGCTCTCGTTCCGAGGATATGCCCAGGAAACCGGCAAAAAGTAAAGTAAAAGTTACACTCCTGGCGCACCTAAAAGAAAAAAAAAATTGTAAATATTAAAATATACACATGGGTGTCACTTTGTTTGCAATATGATCAATTCTAATAATCGAACAAATAAGGTTTATTATTATAACAGTATGGTAAAATGAGGAAGAAGCAATATCACTATTAATAGTTCATTGGAAACTTTAAAAGAAATTGAATATCTGGGCAAAGTTGTTTTAAAAAACCATAAGTTCATAATGAACAATTGTACACAGTAAGAAAGGGTAAAATAAAGAAGAGCAAAAGTGGGTAGAGTGTAATCATGAGAAAAATAACGCAAATACCTCTATAGCAAAAACTCAATTCCCACCTCTATTAATGTCAATTTTGACAGATTTTGCGTATATATCATCTAACGTATCTTAAAGTCCCTATATATACACTGTGTTTCATTCCAGATCGCAACATAGGTTATATAGGCTATAGGTGCGATAGAGACAACTTCCATTAGACATTTATAAAGGAAAAAGAAAGAGGACATTTATGTCATTGCAACTTTTCATTCTAACAACTGTTATTTTATCAATATTTCTTTGTTCAACTCATAGAAACGACCATGTTGCGGTCTGAATAGAAGCAATCTGCAGTATTCGCGTACAATGCGAAAAATTTAGCAATTTATCTTAGATTAGAGTAGGGAATTCTAAATTATATACCTAATCTTATTATATGATATGGGTAAGTGCAAATGAGTTTACATTGAAAATAACAGTGATTAGAGTGAGAAAGTTAAAATCACAGCACAATGTTAATCTTACTCTTTCCTTTATATGAGACAAATGGAAGTTGTCTTTGTTACATCTATTGACCGTATTGTTCGTATTCATTTGCATTTATGTGTAAGTACCTACATGTAGAACGAGCGATGATAGTTAAAAATATTATTTTTACAATCAATATAATATGTTAAATTAGTCTTGTTTTTCGAAACGTCCCGTATATATTCTATCGTCAATCGAATTCTAAACTCTATCGATCGAGCCGGCCGAGAGAGGCTGTGTCGTAACTCGTAACAGAATCGTTCATTCATAAAATTCGGATTTGATTATGGCCAGCCGGCGTTAAATCTCTTGATAAGTGGTACGAAGATGGAATCGCCGGAACCCAGTGGCGTACCGACCGCCCACCTTCCTCGCCTCCGTATAGGTACTTCCATCATATATGTATATCTATATACATCATTCGTTCGATGGAAGATGTAGAATGTAACCAAGGCGTTTGTTGATCAAACTTTCCGATATCGGACAATAGAAATCCCGGTAATTTATTCACTCGGCATTCGTCACTTGAGTATCTTTTGCAATTCATTCACATATTTTTGACCATCACTAATTCATTTAAAATACACACAAGTGTAAATTTGTACGCAATATGGGTGCAATAAATAGGTACCACGTTAGTTGTTTTCTCATGTAAAGGAAAACAATTATGTTTTACTTTACTGCAAATAAATTTGCACTTGTATGTTAAAATTTTAATTCATTAGCCTTACAATAGACTTTTCTGACATTCCAAAAATTCCTTTTTAACCAATCCGGCTATATGTAAATCAAAGTTAGCGTAGGAATAACCAATCTTGAACGTTTGTATAGCTTAAAAATTCGAAGCAATCAATTCGTAGGGGTACCTCAACAATGCCCATCCAGGTGTTTGATAGAAGATAAATCTTCGTATACCATTAAAAAACGCCGTTTTCGAAGAATGGTTAACTGACGCTTACGTTTTTTTATAAGAGACTATTTCAGGACTTTGAAGACGGTAAACTCTCCTCCTGATGTAATGGTCGTTTTTCGACAGGAGGCGGTGTCGTTTCTAGTTTGAGTGATGTGCGTCGATAATTGGTACTGTCGCCTTAAATTAATTGGTGGGTTCGACGTTTTACAACCATGACACACACCACACACCGCCCGGCTCATCGCTTATCGCCGCCGGGCTTTAGCCTTTTAATTTTCAATTTGAATGGGATTTGTCTTTCGAGTGGTCCCCTGACGAAATTACGACGAGATGAAGAGTAGACGATTCGGTAATTGCATCGCGAATTTGGTAAATATATACGCATTTATGTACCGATAATACATATCGACCTATACGTATTTTACATACATACATACATACAGTGAGTAAGTAACAACTTTCTCGTTTGCGGTAGATTTCAACATGACCGCCGGTATATGAAAATGAAATGCAAAATATTTGTGTATCGTATCATTATCAGTTTCACTCGATTGAATACTTTTATTGCGTTGCATTCCGTTGAGATTCGTTTGTGAGCGTGATTGCAAACGAAATTAATTAGCTACGTATATAGGGTGTTTAATAAACATTCGGCAAGAATTCAATTGGTTGTTCCTGACGGGACTATTACCTAGGTATCAGAATATTTTGTCCTTTGATGACTTTTGAAAACCCCTCTTCGTTTCGAAGATAAATACAGTGAAAGGCATTTCAAATTATCTCTGGATTGGTCGAGGTGGGCCTCATTTATGACCCGCTCGTTCACCGGATTTAAACCCTTTAGATTATTTCCTATGGGTCCATCTAAAGTCATTAGTTTATAGTTTATACCATTCCTGCAAAAGTGGAAAAGACTTGCAAATTTGAATAATTTTTGGCTTTAACTCAATAGGAAACAACTCTGGTATTTTTGAAAGAGTTCATAAAGATTGAATATTTGTATCCTAGCCGGAGCAAGTCATTCTCAACAGTTCTTGTAGATTAAATTTACATGTATTTCTTTTCGATTTTCGAAAATCATCATCAAACGAAAAATTATTCTTAGAATAGTCCAAAGAACAACCAATGTTTAATAAACACCCTGTATAACTCGTATATAAGTAGCTATACATCAAGTGTTGATTTTCAGCGTGAAGTACTTTGAAGAGTTTTGTGAATGGGCACAAAAAATTGCGATGTTTACACTAACAATTATTTGTTTGTACGGATTGCTACCTTATAATAAACTCACTTTAACGATTTTTAGATGGAATCCAAAGGTGCTACCTATTCGAACTCACTTTAATACATAATAATCGTGGGTACGAATCGATTCTGAATCTTATCGATACCACCGGTTTCGCGTTATACTTTATATACGTCTAAATATAGTCGGTTTTATGGGATTTTCAAAGAAAATAGCCCGTAAGTTGTAAAACTAGTTGCGACTGAAAAAGGCGAAGAAACAACTAAAAGGAAAAGAAAAAAAAATGAGCGCCTGTAGAAGATCGACTCGAAAGAAAAGTACAATGTCGGCGTTTCGCTGTAATACCCGCTGAACTGCATTTAATCTTATTACGCATCATTATCGTTATTATTATCAACGTGGTTGTGCGCTGCAGGTTATGTACGGCAGGAATTTTTCGAATTCCACGCCGTGTTGCTGCCCTTACGTCTATAAATGCGAAAGAAACGTGACCGTTTTGCGAAAAATCGTTGTTTACCGTTTCCAATGCGATCAAATATACATATATCGCTCGTTGGAACCCTATTAAATCAGGACTTTTCCCATCCAATTCGTCTGGTTTATGTTAAATCAATTGCCCAGTGATAGAAGATGTATTGTGATCAAATATCCCTCATTGTAAACCTATATAAGATCAATACTTTTCCCATCAAATTCTTTCGGTGTATATTAAATCAATTGCCAGTGATAGAAGATGTATTGTGATCAAATACCGCTCATTGTGGAATATCCTATTTAGATCAAGACTTTTCCCATCCAATTTGTTCGATTCATCATGTTAAATCAATTTCCCAGTGATAGAAGATGTATTGTGATCAAATATATGATTCATTAGAAACCTATAAGATCAATACTTCTCCCATCAAATTCTCCCGGTGTACATTCAATCAATTGCCAGTGATAGGAGATGTATTGTAATCAAATATCGCTCATTGTAAACCTATAAGATCAAGAATTTTCCCATTAAATTCGCCCGGTGTATTGATGTATTGATTTGCTGAAAAATATGCGACAGTGTTTCTTTTGATTCATCATAATTCATATTTCGCCGGCTTAAAAGGGAAATGAAATTTCTTTGAACATTTTATTAACAAACGCCCAGAAATCCGCTAAAGAAAGAAGATAAAAAGATAAGAAAGAATTATATGTAAGGTGCCAACAGGATATCGTAAATTGGTGGATTTTTGTATTACCTATCAAAATATTAACATTTCGGTATACGATGAAATATACAAACCGATTAATTCATTATTCATTCATAAGAAAAAAAAACCATCTATCAGATACAAATCAAATTTACATAGACAGATGTTTTATCTCATCTTCCATCTCGGCAAAAAATTATAAATAATGCAAATAACACTATACCGATGATTGTAAAGAAGTCGGCCTTCAAATAATATACATTATAAATACATTCTTGCAAAACAACGACTTTGATATGAAATATAACAACGATATATAAAATTTCTGGAAGAAATACAATGTTACCTAAGCGGAATAATAAAATTATTTCCTCCACAATTCAACATCGAATTAATCCAGTTTAATTTAATTAAAAAATATAACACACAAATAAATAAAATCCCTACAATACTCACATAGCTGAATGGAATTTCGACTGATTTTCTGTCGCTTGCACTCGTTCAAATTACTAGCTGGTGGATCAAAATTTCACTACTGTCAATATTACGGTCATCCTTTTTCCCCGTATACACGAATCGCCCGTTAAATATCTAGCTGGCTCTCAGTGAAAGGTCACGAAACAACTGAGGAACTGAGAATCTTATGTTCGACTATGGTAACTTGATTCAAAACACCTGGTCGTGGTAGGTACAAGGCTTTACGAGCGGGAAAATTGAATCCAACCGCTGAAAAACTTCGATCGCGCGAACCCTGTAAAAAAATTCGCATTTGCATTCTCTCCGCGAATTTCTTTCGGATAATTTTTTTATTCCGAACTTTACCCATATGTATAGGCATTCTAATTTTTGTTAAGTAGGTATCGGTTGTTCATTAGTAGGTAAATATTATTTAATTAGTAATTAAAAAAAAACTTTTAAAGGTAATTAAGTTTGCAGTTAGGTATGTATGTACATTTAATCATTACCTATCTTTTTTTTATTGCTTTTTTATGTTTGTTATATTTAATAATACAGGGTGCTCCTGGTGTAGTGATCTTCCCAAAAAGTTCCTCCAGTTCTTCTATGATTTACAGGTAATAGTATGCACATATCTTACACCTTTTACCACACATAATGAATAAATTTTGATATTAAAAACCAATAAAAGTCGGCATTTTCAACTTTGAGATAGGATAATTTGTCAATGTGATAACTTCCCTAACAAAGTTATTCCTAAGCATACCCATCCTTAAGGATAATTTCCAGCACAAAGAATCTCATAAAAATGTTTCTGGGCGCAAATTGGTTAAATGGCGTTTTGAATGGAAATGGTCGTGGAATGGTCGAGGATTTTAGCACGCCCTGTACAAGCACGTGTCCTACTTTCTGTGGGAATGCGGTCTTTCTTTGGTTGTTTTTCATTGTGCACGGTCTTCGTCGGTTTTAACCTTATTGTTTTTCGTTCATTAAAGTCGAAAAAAGTGCGCGTTTTATTTTATTTTTTTTTCTCCTGTGATTAACCGGACCCATTTCGTCGAATAATCAAGTGCGAGTATTTAGAGCTGCATCGAATATCGGCGAGTAATAGCATATGGTGAGAGGAAAGGTCGATTTTTACTTGAATTTGTTTAACAATAAAGTTGAATTATTTCATTTACTTTCGTATGATTTATGAATTTTCGTCCTTGAAAATTTGACATTAATATAATTAATTATGAGACACCCAGATGTAATTGAAGAAATCTTGGCAGCATACGAGTAAAACTGTTATTATGCGACTATTAAATTGCGATTAAATTCGCAAATAAGTATCATTCCGATTAAACTTAGAGCGACATTACGAACATCAATCTATCTTATCTACATTTTGAATATTATAGGTTTAACAAAGGATTTCGTAGGTGTGAAATAAAAATTTCTACACTCGCGTAAGATTAGTCGCGAAAATCTGAGAGATTGTTGAACAGTGTTGAATTTTATTTGTGTTTTTCATTTCACGTGTTGAGAAAATTAATTAATAAAATTAACAATGCCTGCGTGTGTCATATAGGGTGTTTTGTTTGAGTGTTACATTGCAATAGCGATTCGAAGGTAATGTATTTTAAAATTATGTGGATAATAATTTTACAGGGTGTTTACAGGGTGTAAAATAAATTTTACAATTCGTTCTTAGTAAAGCACTTTACTTTTACTCTCTTTATAAAAAAGTATTACTATAGTAACAAAGATTTTTGCACCTCATTACACATTTTTGTCTCATTTCATCTTATTTTTTTTTCATTTATATTACGATTTTTAAGTCCCATAGTTTGTAAAATTTTTAGCCTACACTATTAATGACAAACATTATTTTCGTACAGCATCTTTTTAACATATCAGGGTATTTTCAATAAAATTCTATTTATTAATCATACAGGGTGGAAACGCCAAATGAAATAAATTCATTATTTCGGTTACTGTATACATATTTATAGAAAATCCCGAAACACGTCAAATTTTAATAATAATTTGACATTCCTCAACGTCAAAATGTGAGCCCTATCTTCAACCCCCTTGAAATAACAGTTACAACCCCTATTTTTTTAAATGAGAAGTAGAGGCTTGTATCGTTTGAAAGGTCTCTTCATTCTCTATCCAAAAATGTTATTATTTTCCAGTTTATTTTAAAAATTAACATTAAAAAAATAAAATCTGATTTCCCGTTTTAGCCTTAATAATAAACTAGTTTGTTAAAAAAAGCCTTAGCCTTTGGTTTGTAACTACAACTGCGTGAGAGTATAGTTGTCAGTGTTATAATTTTGTTTACACCCTGTATATGTGTGAGATGTTAAGATAAATTCCAAAAAAATGGTTCTTTAATTTTTCTGAAATCATCAGAAAGTATTTTAGTTGTAAAAAAGAGATATTAGTATTACATTTTCATAAAAATTCGCTGATTTTTTCATACCATGATACGTGTGGCATTCTGGAAAGATTAACGTGAGTAATGTGTATATAATTCAAGGATTCTCAGATTATATAAATTATGAACTATCGTGTATTACCTAAGTACCTACTTTAATTTATTTCTCAATAAGTGTCTATGTAATTGTATGTTATCTCAATAAAGTCAAGTATGTACCTATTTCAAAAAACATTGTAAGGGATTAATCAATCACTTGATCACATTTTTTACACCCAAATACATTGAAGATTTCGAATAAAAAAACAATTTTTATAATAGCGGATAATTCAATATTGAACAAAATCAATATTTAGGCTAGTACAATACTGTATCGCGTACGCTTTACAGCTAAGCCCCTGTGACATATGCAACACTCATAACACCAGCCATTCATTTTCTTTTTATAGCAAATAATCCTTCGATAGTGATTGTTTTCGTTACAATTACATAAAATTTATCGCAACATTATTACGACACAGCCGCGATAATAAATTTTTATTAATAGCACTTTTTTATTTGTTTACCAATTACACACATAATCAAATTTATAAAATGGAACATCCGTAAATCACCCTGACTTCCTGGTTTCATTTACGAATCAATTTAGTGACCGCAATATTTGAAAAAACGTTCAAATCAAGCGATCGCAAATTGTGATTCTATTTAAATGACGTCATAGATAGTATTGATTGCGCACACCTTGTGAATATTCCACCTTGACCTCCCCACTCTCGCTCCGTCCCTTCCACAATACCCGATTTACCTTCCTCCATGGAACTTGCGCGAATTATTTGAAAAAAATTTCGAGTCTCGCTAAACAGCGTACCGTGTGCTAGGGTGTGATCCGAATTTTCCCAACAGATATTGTGCAACAGTTCCCCCAAGGGCCCACGAATCGCCTACTATTCGATGAGACGATCCAAAATCCGATTGAAATAGGAAAAAGGAAATTCCGCCTAAAACGAAGGAGAAATATAAAATTTTCCAATTGCGTTGTTCTATATTCGGGTCCCGTTCGAGTACAATGAAGATTTATAAAATGTCCACGTTAAATCAGATTATTAGAAGCTCTAAGACTGATTGTGAGAGTTTTAATTCGATATAAATCGGTTCGTGAGAAAAAGTGAGGTTAAGGTTTTTTTTCGAGAAATCGTGACGTGAACTCGAAAACTGCCAGTGACTAATTAATCGTTTACTAAAAGTGACTGTTTTTTCCTAAATAAAATAACGAAAGTCGCGTATCTAGAGGGATTTTCCGTTTTCGTAAATGTATTCTAATTATTCTATTATGTATACTAGTGATTTCAATCCATTTATAAGGGTATTTGCTATAATTAATTTGAACAAGATCGCCGGTATTTGCACGAATAAGATGCACAATGTCGAATCCGCCTTCGTGACATCTAGCATCGGATATCGAGCGAAAAATGATCCCGGAGACTGACATCCGTTACGCAGGAGCCTCTACGATGGATATATGACGTTTACTTGATATCCTCTCCCGTTCGGTTGATTCGAATAATAATGTAAGTACGAAGAATCCATCCTGAATACTTTTCCTAACGTTTACCTATTTAATAATCATGGAGTTTTATAACACAGGTTGTTCGAAAAACACATGTGAATATAGAATTGTGCAACTTGTTCTGTAATTAGATACACTTGAACTTTGGACTCGATGAATAATCCTGGCTACTCCGCCTTTTACATAAGTTGTCAGCAGAAAATTTTCCTTATCAACTTTATCGAGGAAATAGTTGTACCTATAGTCATTTGGGAAGAGACTGTTGGTGATTAGTACAAATAAAAAAATTCGTTGCATCATTTATAACGAATTTAGAGGAGGAGTAATGAAATTCCCTTTGAGAATGTTGAATCTTTATAGCCATAAAGATCCTGTTTAACATGTCTTATGATTATTGTACTTCTGTAGTATCCATATTGGAGGTATAAAGCTTCGAAACACAAGCAGGTTGTTTGTAAGGATCGTAAAATACAGTCCTTACAGTACAGAAGTACAGTACAGAGTTCTGTAGCTTCGTTGAATCATCAGGATGGGTTTTAAATGCGATATTCTGAGTAAATAGGAACTCCTTAATCCTTAATTTATTCTCTACTATACTACTCAGTACCACAACTTTCTCATAAGCAATGATGAGGTTACAGATATAGATGGAGGTGTTACTAAACTGTCCCTAACACCTCAGATACTCCTCAGAAAAATTCATTTTTTACTACAATTCCTAATAGTTTTCGAATCGTCTCCAAAAATTTGGGTTTTTGAATATAGTCTCATTCAAAGGGCTGTTTTGACCCATTGGAGTTGAGTGGTGATAATGCAACTTGGTGGTTACTAAGAGAAGACATGAGACTATACATGCTGAAAATTTCACGTTTCTAGCTCATCTGTAGTCAATTGTACATCAGGACTTCAAAAAACTTAATCTGATAAAAGATAAACATGTCGGATATCTGATGAAAATTATTTTTTTCGAAATTGTACTCGTTTATGTAAATAGTTTCGAGAGAACAAATATTTATCGCGATCGCAACAGGTAAAAAAAATACGAGCTAAACTCGGATACTTATTTATGTGCAAGTGGCTGATAAATCAAAAACTCTCTGAGGCAACGCGTTTTCAAAACGTAAGTCCCACGAGTTTTTGGGTCAAGATGCGATCTAAAAGTTGCTATAGTCGACAAATTAACGCCATAACTGTTGGATAAGCGCCAGCGAAATCCATTAAATCTGCATATGTGTGTATTAACATCGAAACAAACATCTCGCGTGGAAATGTCGCGAGCTCAAAGCCAATTTACATTTCGTTTTTCAACTAGTCCCAGTTATTAAGACTTAATTCGAATAGGCTTCAATTAAACGAGAGCGCTCGTCATAAAGTACGGCCGATATCGTTTCAATTAAAGCCAGAACAAAAAGAAAAACAACGACGAGAAAAAATAAAAACGCGATCGATACGCGGAATCTCGTATACGCTTCTGAAAAAAAAAGATCTTACAAAGGATTTTCATTAGCACGACGCCGAGCGAAATTGGATTGGATTGAAATTGGAATTTCAAATAAATCGTCGAAAAATTTCCGAGTATACCAAATTCAAGGATGCGCATACTAAAAATATAATCGATTTGGTTTTAGTTGGCGTAAAAATAAAAAATAAAAAAAAAAACATATTTTAGAAGTATGTACGTAGGAAAGTTTTACGTATGCATATAGGAGGCGTGGGATTGATGGAAAAGCGAGTAATTGGTTCGATAAATAGAAGAAGGGATGCGCTTTAATAGTCTTTCCAAAGTCAATTTTAAACCTTCAATGAGGCTGCTGTACTGAGAGTACATATTATAGTGGGGTATATAAAGTGTTATTTTATTAACCCTTCTTTGTTCAACTCGTAAAATTGACCATTTACAAACAAATTTATTAACCCATATGTTAGAATATTAAAGAAATTCACCATCTTGAATACTAACAGACATTATAGTAGCATTGGAATAGCTGCTATAATCTTTACAAAGTCAATCAAGCCTCCACACTTCATCTCTACGGAGGGTGCATTATATTATTATTTGTATTTAGTATATTTTCGAAAATAATAAAAGTGCGCTTTCATTATACACCTTGCTCCATTTCCGATTGCAACATGGCCATTTATATGAGTGGAACAAAGAAGGACTATTAAAATGACAGTTGTCAGAGTGAAAAGTTGCAATGACACAAATGTCACTCTTTCCTTTTCCTTTGTAAGTATCTAATGAAAGTTGTCTTTATCGCACCCATGGCCTATATAACCTATGTTGCGATGAAAAATTGAGCAACCTGTATAAACTGCTCCACAAAAGTTAAGGAAGTTCGCAAGTTTTGCGATTATTTTAAAAGTTACAGACTTTTTAATCACCAAATATTCAAATATGCGAAATTAAATGTTTTCTCTCATATCTGAATGGATTTTTTATCCCTACCTCTACAACTCATACTAAATTTGGCGATCAAAAAACCTGCAACTTTTAAATTAATCTCAATATTTGTGAACTTCCTTAACTTTTCTGGAGCAGTATACAGTAGACCAAAAAAGTATTCGTACAGTTGCATTATGTTCTGGAAGTCCGCGTTCAGTAAACAGAAACAAGAAGTAACTAGCAAATTAAAATCTACATTTCAAGACTATTCTTGCAATCATTAATTAACATTGTTATTAAAAATGTAAAATAAAAAAAAAACGAAAAATGTTTGCTTTATCCCCAAAATAAGTATTCGTACAGCAACGTTTTATCAATTTCTTCACTCTGTAGATATTAAATTGTTTATTGTTTTCGCCGGTATATTAGTATTAGGTTGAGCTCCTAGTTCTGTTTTCAAAATAATTCAAGTTTACCTTAAAATGCCTAGAAAAACTGAAGAAATAGATGGTGACTTAAAAAAGTCATCATCCATCATTTTATAGAAGGAAAATAATATAAGGAGATAGGTAAAATTGTTCAAAAAACACATATTACAGTTCAGTACATTGTGAAAAAATATAAATCTACTGGTTCCGTGGAAAATAAGTCAAGATCGGGAGGTACTGCCAAGTTAACTCAACGAGATCAGAATTTCATTTATCAAAAAGTTAAAAAAATTCCCTTTGTAAGTGCTCCATACATCGTTTCTGAACTGAAATCCAGTACATGGCATAAGATCCATCCGGAAACTCTTCGATACCACATTAAGCGATTAGAATATAGAGGAAGAAGACCTGCTAAAAGCCAAGGATAAATAAGAAAAATCGAAAGCTAAGAGTGGAGTTTGCTAAGCGTTACATTAATAAACGTTTAGAGTTCTGGAACCAGGTTATATTGTCAGATGAGAGTAAGTATAACATTTTTGGATCGGATGGAGCCAAATCTGCCTGTTAATTGTTTTTTCATTTGTATATTTATTAAACGGGTAACTACACGTATAATGATTATAATACGAGTGTACGAATACTTTTTTGGTATACTATATTATCCATTAAATTCCATATAATATTCAACAGACTTTGGAAAAACTAAACATGTTAGAATACTACAGAAATTCTCCTTCCTTCATCACTAGATAAAAAATATTTGGTAAATAAATTGAGACTATAGAGTTGAGTCAGTGATTTTTCACCTAATAAATCAGTGAGGATATGGGCATTATTATAAAATATTTACTGCTCTCGTTATCAGTCGAAAGACACATTTGTATTTATCACTGGAACAGATAACAATTTACAATCTAGTTATTTAATATATTTAAGATTCCTTGTGATATGATAAGCGAATTGCTCATAAATAATATCGCGAAATGTTCCTAGAAGGAATTTAATTTTAAAACCGATGCGCATTGATTGAATATTTTATTCGATTGAACGTTATGGAAAAATCTAAACCGTAGAATTCCTAATTAGCACTTGGGTTTTTTTGTACCTGCTGTTTTTCGAAAAAACAATGGGTTTAATTTAATGTAATTAATTCTTCGCAAACATTAACCATAAACCTGTCATTTTACGGTTTTTTTCAATTACTTTTCGTTCTAAACAACAGTTGAATACCTAATTTGTATTGTGTAATAATGCAATGAATTTTCTAAAAATATATTAATACTCTTTTAATAAAATTCCATGATTATTAGTATGGGTTTTAGTTACTATTCCTGAATTTTTGAATTTTTGTAGGTGACTTGAAACGAATGAATAGCAAGAAAATAAACGGAACCACGAAAGAGAAAGTAGTAGGAAAAGCCTAGGAAATTGTGTGTCGAAAAAGAAAAAAGAATTGACTCTATAAAGGTGAACGTTTTTAAAAATAAATTAAATATTCGGTGGTGTTTAAAGCTTAAATCCAGTTTGGTAAAGAAGCCGGGGTGTGACAATTTTCTTATCTGACAATTCGAGCTCGATGCATAATAATAATAATAATTTATCTGTAACAATCAATTAAAAATTGTTCGGTGTACTTTTTTTTATTTTACCGATAAAAAAAGGAAAGTTCATTAAGTGTTTTTTGGATTTTCGTTCGGAACTCCGCGCGTTTGTTTTTCCACGGACGTTATTTGTGCGTGCTTTAGGGAAATAAATACGATACATTTTTTAGAGCTTCTAATAAAATATTCGAAATGGGTACGCAAAGTATTTTCTCGAAAGTTTTCCGCCGCAACGAAAGATCCGATGCGATCAGAAGTTTGGAACAGAACGAAGAACTCCTTAAAGGTTAGTTGAAAAAACTTTTTACTTATTCCAAGCCGAGTTCCAGGTATAATTTAGTATACAGATGGAGTTTAAAAATCTTTATTAATAATTTTACGACAAAAAGTTATTCTTTTTAACTCCACACTGTACATCATACAGTATAGGTAGGAGGCTTTGTATTACAATTTTTTTAATAAATTCATTTTTATTTACGTATATTTTTTAGTTTCTCGACAAACAGCGATTGCATGTATTTACAATTCGCAGCATTGTAATTACTGTGTACATAAAATTTACTAAGCCATAAATTGGGTTGAAAGTTCACAACGCTTTGAAAATTTATTTAGAGTAATCAACAAAATATATTATTTTCAAAAATAGATCAGTTTATATTAAGTCTATATTAAGACATAAAAATCGATAAAAGTTCAGTAAACACCAAAAAAACGAGGGGTTGCTATTACGCAAATAATCTAGGGATAAGCTTAGATAATAAGGGATGAAAATGCTCGTATTTATAAAAAAGAAAATTATAAAAAATATATAGATGTTACATATAAAAAGAGAAACTGAAATTTGGATTTACATATTACTGCAAACCTTATTCACCTTAATTTTTTTTGTAACATTCAACCTTATTTACCCTACAAGTACCAACAATTAAAATAATTTTACCTTAGAACAGACGAATGTTTCCTATTCATTTTGACGTTCCCACTAATTCAAACCGATCGATTTTAACGTTCTTAATAGTCTTGTTGTTAACTAAACCGCTGTCTTTGAACCAAATCGAAATTATCTTCTAATTACAGTTGACCGAATAAATTCGAAACGAAAAATTTTGTGGCGAGATAAATTCGTGTTTTTGTATAATAATTAATGCTTAAGATTTACGATGAGAACGTTATTAAAATTCTTACATAAGCGCCTCGAAAAGTGACATTTTCAAGTTTGATTAAATATAAAATAATACTTTTTTTCGCCTTAAAAAATTCGAGCGAGCGCGCCTTTCGTATAGCTAATTTGTTCTTATCGAAACTTACCTAAACTTTAAACAAACCGTTCTGCATGCGTTAATATAGAAAACTAACTTCGCAAATTCTATCGAGCTTGTTAAATATGATTTTCGTAACAGATGAACTTACACGATAACTCCCCAATAAACGCGCTCGAAATGGATATATTTTGTTGTTAATTAATTGCTAGAGCCATTCGAAGGCGAACTTGTGATATTTTTGTGTGGACGAGACATATTTTTTTTTGAAAATGAGTGAATTACTGGACTTGTTCTATCGCTGCCAATTTCACATAGGTAGGTCGAAATGTTATCTTTTATTATACTATTCGGTGATATTGATTTTCGAAAAGCAATCTTTCCCGTATGTTGCCTGCCAATGAGAAAATAGCTTTCCAAACAATTTCGGCGCTTATTGAATAAGTGCCAATAGGGATTCGGGAAAAAAAAACTTATTCATCCTCAAATCGTATACGCTATACGAAGGTATTTTTAGGCGGAAGCTTCCATGAACGAGGCGATAATAATCGTGGGTTAATTCCATTAGATTTCTTACGCCCATACTACTAGAAATTCTTAGTATTCTATTTTTACGTCAACAAAGGATCTTCCTTTGTATGAACCCCGTCGGTAAATTGGGCGCAGAAATATTTTTATTACCTGAGAGCAGTGCAATGAACAAATTTACATTCTAGGGTAGAGTAGAGAAAATTCAAAGCAGAGTAGATTCATAGTAGTTTTAGAGTAAAATGAGAGTAAAGTACGTTCAGAATAGAGTAGAGTATAGACTGGAATAGGGTAGGGTAGGCAATCCAAATCATTTTATTGAAAGAGAACACGTGAAACTACTTTGGGGCAAACAAAAATTCCCAATCATCAATCGAAAATTATTTGTAGATATTTTTCGGACACTCTGTGATCCCTTTGCGCCCAATTTACATTTGTCCAGAAATTACTCGTAGAGTACATTGACAGCAAATTCGAGCACTTTCGGTGTAGATTTAAAGAACTTTCAGAGTATACTCAGAGTACTTTCAGAGTAGATTTGAATACAAATACAAATTCAAACAATACTAATACATACAAATAATTCCTTTGATGATTGATAATTTATATTTACAACATACTTTCATGCATTTGTTCTACTCTAGAGTAGAGACTCTGCTCTGTTCAGATTTGGTCTGCTCTGTTCTGCTCTGTTCAGATTTGGTCTGCTCTGCTCTGCTCTGCTCTGTTCAGATTTGGTCTGCTCTGCTCTGCTCTGCTCTGCTCTGCTCTGCTCTGCTCTGCTCTGCTCTGCTCTGCTCTGCTCTGCTCTGCTCTGCTCTGCTCTGCTCTGCTCTGCTCTGCTCTGCTCTGCTCTGCTCTGCTCTGCTCTGCTCTGCTCTGCTCTGCTCTGCTCTGCTCTGCTCTGCTCTGCTCTGCTCTGCTCTGCTCTGCTCTGCTCTGCTCTGCTCTGCTCTGCTCTGCTCTGCTCTGCTTTGTCGCAACTTCAAATTTTTGAGATCCCTTTGCCTTTCAGGCCCCAAATCCGATGAGTTCACGATGTACCTCAATCGAGGGCAGGACGACGAGATGCAGTTCGTCTGCTACAAAAAGTGCAAAATCAAGACCTTGATCACGTACGTGTTCTTCTTCCTGACGGCGGGCGTCCTGCGTTTGCTCTTCCATTGGATACCGCACTTGTATCTGCTCGCCACATGTAACAAGTGCAAAATCGAAGAGGCCGAGAAAATCCTGATCACCGTAAGTATACGATTTTAAATGATTTACAGAGAATATTTATTCATTTTTTCTATTAACCCTCGAATAGTCGCGCGAAAAATTTTAACATGAGTAGTCGCGTAGGTCTCACAGACCGTAGGTCCCTAAATACATAGCGGAATGTACTTTTAAAAAAATATATGTGGGGGGTTGTTTAAATAACAATGACTAATAAATAATGACTAGAAAAAGCCTAATGCAGTACTTATTGCTATTTTTCTAGCTTGATTTTTAGAATATTTGGTAAACAACGTTTGTAGTCGGTCTCACAGACCGCGGCGCGACTATTGGAGGGTTAAGTATGTTATGAGCAAAATTCAGCTCATATTTTGGGGTACCTAGAAAGGTTTTAAAATATACACAACCATCACTTTATTAGGGGTGGTAAAAAGAAATAAACTGTTGTAATTTTACTAAAAAATGAACCACTTCAAACTCCTGAAAACCCTTAAAAATTTTTTTTTTAAATCGCAGCGATCACTTTAAAAGGGGTTTATTTATAAAGTAATTTTGGGGTTGGTAAATAGAAAAAATACATATTAATTTTATCAAAATTAGTAATCGAAGAACCCTTAAAGAACCTATATAATCTTACTAAAAAAATAAACCACTTCAAAACCTTCAAAAATAATAAAACACCTCTCATTATCACCAGGAAATATTCAATAAAAAGCACAAAATCTACCACGTGCGGCCTCTGCAAGTTCTCACGCCGGAGAGCGTCGCCAAAATGAAGCGAGAGGACAGCTTGCTCAATCACCACCAATTCATCGAGAGCGACATTCTCACCACTTTATCCGTGCACTTCGAAAACGGCGTTTTCAGGGACTTGGAACGGTACGAAACCCCGCGAAATTCATCCGAATCGCCTTTTTAATTTTGTGCATTTCCGCAGATTGATCATGTTCTCATGCAAGAAAGTGACGTACGTTTGGGACGGCGACAAGCAGGAGTTCATCAAGCTCACCGGCTTGGAGAACAACGTCCCGACGGAGGCGTTTCACAACTATCAAGGTTTGACTGCCGGCGAGCAGTTTATGAGGTAAGAAAAATATTTTCTATTCAGCGAAACAGACAAAATTGCTCAAAGACAAAATCGCCCAAGATACAACGTCTCAAAGCAAAATAGCCCAAAGACTAAATTGCCCAAGATACAACGTCTTAAGATAAAATTGCCCACGATAACAACGTCTCAATACAAAATAGCTTAAGACAAAATTGTCCAAGACAAAATAAATCAAAGACAAAATAGCCAAAGACAAATCCTCCCGTTTATTTTCTAGATTGAAAGTCTACGGATCGAATCTGATCGATATCAAACAACAATCGGTGCTGACGCTGGTGTGCTTGGAGGTCTTGAATCCTTTTTACATATTTCAAATTTTGAGTTTCATCCTGTGGATAGTGGACGATTATTATTATTACGCTGCCACCATTATGGCTATGACCGCCTTCGGTGTGGTCATGTCGGTCATACAAACGAGAAAAGTAAGAAAATTTATACGTTTTTTAGTTCTACTTGCAATCGAATAATACAGGTCAGCGCAATAAATAACCTGGTGAAAATTCCAGCAATATTATCCTTTTTCCACCAATAAAATTATGATGCGAAGGAGGCCGGTCATTTTATTTAATTTTTTTACGCTCAACAGGAAGATAATAGAGATTAAATCAACTCATTTTAATTCGCCATATTTTTGGTATTTCATCCTTTTGTTCCAATCGCACCCGTTTCAATCGTAACGTTTCCAGAACCAAAAAAACCTGAAATCGACGATACACAGCAGCGACGTGTGCACGGTGCTAAGGAGACATCCCAAGCGAGTCCTCGACGAAGAAATCCAAGATGTCCAATACAAATCCGAGACCATCTCCACCGAGCTGCTGGTGCCCGGCGATATCATGGAAATACCGTCGCACGGTTGCATCATGCACTGCGACGCCGTATTGCTTACGGGCAATTGCATCCTCAACGAATCCATGCTGACAGGTTAGCGTTTTTTTTTATTTGGATAATGTTACTTTTAATTGGATACTTAGTGTTGGCTTTATAGTCACCCTACGCTACACTTCCCTCCCTACCTTAGCACCGACTGCATATTCAGAGTAGAGTAGATTTAGAGTAAAGTAGAATAGAGTAGAATCGCAGTAAAGTAGAATCCAGTTGATTCAGAGCAAAGTAGAGTAGATTCAGAATAGAGTAGAATATACTAGAGTAGATTCAGAGTAGAGTAGAATATACTAGAGTAGATTCAGAGTAGAGTAGAATAGACTAGAGTAGATTCAGAGTAAAGTAGAATAGAGAAGATTCAGGGTAAAGTAGAATAGAGTAGAGTAGATCTGGAGTAAAGTTGAATAAAGTAGAGTACATTCAGAATAAAGTAGAATAGAGTAGATTTGCAGTAAATTAGAATCCAGTAGATTCAGAGCAAAGTAGAGTGGATTCAGAGTAGAGTAGAATAGACTAGAACAGATTCAGGATAAAGTAGAATAGAGTAGGGTAGATTTAAAGTAGAATCGAGTAGAGTAGATTCAGAGTAAAGTAGAATAAAGCGTATTCGGAGTGGAGTAGAGCGCGTGGGGAATTCTAATATTTACAACTGTTTTATTGAAAAATAATAAGTTATGTACATGAAAATATTTAGCCCTTCAATTTTACACTATATGGTAGAGTATGCTATGGCAGGGTAGAGTATTTAGACTCAGAGTACAATCAGAAAATTTTTAGAGTAGATTCAGATGGCTCTCAGAGTATATTTAGACCACTTTCAGGATTCAGAGGACTTTCTTACTCCGTAGTTATATACTCTACTATGTAGTACGTTATTAGCCATACAAATTTACACTATATGGTAGGGTATGAGAGGGTAGAGTATGTAGATTCAGAGTAGTTTCGCGACCTTACGCTACACTTCTCCCACCGTACCCTACCCTATCCTAACCGCTATTCCATTGGAAAAACCGCCAATTTCTTCATAATGACCGCGCATTTAGCCATTTCCTAGTTAGTTTACGAACCAAACATAGCTTCCATTTTAGCCGTATGGCAGAAAAATAGACGAAGAAAAATGAATACAACGAATGCTCGTTCTATTTCCAGGCGAATCCGTGCCGGTGACGAAAACCGCCCTACCCCACGTGCCGGACGTCGTCTACGATCCGAAGGAGCACGCCAGGCACACGTTGTTCTGCGGCACGCACGTCATCCAGACGCGGTACTTCGGCGACGAGAAGGTGCTGGCGATCGTCGTGCGAACGGGTTTCTCGACGTCGAAGGGGAGCTTGGTGAGGAGCATTTTGTATCCGCCGCCGGTGGATTTTCGATTCGAAAAGGACTCGTACAAGTTCGTCGCGTTTTTGGGTATGATCGCTAGCTTCGGGTTTTTCTACACCGTCGTGACGAAGGTAGGGAGAATTCGAACGAATAAGGTGGTAAATTGGGTGCGGGTGTATCGTATACTCGATTTTTTTTTAAATTGAGAGGTTTAATGGACGTTTTATTTAGTTTTAGAGAATTATTTGGATTCATTGGAAAATTTGGAAGAAATTGGAAAGTTTTGCGTTGTTCCAAAAAGCAGTGCATAGTAGAGTAGAGCATATTCAGATTAGATCGGAGTAAAGTAGAATAGACGATAAGTAGAACAGAGTAGATTTAGGGTAAATAGAATAGAGTAGATTCAGAGTAAAGATAGAGTACTTTCAGAGAAGGTTCAAAGTAGATTCAGTGCGGTAAAGTAGAATAGAGCAGATACAGTGTAGAGTAGAACAGAATTCAGAGTAGTTTTTAAATAAATTCGGATTAGATTTAGAGCACTTTCAGTGTAGATTATAGGCACTATAAGTGTAGAGTGCGTTAAAGTAGAATAGAATCGAGCAGATACAGAGTAGAATAGAATCGAGCAGATACAGAGTAGAATAGAATCGAGCAGATACAGAGTAGAATAGAATAGAGTAGATTCAGAGTATAGTTGAATAGAGTGAATTCAGAGTAAATTTAGAGCAGTTTCAGAGTAGATTTAGAGAACTTTTAGAGGATATTTAAAGTGGATTCAGAGTTGAGTGCGGTAGAATAGAATAGATACAGTGTAGAGTAGAATAGAGTGGATTCGGAGTAGTTTCAGAGTCGATTCAGAGTAGATTCAGAGCATTTTGAGTGTAGATACTGGGCGCTGCTTTCATAGTAGATTCAGAGATCATTCAGAACAGATTCTGAGAACTTTTAGAGAAGCTTCAAAGTAGATTTAGAATAGAGTGCGGTAAAGTAGAATAGAATAGAGTAGATACAGTGTAGAGTAGATTAGAGTGGATTCAGAGTTCTTTCGGAGTCGATTCAGTGTACATTCAGAGTAAATTCAGAGCACTTTCAAAGTAGTCTCAGAGAAACTACTTTGATGTAAACAAAAATTCCCAATCATCAATTAAGTATTATTTGTAGTTATTTTCCAGAGACTCTGCACCCAATTTACTTGTAGTATAATAAAAATCTATAATCCCTCATGCGCCCGATTTACATCCATCTTGTATAATTCGCGATATACAATACACGTTTAACTCTTATTGATTTTAATTTAAAGGCTTTGAGAGGTGTCAGCGCCGGTGAATTGATAATAGAAGCTCTGGATCTCATCACTATAACAGTACCGCCCGCTTTGCCAGCCGCCATGACTGTGGGCCGATTTTACGCTCAGATCAGATTGAAAAATAACCAGATTTTTTGCATATCGCCGAGGAGCATCAACGTTTCGGGATCTGTCGATTGCGTGTGCTTCGACAAGGTAAAATATAAAAGCCTTGTTTTATCGAGTTTTAGGGTCGATTTCATAATGAAGCATCAAAGTATCCTTTAATATAAGGAAGCTTTTAAGATAAAGTTTTGTTTAAAACCTTATTTCTAATGTCAAATGGTTTCATAATACATGTAAAAGGTTCCTTTAGAAAAAGGTTGCTAGAAAAATTTGAAAAGTTTTAAATAATTAAGAAGAGTTTTTGATGATTGGGAACTGTTCTAAATTGTTTTGAGCAGTTTTAAAGTTTTGAATAGTTCTAAATTGTTTTGAACAATTTAAAAGAGTTTTGAACAGTTCTAAATGATTATGAAGAGTTTTAAATAATTACGAACACTTCTAAATTGTTTTGAACACTTTTATATGATTATTAACAGTTCAAAATTGTTTTGAACAGTTCTAAATGATTATGAAAAGTTTCAAATGAATATCAACCATTTTAAAGACTTTTGAACAGTTCTAAATCATTATGAAATTGTTATGAATTTTAAGTGATTATAAATAGATCTAAAGCGTTTTGAACCAATCTAAATGGCTTTGATCAGTTCTGAATGGTTTTGAACAGTTCAAAATCAGTATTGACAGTTCAAAATCATTATGGACAGTTCAAAGTAATTCTAAACAGTTCTGAATCAATAGATATTTGATCTTAATATAAGATATTTGAGATTAATATAAATAAATTCTTCTTCATCGAACGAGCTTGAACTCGAAGTTACGAATTTATTATTATCTCAAAAAACTGGAACTACAAACTTTAATTCACATACATAAAAATAGAGGATTTGTCCTAGTTAACGGATACTTTAGCGTGATTATCTTTTAAGTTGATTTACATAATATATCAAAGAATTCTTTAAAGGCAAATTCTTTAAGAAATCGTCCTTTAAATATATCAATAATTCTTGTTTTAGACTGGAACTTTAACCGAAGACGGTTTAGATCTCCTTTGCATCGTACCGATCGAAACAAACACATTCAAACAGTCAGTTTCGAATGTAGAAACGCTCCCGTACGATACGCTAGTTTACGGTCTAGTCTCCTGCCATTCATTGACCATTATCGACAAACAAATCGTCGGGGATCCACTCGATTTGAAGGTAATAAATAACAAAACACCTCGAAAATTACAAACGAAAACAACCATCGATTTGTCCATTAGATGTTCGAAAGTACCAAGTGGGTAATGGAGGAACCCGAAGTCGACGATAACAGCAAATTCAACATGATCTCACCGACTGTCTTCAAACCGCCGAAAAACCGCCACAACGCCCAACAAATCGCCGTGGAGGATCTTCAAATCGGTATCATTCGAGAATTCCCGTTTTCGAGCAGCTCCCAGAGAATGGGCGTCATCATCAGGCATTTGAAAGGAACGCACTTCGAGTACTACTGCAAAGGTACTACCCAATCGAAACTATCCAATGTCCCAAAAGTAACGGATAATTTCTATCTTTAATACGAAAAACTGATATTTGACATGACTCCGGCACCATTTTTCATAACATTGATGGATGAAGTCACTCTGTAACGATTTGGAACTGGTGTATAAATAGATTTGAAGTTCTAAATGGTTTTAGACAGTTCTAAATAAGTTTAGACAGTTTTCAATGATTCTGGAGCATTCTAAATAGATCTGAAGCATTCTACATGATTTTAGACGGTTCTAAATGATTCTGGAGCATTCTAAATGGTTTTAGACAGCTCTAAATGAATCTAGAGTGTTCTAAAGGGTTTTAGATATTTCTAAATGCGTTCTAAAGGGTTTTAGATAGTTCTAAATGTTCACACTTTCAATGAAATCTTCCACAGCATGCTATAATTGCGACGAAATATTAGCAATATTATGGCAAATTTCACCTTTAAGAACCTCAATCGTTTCAGTTTAATTCGTATACATTCCATCTTTAAGATAACCCCTCACAGAACAAAGTCTGGCGGTGTCAAATCAGACATTATTTCACCTCCCTTAGATGCAAAATTAAATCGTTACTTTTGGGACAACCCGTATATTACCCGACAAACTACTCGAGTTGATCGATTGCGTTTTTCGAAGGTTCGCCGGAGATGATTTTGAAATTCGTCCGACCGGAATCGATTCCGCGGGATTTCGACGACATTTTGGAAACGTACACCCAAGAGGGCTACAGGGTGATCGCGCTGGCGCACAAGGAATTGAAATTGCCCTACGCCAAAGTGTTGAAAGTCCAAAGAGAGGTCATAGAGAAAGATTTGAACTTGCTGGGCTTGATCGTGCTGGAGAACCGATTGAAACCGGACACCACGCCCTGCGTGCAAGCTCTAAACGACGCTAATATCAGAGTTATCATGGTGACAGGTAAGCATTTTTACAATCTTCCTTAATTCCCATAAAAGAAAGTATAGATTAAAGTCCCAACAGTGCTTCAAAGAGAATAACTTAGACGTTGTAGATAACTTACAAGAATTGTCTTGATCACAATAATGCCTACTATCACTCATATTAAGGATGATTTATCGGTTGGGGCTCTGCCATTTGGCATGCCTCGTACCTTTTTTGTACCCTAAACCCGTTCTTTACTACCTTGAAGTCCCTTGGACACTACCAGAGTCTCCTGACATCTCTAGGGTTGTCCAACTGACTCGTTTATTAGAGATTACTAGTCCCTTAATTCGAGCTCACCTGACTACTCCAGCCGAGTCCAACTGACTCCCCTACTGGAGCACATCGGAAGATCCATTTTTCTATACCAGAGATTACTATAGTCCTCTAATTCGTGCTTACCTTACCAATCTAATGGAGATTATTAGTCCCCTAATTCGAACTCAATCTACTCCTCTAGCAGAGTCTAACTGAATCCTCTACTGAAGCACATCGGAAGATCCATCCAAGATCTACCAGAGACCACTAGTCTCCTAATTCCAGCTCACCTGACTCATCTAGCTAAGTCCAACTGATTCCTCTAATGGAGCGCTAATATAATCTAATATAGTCCTCTAATGGAGTTATTCGAGCTCAATCTACTCCTCTAGCAGAGTCTAATTGAATCCTCTACAGGAGATCCAAAGATCCATGTTCCTTTACCAGAGCTCGATATGCGCCTTATTTGAGCTCACCTTACTCATCTAGCTGAGTCCAACAGACTTCTCTAATGGAGGTTTCCAGTCCCCTAATTCGTGCTCACCTGCCTCCTCTACTTGAGCACATCTAGAATCATACATGGAAAATCCATGGTTCTCTACCGAATATTGAACGATTGATTGACCTTTACAAGATGGCGCTACCAATCCATGGCAATACAAAATATGTACTCTTTCAGGCGACAACATTCTAACAGCGCTAAGCGTAGCCAAAGATTGCGACATCGTCACGCCGGGCCAGAGCGTCATAACCGTCAATTGCGACGGTTCGCATCCGCCCAACATCTTCTACACGTTGACCAGCACCAAGAACAAGCTGCCCACCGATACGAGTTGCCTCATCAATTCGACCAGCATCGTGAGCTTGGAGACCGTCGAGAGTCAAGTGCAAACGATGACGGCGAGCGCCGCCGCGCCGCCCGTCGCCCATTCGAAGAGGCCCAGCGTCCTATTGAACAACTACAGGTTCGCGATGACCGGAAAGGTGTGGAGCGCCGTGCGGGATTACCATCCGGATTTGATCGGCAGGATTGTAACGAGAGGTAGGTATATCATATACGAGGGTTGCTTTCCAAAGTTACCCAGAACTTGTGGAGAGAGTTGTCTTGTCTATTCGGTGCATTATTGTACTGTTTCGTTGTTTTCGTAGCACTGGTTTTGTAACCATGGAAGTTGCAGTGAAATCTTAAAAGAACTATGATCGATCCACCGATAATAATAAACAGTACTATTGAATTCTGTAGATTCACCAAATATTCCTTGAAGGCGTTGAATGATTTCTGATGTTTTCACACTTTTTTTGTTCACCAAAGGACCATCGTAACTACGGAAGGATAAATATGCAAATGCAAAGAGCATTTTTTGGTGCATTTTTCCGATGATTTGCAGATAAGAAATCTGCATTTTGTTGAATATTTGGTATATTTTATGCATTTTTTTCCGATGATTTGCATTTTTAAGAATAATTTGAACAAAATATCTCTGCTAATTTTCTTAACCAGGTGATTTTCTTTGTTTTTTTCCAAAAATTGGAAGTTCCTAATTCTAAACCTAATCGTTTAATAAGATGGAAACAATGGAAAAAACATGGAAAAAAGTGAAAAACATGAAAAAGAGGAAAAACAAGCAAAGCATGGGAGAACATGGAAAAAATGGAAAAACATGGCAGAGTGAAAAACATGGAAAAGTGGACAAAAAGCAAAACATGACAAAAAGTGAAAAACCCATGAAAAAAATGGAAAACACTAAAAAGTGGAAAAAAACATGAAAATATACAGAAAAGATGTATTTTTTTGTATACAGAAAAGATATACAAAAAAGTGGAAAAAGTGTAAAAACCATAGAAAACGTGGCAAAGAGCAAAATTTTAAAAAATTGGAAAAAACATGAAAAAGACAATGACAAAACATGGAAAAGTGGTAAAATTTGGAAAAAAATGTAAAAACATGGAAAAAAGTGAAAAATTATCGGCATATTTATGCGCACGTTTCTTGTGATATTAGTTACATATTTGCCTTTCTCTAATCATAATAATTCTTTGAGATTTCGGATTTTACTGCCTCTTCCACAGTTGCAAAAACAGTGCTGCACTGCATCTAATCACGAGTTGAACACAATTGCCAGTACTTTGGAACAATCCCTCATACACGCAGAGAATGTTGCGATGATTGCATTAACGCCGTCGTTTTTAAGGTACCATTTTCGCGAGGATGGCGCCCGACCAGAAGCAACAGCTGGTGCAAGAACTCCAAGGTTTGGGCTATTGCGTGGCGATGTGCGGCGACGGAGCCAACGATTGCGGCGCCCTGAGGGCCGCTCACACCGGCATTTCCCTATCGGAAGCCGAGTCTTCGGTCGCGTCGCCGTTCACGTCGCGCAATCCGAACATCTCCTGCGTGCTGAACGTCATCAAAGAGGGCCGAGCGGCGCTGGTGACGAGCTTCGGCATATTCAAGTACATGGCGGCTTATTCACTGTGCCAGTTCATATCGGTGTTGTTGTTGTACAGCATCGAATCGAATTTGACCGATATGGAATTTTTGTATATCGATTTAGCTATCATATCGGTGTTCGCTTTCTTCTTCGGTAGAACGGAGGCTTATCCGGGTACTTTGGCGAAGGAGCCTCCGCTTAGTAGTTTGGTGAGCGTAAGTCCGATTCTGAGTCTCCTCTTCCAGATAGCTCTGGTGTTGGGTTTTCAAGTGGTGGCTTTCGAGCATTTACAAAACGAACCGTGGTATATACCGTTTAAATCGCGCAACGAAGACGATATCGCTTGCGTGGAAAACTACACGATCTACACGATATCCAGCTTCCAGTACATTATATTAGCCGTCGTTTTTTCTAAAGGTAAACCGTACAGGAGGAGTATATGCTCGAATTACGGGTTTTTTATAAGCGCCATCATCATGACCCTCATATCCGCCTACCTCGCGCTCTATCCGGCCGAGTTCCTCGTCTACCACTTCGAGCTGGTCGTGCCGCAGGACATGAATTTCCGCTTGTACCTGTTGTGCTACGCCGGCGCGAACTTCCTGCTCAGCATGCTCGTCGAGCACTTCGTCATCGACAAGATATTCTTCAAGAAGTTGCGCTTCAAGTTCCACAACGTGGACAAGTCGAAGCGCAAGTACCTGGCGATCGAGCGCGACCTGAACAACGACAGAAAATGGCCGGTGCTCACGTCCGATTTCAAATCGGCCACCAGCCCTGCGAGTCCGCAGCCAGTTTGTAAGGCGGAGATCGTCGTCGAGGCGGAGAATCGCTTCCAGAAACACCACGTGCTGAGCAATTTGTACGACGCGCCGGACGGCGCGCGGCCCCAACACAGAAGCCTGCCGGCCACGCCGGCCAAATTCGCCGTCAACCCGCCGGACTTGGCCAACGGTTACTTCAGCCAGGACGATTTGTTCTCGAGTCTACCGTCGGATAATCGGCCGAGTTTGAGCAGCGACACGTACAAGAGCTTGAGCAACAACACCGCTTACGATCCGGCTAGTTCCAATTGTAACATACCCGAATTGCCGTTCGACGAGGCCACGTTGAACGGTTACTCGAACAATAACAGTCCGTCGAAAGTCGCGGAGGATTTTCGAGTAGAGTTTGTTAACGAACGCAACGGAGGGCTCGAGGAACAGGAGAAGAATATGTCGCAATTTAATTCGTTCGGTAGCAGCCCCCCGCGAAATGTAGACGATGCCAAGCATTTAGAATTGAATACGTTGGATACGAATAGGTGAAATTTGCTGAAATTGTTTTGTAATCGGGAGTTTGTTTTTTTTTCAGTATTAATTTCTAAGTGTTCTGTTTTCAATAGGTTAAAACAAACCAATTATGGGAAGTTATTATTTTGTTTTTTATATTTTCAAATCCTATAATGTGGGGATTTTTGAGGGTGTAATTTGTTTTATTGTTCTACTGGATTTGAAAATAGGAAGTCCGAAGTCGTGTCTTCCTTGTTTTATATTGATTTTATATCATAGTATATTTTCTGGGAACAGTATTTATTCAATGTACTAGGAACAAAAAAATCAGAATCGCACTAATTAAATTGTTCTCTTAATCGTAGCGTACTTAATTATTAAGATGGTAACAATTAGAATGTATTAAAATATATTAGTAGGTTCTCATTTTAATAGTACTAATTGCACTAAATCGGTATATTAGAAACCTTATGTATTTTTTTCAATATCGTAATTATTCATATTAAGTCTTCCAAAGGTACTTCATATGCATTTTAACTTTATAGTAACAATTATATTTTACTTAAATTAACTTAATGTAGGCATAAAAATACTTAATAGATCGGTAATTGCCCTAACTCAGTCATATTTTGACAAACTATAACACTTTAACAAGTCTTTAAATGTCATTTTATTCTAAAAATTGTCAATTACCTAAGAACTTATCAATCTCGAACTTTGATGTACTTAATATTCTCTTACGCCTCATTATACTTAATACTTCAATGTTAAAGATATAATATTAATTAATAAAATAAGAACCTGTTATTGGTCTATTTGTTGCATGAGGTTCTCATTTTTATTACATTGTAAAGCCAAAAGATTTATATTTCTAATTTTTTTTTAATTTCAATTAGGTAATTTAATTTTTGAATTGATTGTAATCGGAAGTTACCTTTATTTTATAATAGTATTTATTGAATTATAGGGATTTCAAATGTACACAATTTAACTATTTAGCGATGATTTACACGTTTACTATAAAAATATTTATTAAATAAAAAATTAAATCATTTTTTTTTTCGATTTTGTGATATAACATTTCCGTTAAGCCACCTTTTACTGTGTTTAGAGAAAAACTTTTGGAATTAGAAAAATCCATTTAATTGATTTAAAATAAATATTCATCATCAAAATTATTGCGCTTCATTCCGAATATTTTTCGAAATATTCGGGTATTGTTACAATTTCATATTTACCTTTTAAATAAACAAATTCAACTTGAGATTTACAAGAAAAAAAAATCACATAAATTCTGAAAAGTGCCACAAACTACAAAATAAATAAGTTGTAAAAATGATTTTGTACGATATATTAACAACGTGGACACTTAGTATATATTTAATAAACAATATACAACCAATAAATAATAAGTTACCTATGAAGAAAAGCCTCTCGCTTTTCTTTTTATCCTTGCGTATGGGCCCACGTCCGGGTCCATTATAAAATCGTACAAAACAGCCGTCCAGCTATGGTGTTGCGGTAAGTTATCGTAGAATTCAGGAGCAATCTTTTTAACCTTAAAAAAATAACACCAATTAATTTAACAAAAAAAGATTTATAAATAATAAATAAAGTAAGTTACCTCGGGCAATCTGGATCCCGGAACAGCGGGAAAATCGTGGTGTTCGTTGTGATATCCCACGTTAAACGTTATCCAATTCAAAGGGCCGTAATAACTGTACGTCTCGTAGCCCTTTTTGAACATGTAATGCTCGCTGATGAAGTGTCCTGCCACAGGATGCAGCCCCATCGCCAAAAACGAACCCAGCAGAAGGTACCCGAGCATTCTACCACCTGAAAAAAAATAATTCTAGCTAAAATATCGACAATTTTGCGATTTCCCAAATATTAATAGAGCTATAAAGAGATTTACATGTGTAGCATCATCATCATTACCCTACCTACCCTTACATCTTACTTATCACTACCCTACTTTATTCTATCCAGCAGAAGGTAAACGAGCGTTCTACCAACTGCAAAAAATTCTATCTACGATCAAGCTATTCTCTCGACAATTCGCTATTCTCGACAAATTACAAAAAAACTGCAAAAAATTCTAGCTAAAATCAAGCTATTCTCTCGGCGATTGCTTAAATACTTGCCAATAAAAAAATTGCACGTGCACAAACATCAACATTACCCTACCTACTCTATCCCTCTACCTATCACTACCCTACCCATCAGAAGTTAACCATTTGCAAAAAAATCTAGCTAAGATCTAGTTTTTCTCTCGGCAATTCTCCGATTGTCCAAATATTTATAGAGCTATAAAAAAGATTTACGTGCGTACAAACATAATCATCAAATTTTAAATTATTTTGCACACCTCACAAATACATATTTCGGAAATATATTAATCATTATATTGACCATTGATCACAAATTGTAGCAAATATTCTCGATTAAATGTTCCCATTAAAACTGTGAAATTGTATAAAAAATATAAACCCCATAAATAAACAATAATTTCAACAGTTATAGCTTCAATAAATACGTGCAAATGGTTTTTCCTCGATAATATTACTCAGTTAAAATAATCATGTGACTAGCATTTACACTCTGTAGAGATAATGCACGATATTCTCGATTATAATTACTAATAAACTAGATATTAAAAATGTAATACAAACAGTATCGTTGTATTAGGAATCAAGCTTTTTTTAACATAAACTTACCGCAAAAGTAGACGACAATCGCATCGAAAATCAATTGAATGACTAGATTGACGAATTCCAAATATGTGGGAGGCTTAGGGTAGGTAATTAACGGACGGAAGGAGTAGAAAAACGGCTGTAATATCACCCAGATGAATTTACCGAACGTCGTGCAGAACAATTTCGCTTCCAAATAAGTGGGTATATCGGTATCTTTCAGTTCATCGCCTTGGTACTGAAAATAGAAATCACGTTATCACAGCAAATGCGAGCTATTTGTGACTGAATCTCTTACCCTATGATGTTCTAGATGGTATTTTTTGAAGCTTATCGAGACTGGTAATCCTATTGGAAGATTGGCGAAGAAGCCAAACATTTTGTTGGCCATGGGCCGGGCGTGACCGAAGGCCAAATTGTGAGATATTTCGTGGATTGCTGGAACGAAATTTAATATGTTAAATTATTTCCATTTGTTGTTTTTACTGTTACTCTTGATTTCATAAACATACATGAAGGGTACTTTAATTTTGGAGGATCCTTAAATAGGTGTAATCGATTTCATAATTGACTTTGAGGATCCTTTAAGGCTTAAGTTACATTTAAAGTTACTATGGATTTTCAGACATTAGGAAGAGTAACGTTTTTAAATTTTTTGAAATGATTCAGGACTATCTAGAAGGATTTTAAACTGCCCAGAACTATTTAGAATTGTTTAAAATGATTCATAACTGTCTAGAATGATAGAACCGTCCAGAATGATTTAAACCTATATTGAACGATTTAGAATTGTCCAGAAAGATTCGGAACTATCTAGAAGGATTTTGAACTGCCCAGAACTATTTAGCATGATTCAGAACTGTAAAAATATTTTGAACGATACAAAGCCCTTTAGAACTGTTCATAATCATTAAAAAACTCGTAATCATAATCATCATGATTCATGATGATAAATTAAAACTAAATTAAAATTTTTTACATCTATTATGAAACCATTTGGCATTAGGAATAAGGTTAAAGCATACTTTATCTTAAAGCTTCCTTTGACTAAATGATACTTTAGCACTAGGTACAATCTTGAGGTCCACCAATAATCCGAAATTTTAACGGGGAAAATATTCTAATAAATTAATTTAATTTAGTTATTCTGATAATTGTAAGAAGCTATGTAATACAATTACCTAAAAATTATTATTAGTCCCAAATCAATAATGTGAGATATTCCTTTGGACAATATTTGTAATACAAAGATCATTTATCATACCTTATTATTTTAACTGTTTCTATTTGTTCAATAATATTGTGGCCCTTAAAAAGGGCCGTTTGAAAATTATCCAATTTTTTTAACTCGGAAAAAAAGTTGACATGCCCGAACGAAACATTGAAGTGAACGCCAGATATACTCCATTAATATTTCCTCATTGGACGAAATTTTCCATATCTTCTTCATAAGTCTCGTTTAATAAATGACCTTTTCCCTTCGAAGTTTTGTGTGCGAGTCTGCGGATCATCGGAACAGACGAAATTTTGGAAGTGGTTAACTCTATCGTGCAGATATCTTAGGTTATTTAAATAACCCCGCCACATATCAGTTTTGATTGTTGATCCAAGAAGCTGGATCCCATCGCTGGATCACCCCGGTTAACGTTTCGGCACTACCAATGTCTACGTATTCGAAAAAGCATCTTTTGGTTTACTATCCAAATTATTAAACTATCCATTTTATTGGTATTAAACGACCACTGTGGTATTTTCGTTTACTGAACACACTTTCGTCTATTTCCACCGTTCAAACCACTTTTTCCACTAAAACTACTTTTTCAAAAATAGTGTATTTTCACAAAAATTAATTACATTTCGACAAATTTACAATTTGTATACTGGGTGAGTCAAAACACAAACTTAATAATTACTCGCTCGCTTAATTTAAATGAAACACCCTATATTAATTCAATGACGACTCATAACGAAAAATAAATAAAGCAAAAACTAAATTAATTATTATTGATAATTTATAAAAATATTTTCGCCGTTTGCAATTTTTGCCACCACACTGCAATAGTGAGATCGGTTACCTCGTGCAAAGATACCCTCATTAAAAGGTGGTTAAAATTTCAGATTATTGGTGGACCCCCGAGATTGTACCTTAACCCTTTATTATGAAGCCTGCCCTTTTAGTAGTATCTTAAGCAAAAGGAATTATTATCACTTGAAAATTTTATGCAAGCAAATAAAATCTTAATCACAGACGAACTTTTTTTACAACTACAACCATATAACTGGTTAATTGAAAATTGTTCAATAAAAATTTAATAATAAATGGTTTTTATCAATTTATTCGGCCATTAAATTATGTACACTTACCTAACATTAGAGAATGGTTTATCACTCCTCCTAGACAATAGGCGGCTAGAATTAAAATCGACCACGGTTTGTCTTTCAACACCCATATCAACAAGAATTGAATTAATACCATTCCGGTGACGACCCATTTGAAATTCGGATCGTATCCAAAGAGCTTCTTTATCTGTGGATATTTCTCTGTAAACAAAAAAAATGCATTAATTATTTATTAAATAAGCTAATAAATATACCTATACCCTGGTTCCAAAATAACTGACAGTGGCTCATCGCTCATTTTTTTTGAAAAGTGACCTTGCTTGTGCACAATTTTTTTTAAATAAAAATATGAGTCACTGCCAGTTATTTTGGAACCAGGGTATAGTTTGATATTACACCCTATCTACCTCTTATCAACAAACGTATGCAAACTATAATGTATGAATAATTGTGTAATAAACAGGATATGATGAGAATAACTCGACTCTGAGTAGACAAATACCCATATTATTCTCGAATTAAAGGTGATTATAGCAATTCAAACAAACGAATTTTATTGATTTAAACTAGACATAGACATACCGATAAATTGATTAAATTGGTTCAATGAGTTACCTACAGAGAAATCGATTTGAACAGACAAGAAAAGAGTAATTTGTTTCTTCACATAACAATCAGTGATAAATCTCAATGATTTAGCGATATTAATCGTGTTTGATATATTAATTATCAATGTATCAAAAAAAATTAATTGTAACAGCTGTTGAGAATATAAAAAGATTAAACGGGAAAATAAAAATTTTGTGTAATTTAATTAAATGTACCTATAAAAACATAAGTAATCATTTGATAATCAAATATTAACAACCGGTTGACGTCACTTGAAATCAATATTTAAATAATCTCTAAACTATAAGCAGCATATTAATAAATGAATGAATGTATTAATTATAATAGTTAATTTGTTTAAAATTTTATCTTCGCAGATAACGAATTTAAACAATACTATCTAATTTTCGAGCAGTGCACATCTATAGGCCTAAATTCAAATTTCAAGAAACTTGCTCGAAAGACATCAATAATTTTTGCAGTAATAATTACTAGTAATTGTGCATAAAGTGTATTTTAAATATGAGTAACTAATTAAAAATAATTAGACTTTTCTAGAATGTCTAGAGCAAATCCCAATGAATATGAGAATGAAACGAATTTCAAAAATATTCATCAAAACTACTTACTCAAACAAAAATTTACTCAACTGTGCAAATATCGTTCTGATAACGAATAGGAAATTAAAGATTATATTTAGTAGCGATTTATAAATGGCAAAAACAATTTAATAGCCCGCTGAATAGAAATATGCATATGTGAAATTTGTACACCGAAAAAAAATGTGGAAATATTTAATAGCATACTTTAAAATGTTCGATACTTGGATTGTTCAACAATGTAAAGCAATGAAAATCTTCCTCTAATTGAATTGATAACAAAAATATGTTTAACAGTTGCTCAGCTATACAAGGTACAAGGTATCATGTATCATATACAAGCAACATCATGTGCAAATTTGTTTGCAATATGGTCAATTCTGTGAGTAGAACAAAGAAATGTTATTAAAATAATAGTAGTTAGAGTGATAAAGTTGGACCCTACAGGTCACCCCTACAATGAGTCTTTCTTTTTCCTTGATACGAGACTACTAGAAGTTGTCTTTATTGTACATGTAGCCTATAATACAAACAATTTTGCATCTACCTGTACACAGTGGATTTTTTTTTATTAATCATATTGAACTGTGAAAACTAAACTCTTGATATATCGTTCACTAAAAGTATATCCTGCCAACCACACAAACTACTATTAATACATATGATGAATTCATTCCAAATTTTACGAGAATTTAATAAAAAAATATACGAAAATACAGCCTCCGAAAAACCGTCGTCAATTAATTAGAAGGCGTACCTAGCAACAACAAACGATTAGATAATACTGGTAATTAACTCAAAGCAGTTTTTCTAACCTAAAATTACTTTTCTTCGACTGGCGTGCGGCTCTTCGGTGTAGACCCATTCGAAATCGGTTCTAGACACGTGCTGGCCCATTATTTGAGGATTTATCGTGAATTTCGGTTGTTATAGATCCAATTAAATGGTTGATTAAATTTTGAAAAACACCGCTCACATATTTAACCTATGAGTCACGAGACCGAATTTCCAACGTACTCTACCAACGCTGCGAATGAACTAAAATAAATTTTAAAATGAATAAAAAATGAATAGAAAACAGACACTACAAAAATGACATTGACATTGACTGTTTTGAGTAGTGTTTTTAGAATGACAGTTAACAGTTAGTGTAATCTTGGTTGCATATGCATAAGTAGTAAAGGAAGAAATAAAATTATGCAATTATGCATTATGAAAAATTATGCAACGGAATAAAATAAATTTATTACAAAATTACAAGTACTAAACGTTTTAACGTTCGCAAGAATTAAATTTTTCTTAATTATCGGAAAAAAAACAATACAAGTATTATAAATTCAACTATGTTAAAGGCCAGTAAATACCTACGAAACGTCAATCATCGGCGACATTGACATAAATGACACATGTGAAAGTGACATTTTGTTATTATTGGCTTATTAATTAATTAGTTTTACAAAGTAAAATGACTAATATATTTTATATAATTTCAATGGAATAATGTAGGGAACGATGCCACCGTTTCGTAGAAAAAAGTCCGGAAAGAGTTTTCCCGTAAAAGTTTACACATTAGACGCAGAATTGGAGTTTAATTTAGAAGTAAAGCATTCAATCTTTTGCGAGTTTGTTTTAAACCGTCGGATTATTTTTAGTGGAGGGCCATGGGACGAGACCTTTTCGAGCTAGTTTGCAGGACAATCGGCTTGAGGGAAACATGGTACTTCGGTTTGCAATATGAGGATTCCAAAGGTTTCATATCATGGTTGAAATTAGACAAAAAAGGTAGTAATTCCATCGGTATGTTACAAATAATACGTTATTTACCTATTTTCTGCTTGCAGTACAAGATCAAAGCATTCAAAAGAACCACAAAACCGCCTCCTTCATGTTCTTGGCGAAATTTTACCCTGAAGAAGTAGCCGAGGAACTCGTACAAGAAGTTACGCAGCACTTGTTCTTTCTACAAGTCAAACAAGCGATATTATCTATGGACGTATATTGCCCACCTGAAGCTTCAGTATTACTAGCAAGCTACGCGGTACAAGCTAAGGTAAGCTATTGTTACTAATTTTCGCAAGATTTTCACTAACGTTAATTTGTTTTTCTTTACACGCAGTTCGGCGACTTCGACGAGGACACTTACAAACCCGGTATGCTAGCCAGCGAGGATTTGTTGTTACCCCAAAGAGTCATCGATCAATACCAAATGACCTTAGAAATGTGGGAAGAAAGGATAAGAGTGTGGTATGCGGATCACCGTGGTATGTCGAGAGACGAAGCGGAGATGGAATATTTAAAGATCGCCCAAGATCTTGATATGTACGGCGTCAATTATTTTCCGATATTAGTAAGTGTATTCTATTAAGAATCTATTCGACGCTTTTTAACCATAAACAATCGTTTAAAGAGTATTTTTTATGTAAAAAATATCCGTAGTTTAGGGTTAGTTTAGAAGAGAGTGGAGAGTAGAGAGATTAGCTAGAGAAGATAATAATGGGAATAGAGCAGAGAGTAAAGAGCAGAGAGTAGAATGTAGAGTGTAGAAAGTGGAGAGTCCATATAGTAAAGAGTACAGAGAGTAGATAGTATGGAGTGTAGAGAGTATGGAGAATAGAGAGTTCAGGGAATATAGAGAGTAAAGAGTAGAGGGTTGAGATTAAAGAGCAGAGAGTAGATAGTACAGAGTGTAGAGAATGGAGAGTAGAGATTAATGCTTCATGACAACAATGTTAAACTGTCAAGTTAAACACACGCCTATAACTTTTAAAAAAGAGCGGCAAATACTAATGTAAGTCTATTGGATTTAAATTAATGGTTTTTATTAATTTTAGAACAAAAAAGAGACTGATCTGTGGCTCGGTGTGACCGCTCTAGGCTTGAATATATACGAGAAAGAAAACAAGTTGCAGCCCAAGACGACTTTTACTTGGTCGGAAATCAGAGACATAAGTTTCGATGACAAGAAATTCATCATCAAACCGGTAGATAAAAACGCACCGAATTTCGTCTTTTTTAGTAAAAAAGTTAGAATGAACAAATTGGTAGGTACAAATTACTTTTTCTACGAGAACCTCGATTAACTTCTCATTCGCAGATATTAGATTTATGCATGGGCAATCACGATTTATTCATGAGACGGAGGAAACCGGATTCGATGGAGCTACAACAAATGAAAGCTGCTGCCAAAGAGGAGAAACAAAGAAGACAAGTACAGAGAAATAGGTAATTTTTGACTCTATTCGATGCTCGATTATCGTTTGATACTTATATTTAAAAATAATTTAGACTGGCACGGGAGAAGCAATTACGAGAAGAAGCCGAAAGGGAAAGGGCCAGCATGGAACAGAGGCTGTTGCAGTATCAAGAAGAAATTCGATTGGCCAACGAAGCCTTGGTATGTTCTTTACATTAAATTAACTCGATAAAATGAATTAAAGAAATTACTTTTGATTGGATAGAGAAGATCAGAAGAAAGCGCCGATCTTCTGGCCGAGAAAAGCAGAGTAGCCGAGGAAGAAGCGCGATTGTTAAGTCAAAAGGCTGCCGAAGCTGAACAGGAAATTACTAGATTAAGACTAACAGCCATGAAAAGAGACGAGGAAAAGGTAACGTTATGCAAAATTGTTTGCATGCAACAAAGACAACTTCCATTAGACTCTCATATAAAGGAAAAAGAAAGAGTGATATTGTAGGGGGGATTGCAATTTTTTCACTCTAATCACTGTTATTTCAATAATCTTTCTTTGTTCAACTTGTTGAATTGAACGAATGAATGAATGACTTGATTGGTTGAGCGATTAGTGATTGATTGCTTGTTCAATTGATTGGTTGGTTGGCTGATTGATTGATTGATTGTTTGATTGAACCAATGAAGATCTCCTATAGTTATAAAGTGATAGTGATATTATGGGTGATTAATGTCATTAAATTCTAAAGGTTTCTTTGGAAAAGAAGACGAGAGAAGCTGAAATGTTGACGGCGAGGCTAGTGGAAGAATCGGAGAAAAGGGCAGCCGAAGCGAATAAACTGAAAGAAGAACTATTGAAAGCCAGAGCGGCCGAGAAACAAGCTAAAGAAAAACTACTGGACTTTTTGAGTCGCACTACAACATCTTACAACGGTTCTAATACCGTTTCTCCTATTTCTGTAAGTTGAATTTTCGCTCAAAACTTTCCCCGTTTTACTCTTATAAAAATTCTTATAATCGTTCTTTCGTATTTTTAACATCTTACCGAGCATGTAAAACAGGTAGATATTATAATACGTTAATTTTGTTTTAATTCAAAGAGTAATGGAAAAACGATTTTTATATTTTAGTCTGTTACCACTTTATACCCCCCGCCATTAAGTCCCGGATATTGTCAAGATCTCTCTATAATCGAAAGCGAAGCTTCAACATCTCCGGATTTGAATTTGAACATTTTGAACATCACTTCGTACGATCATTTGGCAAACGCGGACGCCGATCAACTATCGCTGGAAATCGAAAAAGAAAGGTAATAAATAACTTAAAAATGGGTGATAAAGGTTTTAATTTTGGGTTTGTTTTGGCATAGAATCGAGTACTTGGAGAAATCTAAACACCTCCAGAATCAATTGAGAGAACTGAGGAGCGAAATAGCCGAGCTGAAAGTGGGCGATAGGCAAACGGAATTGGACCAGTTGCACGAGGAGCAGGTGAAATGCGGAGAGAATAAATATTCGACTTTAAAAAAAAGCAAATCGGGCTCGACGAAAAGCAGAGTCGCATTTTTCGAGGAGTTATAGCGGCCTATTCGAGTACATCGAGTACGTAATTTTAACTATTTTAAATTAAGTATAAATAAATATTTTTTAATTATCCCGTTTCGTTTCATTTAGAACTGACAGAACTATTTAGAACTGTTTAGAATCATTTAGGAAGCTCCAGAATCACTTAGAACTGTCTCGTATTATCTAGGTAGCCCAGCCTTATTTAGAACTGTCTAGAATCAATTAGAACAACATAGAGTCATTTAGAACTGTCCAGAACAATCTAGATCGCTTCAGAATCAGAGTGACACACAAAAGAGTGATATTGTGGGATTGCAATTTTCTCACTCTAGCCACTGTTATCTTAATAGTTCTTCTTTGTTCAACTAAGAATTGACCATATTGCAAACAAATATGCACTTACCCATTGAACCAACATTTTTAAAATCATCATCTACAAGATTATTTATTTAAAATAATTAATGCGAAAAATTTATTATCCACTATTTATCCGTAATATGTATTTATGTATATTCATCCGGCTTTTGTCTCTGCATAATACAAGATAAACTCTTCCCTCTCATTATTACTCATTATAAATACCTAACCAAGCAAAACTAAATAATAGGTAAAGCTAAATACAAACGGAACAGTGCAAATACTCCATTGTATAAAATACCTTTGCTGGGTATCAAGGTCAGCCTAGCTTTCTTTCGGTAGGGTTTTCATTGGAAATTTGAATCATAATACGATCCAAAACAGATTCTTTTTTAGATATTTTAGAGGGTGTTAATTAATTGAGTGCCGATACTTCAGGATGTAAATGTTTGGATGATTTTAAGAAGAAAAATTTATATCAATATATGCCCTAAAGCTCTTAGTTTTCGAGCTACAGGGTATTACAATTTTAGACAAAAAAAAACATCTTTTCTATCATAATTTTCTTTTTACTCCAGATATTTTTATGAAATTGTGTACACACTTTTTATAATTGTTAAGGAGCATTTTTAGGAATTATTAAGGACATTTTTTACCAGTGACGTCCGTACGGTACGGTAAGGTGGTACGCCACTGATTTTTCGAAAAACCAAAATTATTTCTAAAATCCTTATTTATTTTGTAGTAAGACGCAAGATTTTCGCGTAAAAAATAAAACCTAAAACAATTTTTCCCAAGTTCATTTTTAGACTACTTTTGACATTTTGTTGAAATTTGGTAGGTGCCCAACATGCATGGAAACACTTTTTAATTTTCTATTATTATCAGTGTCGTCCACACCCGAAATTTCATAAAAATATCTGGATATCTATAATTAATTATGATAGAAAATTTATTTTTTTTCTAAAATTGTAACACCCTGCAGGCTCGAAAACTAAGAGTTTAGGAGTTAGAGTTTCATATAAACTTTTGTTCTTAAAATCATCCTAAGTATCGGCACACAATTAATTAACACCCTGTATAGTAGATACATATTTCTATAATCAACGCTTACTAAGTCTCCCGTTTTAATGGGAACCTCTTTACATCGGTAATTTATAATTGTAACAAATGGATTCTTAATTTTTCTAATGTAATTTGCGTTGATCGAGTTCGTCGGAGATTCCCTGCCAGAGAAGTTTTGCTTCGGCTTGTCCGTGCTCATCGCCGTATGACTAATAAATAGTTTAAATCGCTCCGGTCTGTTGGATTTTTGTTACAGAACGAAGCCTTTGTTCGATTTTTTGTGTTTATACAGAAAATTAATCGGAAACTGTAGTTTTCTTCTAAAAATTCGGCGCTTTAAAAAAGACATACACCTTTCTTCTTCTGTACGATTCTTCTAATGAGAACGGTTGTTTGGCTAATGAAAGCAGGAAATTGGAGGTTTAATATCTATAATTTAATTTATTAACTCGGCAAAAAGTGCTGGAAAATTAGTTTGGTTGATATTTTTTTATGATGCAATGAATTAGGTTGGCTCTGCTTGAAACATTTTACGGTAAATAGTTAAATGTAATTATCATAATCAACACTTGCGTCATATATTGTATTAGTTTTGTTTAGTTTATCAATAAATTTGTATAGTTAGCTCTACATTTACCTAAACAATTCAACTAATGTAGATAATAAGCGCGAAATGACGTTGAATTTAAACTCAAAAATAACGATTTAACAATGAATCTGTAGAAGAAAATGTGGAGAGAAGTACGGTAAGAATAATAAATTAGTTCAAAATTAAACAGGCGCCCTAAAGTTCATCAAAGCTTAGTAAGTTTAACGAAGAAAATAAAAGAAACAATTTATTAAAAAAGAAGCAATATGTATTTTTAACAAGCAAATATTTTGTTAATGTTCAAACAGAACAAGCTGGTAATGCCACCAATTTTAAGCAAACAGAACATGAACTATTTCAACAAAAGATAAGCTTTCGTCAATTTTACAATACTAAAATACTTTTGGAACAATTTTTTTTATTTTTTTCGTACCACCATACCTTCCTCAACTGGAACCATAACCACGACCATAAATCAAAATTAATCTACCCGTGGAATGTTAGGCATAATAACCTAGCATTACCTGTATACCCTTCAAATCTGTACCCAATCACTTCGTGCTATTATAGGGCTTTTAATGCTAGTACGGTTCTCAAAGGTAAATACAATCACCTGTGTAAGTCGGCGCAGTACCATTTAGCATCGTTGCCAGATTTAACAGAAATACTCCAGTTTTGCCACTAAACCACTTCCACAACACCCTTTGGAAATAGCTGGTCTCGATGCTGATGTTTTCCACTTCAACATGCATTTACCATGGTGTAGTATGGTAGTACCAGAAATAAATGGTAGGGCTTTATAATGTTTGACGTCTAGATCTCTTCAAAATTCTCTATTCTTCAAGTTAACAAGTATCCAGCTATCATTACAGGTAGAAAGTACCCGCTGGATTAATCACCAGCTGGTAAACAATAATTAGTCTATTGGGGATTAGAGCTTAGGATTTACAAGTCCAATATGGTAGTACTATACCGAAATCAAGCTGGGGATCTATTAAAGCTAGACTTGATGCTAATGTTATCCACTTTAATATGCATTAAGAGTGTGTAGTATAGTAGTACCAGAAATATATAGTAGGATTTTGTAAATGTTAAATGTCGAGACTTACAACAGTCTAGATTAACAAGTACCCAGCTCTCAGCAGGTTGATTGAATCATTGAAAATTGTATACAGTTAACAACTCGTAAAACCTAATGAGTTTATTGGGGATTAGAGCTTAGGATTTACAAGTCCAATCTGGTAGTACTATAACGAAATCAAGCTGGGTCCTGGGTTCTCAATGCCGATGTTTTCGACTTTAATACGCATTACCGATCGTGTAGTACCATCGCCGGAAGCACCGGCAACGTCGACCCGTTGTCGTACACTCCACTGAACTCAACTTCTTGGTTCCCATCCCCTCTCCGGCCGCGGAACCGCCGTCACTCTACCTGCCAAGGAACATAGTTACCTGTGACCGCGGCGTCCGAAGCCAACTACGCGAACCTGTCTACGTCACTCGTTCCACCATAATCGAGAATTTCACAGAATTTTCGTGGAGACGGGACGAAAAATCCGGCGTTAGCGCCCGCCCGAAGTGACCCGCCGCCGCGCCAGGACGCCCCATCGCGCCCCATCGGACGTGCAGAGGCGATCGAGAACTGGGGTAGAGTGTTAATGTTCGGGTTACTTGTGGAATTTTGAGGTGTGTGCAAATACATAACTGTGTCTCGAATTTTTCCGCTGGAAGCTGTTACGCTGTAAAGGCGATTGTATTGGTGATTCGGGTAATTTGCATTTATTTTCCTTTTTGGTTTTTGGTTGAAGCGGGATTGGTGTTGGATGTTAAAGATGTTTGTGGTAGTTCCAGCTGTTTTGTGATTCATGATTTGTCTTCACTCTCTTCTGAGTGGAGTACTCGAGTACTCGAGGAATGCCATGTTGGTGTGAAAAGTTGGTTAATTTTTATTAATCTCCGATTTGCTGGTTAGTTTCGAAGATTAAAACGTAAACGCAGAGAGTCGAGATAGTTCGATAAATTTGAATTGTGAATTAATCCGCGAAGTAACGGTTTAAGCTAGTTTCGGATTTGTTGGAATTTATTCGAAAATGTCCATCGCTGTGTTGAGAAATTTCTTAGAGATGTGTAAAGGAGGATTTAGCAGCGTTGAAGCGATAAGAATTTCTTGAATAGCACCCCGGAGGTAAATATTGGAGTGACCTTACCTGGTAACTGTCGAAAATTTAAAAGGCGATTTGTTGTGTGGAAGAACCGGACTTCATTCAAAATTCTTGAGATTCCTGTCAAATTATACCTTTAAATATGAACCCCGTGATTTTTATCTGTACATTACGCTGTTACAAAATCGAATCACCTTTACATTCATAGCTATAACTATAACATAACAGAATAAATTTGAAAGTGTCGTAGGTAAAACTCAATAGATACTAGTCGAATCTAATATTAGTATATTCATAGAGTAATACTATACCTGGTTATCGCTAACTAAAGGATAAATAAATTACAAGATGCTAAATTTGAAGTTTAATTATATGCAGTGTACAAATCATATTTCACTCGTGGTTTATAAATGTAAATGAGGAGAAAATAGATATGACTTCACCGAGTTATTAAATAGAAAATACATATTAGTTAGTAAAAGCTTTTTTATCTGCATGCATACACATTAAATATTACACATTCGATATTACGTTTTGCGTGTAATAAGATATAGACAATTACTTAAATTCATTCTATTAGGTAGCGTTTAATTGTATAAATAAAATGTGAATACATGCATAAAATATATGACAGCTGCAAAGTAAAAGTATTGATATTTGTCGAAGACAATTTCTACTTTTTTGTATCAATTTCTTTAGATATTTATTTGCATTTCAAATTTTGCTAATTTTCCGAATTTCATATTAAATTTTTAGTCTATACAAACAAACCAAAGAGATTAGTTAAAATTAGGGCAACAGACAATTAATTACTGAAAATTAATAGACAACGATCCGCATTTATTTAAACTCGATTGATAGTTGATAGACAGACACCCGTATGAAAAAAACTTTCTTTTTTTCGATACACAACCGGATCACTTCCGAGTAACGATTTTTTTCTCGTTTAGCTAATAAATCGATCTTAATGGGTCCGTTGAGTACACCTGACTGTAAAATTAGCGCGACAAATTGCAAAATTATAATTATCTAACCATAAGCAACAATGTTAGAGAGCTCGATGGTTTTTGATGTGAAGCAAAATTGCAGAAAAATTGTTGAAAAAAAATGATTAATTATTTTCCAGTGTTAGAAATTTCCACTCTAGCGTGAACTAAACCTGTATAATATGAAAAATTTCCTCATTTCACGATTTAAATGCGACAAATAACGTATAAAATATTTGTTGCATTTCAACGATATCGAAAGAATGCGACCTTCAACCGACCATTAGGTATTAGATATTATACTGTTAAGTTAATAAAACTAAACATTTTCGTGCGATCATATCAATAGGTAGCCATTTATTGGCTATATTGCTTATTGTTCTTGGCGCGCGGCGTAAATATTTAATTGTTGTAACAATGGGTTTCATGTACGGATACGAAGAATGGACCGCGTTTTGATACCGGGAAGGTTGAAAGCGGAAGAAATAAAAACGAAAACGTTGTTACCTACTTTTTCTTTCTTTCTAATGTGTAATGGATTCTTGGATATATACCAATAGAGAGCGATACGCTGTAAATGGAAACATTCGAATTAAGAAGTTTCCACTGTAGAATTTCCTACCACAATTTTAATTTATTGTGAGTATTGGCATAATTTTTATTTCGATTAAAAACAGCTATTATTCCGCTTGATTATAAACATGCCAAGCAAATGATATTAATTATTATTGGACTTGGACGTTGCTCAATGTCAAATAATTATTGCAATTTTTTTGTGCTGTTAATAATTCAGAAATTCACTAGATTTGCTCGTATTTAGAAGTTTCGTATAATCAAATGGTTTTGTAACCAACCGATTTTTCGGTATTCAGAAGTCTATATAACCGCTTGGTTACGAAACCGGTGTGTAAACACGGCAAACTTGCTTGTTTGAACCGGTAGAATTATCAAATATAGGGTAAACAAGATGAAAATGAGGTTTTTGTCCTTGTAATTCCAAATAAGTCCCCCGCTACTAGGCTATTCGGCTATTAACTTGGTTGACTATTATAAGTTGACCATGTATTAAAAATTGTATTTTTCAAATAAATCTTTAATGTTTCCTTTCAAACTAAACAAACAAGAACCATGATTCTCGATTTATATTAGTGTTAATTTATGGCACGGCAGAAATATAACATTTTTAAGCTTCAAAATTATTAGATTTGAGTATTGGAAAGTAGGTAAACATGAACTTGAACATGAACATACCATTGGATAGCATTTTTATAGGCTTTTATGATGTATCACAAATTGGGGGTTGCTATTTTAATGTCAATAGTTGGGATAAATGGAGCCCAGGGGCTTGATCGAAGTGAATTTTTTATGTCATTTTAGTTCCCCCTTAATATCCTAGAAATGGTTTCAGGCATTTTTTGATATCATCTTTGGTTTGGGAGATATAGCCATTGTAAGTTTTTAAATTGCCATACTGTATAAAGCAAACCAAATTTACTATTATTAACAGTTATAACATATTACTGGCTGGTTAAAATTGATATAACCAACTGATAATATTATAACCGACACTTTTTTGAATACGGGCCATTAAGTAGGTACTCTCTACTTTTCTACACACCTCACTATATCATAATAATTATTTTTACACATGTACATATGTGCATCTACTATACAGAAAAGTTTTAATCGAATGTTCGAAAGATGATTACAATAAATAGTTAATTTCCATAAAAGTTTTGTTTACAATTACGTCTCTCACACGAGTGAGTCATATTCGTATAAATAAAGATGTTTCATTTTTACTATTCGGTAAGTCTCAAAAACAATAACAATTCAATAAAAACAATGTTCGACTCGCAAACTCGTAGAAAGTTAAGTGCGAAAATGTCGTGACCCTTGTCAAGATCCGTGAGCTATGCACATAGAGATTCGATTTGTAGGACATGCAAGATTATAAGGATGTTTTTGTAATAATGATGATAATACGTAAATATATTACCTAGGATAATTTAGAAAGAAAAATTAGTACACTTTCTTGCCTGTAGTGTACAAAATAATCTTGTTACTAAGGTAAAAAAACAGCTTAATTACCCTCATTGATATTTAATTACTCGAATAACGCATAACATATTTTTAATTTCAAATGGTATCAGCATTGGAAACGAATGAAATGAAGATATTGCGACATGCGTCGGATTCTGCTGCAAGTTCTGCTAGTCGCGGTAAACGTGATTTTAAATAATTCATTAATAAAGAGGAGATAGATTAAATGCAGAAATGTGTGCATGCCAATGGTCTCCCAGAAGAATTTTAATGAAATTCTCCGTACCTTTCATGAATAACTGATTTGAACGCAACCTCGACGTGTATACACAAGCTGTCTAAGAAATTACGCTATTATCTTCGCCAAAGAACGCTGCAATTTACTGGAAAATATTAATAGAATTGATATTATTAAGCATCGAAAACTTGTGATGGAACTGTTAATAATCAAATTTGCAGGATTTTAAGGATTTGCATTTTATTCGCTTTATACTATAATCATTATATACTATTTCCACGTAATTACCGGCGGTATTTTAAGCACCTGTCCGAACGATTTCACAATATTGAACCTATGACACAGATTCCTGCGAGATGCGACTGAAGAATGTGATTATTTTCGCTTCGAGTGGCTTCGATTTGGAAATACATACCTATATTCACATGAAAAAAAGAAGAGTAAAATTCTCGAGATTCGATGTGACAGAATAACCAAAGTTAAAACTAGACCGTATATGATGGAGAATGCGCATTTTTCCACGATGGGTCTGGTTTACTTGTTGATTATAAATTTTATTTCTTCGAATAAAAATATGTACGTATTGCACAATTCGATTGTACTTGCGTAAGTAATAATATAACGGCGAACGGATGAAGATATATCTGCTTATCGAAAATCGATCGCTTTGAAAAACTCGCCGAACAATCGATATTTTTCCGACTGTTCGACTCTGCAGAATTTAGATGTAGATACAATAATGAAATATCTTGGAATCGCCATTTATCAATGGCGAACGTCGAATTATCATAGATAAGTATTAGTATAGTAATCGGAATTTTCGTAATGAGATTGACCGAGTTTCGCCGTTGGTTTGCGTACGAAGACAGTTCCACTCCGAGTCGATGACTTCTGATGATGGGAGTGGCCCATCGACAGAGATTATCGTCATTTCACACGATTATACCTCTTTTTAATATCAATCGAAGGGATACTGCAATGCTCATTTCAATTTAGAATGTTTTATTTACAACTTACATTTACTACTAGAATATTTTCTTCTGCTGTAATAATATAAATATAAACTCGAATTCGACCCTGAAATAACTTATCAGTAGTTAAGCACACACCAGCTACTTATGAATGCAATGATATTGACTAAGCAAGGATACGGTTTTCGCTTGTGTACCGATAAAAAACTGCTTAATTGTTTCCTATTTCACTTCAATTAGTTTAATTGCCGGGTTAGATATCATTAGGAGAGAAGAATAATTTACATGTTTTTATATCTACGATCGAGTCGAGTAAATTTCAATTCACTCCGTTATAAAAACAAAGAGTAAAATAAAAACTTACCGATTTCTTCCAATTTTAGTAGAAAGGAATATTATGTTGGAAAAATTAAAGCATATTACAAGATAAGGTGAAAAGTTCTCGATCTGATACACCGAGGACGCTGCAATCAGCAAAAATTCTCATTTCCTCTTCGGCACATTTATAATTAATTCGTAAGAGAAGTTTCAGAACCATTTTTAGAACGCTCCAGAATCAATTAGAACTGTTTAATCCCGTTTGGAACGCTTCAGAATCATTTAAAACTGTCTAGAACTATTTAGAACGCTCCAGAAACATTTGGAACTATCTAGAACCATTTAGAACGCCCCATAATTAACCAGAACTATTTAAAACCTTTGCGAACGCTCCAGAGTCATTTGGAACTCTTAGAACCATTTCAAACTCTCTAGAATCCTAGAACCATTTAGAACTAAATGCAATAAGCTAATAAAATAAATTCCTACTCTTAATCAATGGGAGTTCTATAATTTTCTTCAACCTCTGCACTTCGATCGGCGATTAATTTATAGATTATTACGAAATAAGTTCTTAATAATTAAACAATAATGTAACTAATGAAATATTCTCTTAACATGGTGTATACCAGCCCGTTCGATGTCGAACCCAACTTATTAGTTTGTTGCGCTTGTGCAATAACTAGAGAATCTCTTCTGTGCATGATTCAAACCCGCCAACATGTTTTAAACGTTGCGAAAACTGACGTTACGTTAATGAAGTTGCGATTAAACGAAAATGTTGTTACTTAAGAAGACATTAAACGGTCTGCGTTAAAATTCTTTATAAATTATTAGTACGATACGGTTAAATTTTAGGTTAAACATTACAAAACGTTGTGCCAAAAATGCATCGTACGATTTCCGAATTGAGTCGATTACTTAATTAATTGGTTTAATTATTATAATTAATACGAAATGCACAGAATCGGTATATGTATTTTTTGTACCTACCGTCATGTTTTCCATTATCTTATTCTCCAATAAGAAAGTTCACTGACTTTCATTGTTGATGCATTGATTTACATAACTCTATTACGCTACTCACTCGCTATAACTGCGTTAAATTAAACGATGGAAGTTATAAATTATAGTATTATAAAATAAATTCAGCCCGGAGCTAATTAATAGTTAGTATTAGAATTTGTTCATATTCGCTAACCAACTTGGTACTTTATTTTTCAGGCCATCCATATCGTATACAATGCTAGTCACTACCTCCTAACAACCCTCTAGTCGAACTGTATCAACGAATTGAACGATCAAAATGTCCGATTCCACTCCGATCTGCAGATGCAGGGTCCTGTATTTGGGCTCGAGCGTACCGCAGCAAACTAAAGACGGCCTGCAAGGCATCCAAGAGCCTTTGCAGGAACTGTACCCCGACCAAGGGGCGACGGGAGCCAAAGGGATCGACTCGTGGTTGAGCGTCTGGTCCAACGGCATCCTCCTCGAAAACGTCGACGAGAATCACAAGAAAATCACTAGGTTTTTTCCAATTGAAAGCTTGCACTACTGCGCGGCTGTTAGGTGAGTTTTACTGGGCAATTGATTGATAAATATACAACTCGTAAAAACGCCCCGTTATGTCTCAAACAAAAGCATTCCTTCGGCAAATTCAAACAATCCGAAGTCTAAGAACGCTGATTTGCATTCGCTTGTATCTCCGAGCCTTGAATGTCTTTCTCGAAGATTTTACGAAAATAAGAAAAAAAAAACCGGCGAAGTTGAAAACGAGCTTGTTTTCTTTGCGTTTAAGCGAAGGAGAAAAGTGTTACGATGCATGGAATCCTTTAGAAGGTCGTATATGCCATGATCGGATGAATACAGAGTGATTTATTTCCAGTTGGTTCTCTTATTTGGTCGTTCGAGCGAGTTGCTTTTACTCGGACAAGATTTCTTCAAATATCCATCTTTATTATTACATTGCACTAGAACAGGAACTATTGTGCAAGTACATGATGATAAAATATCCCTATGAAGTAAAGATTAAAGTGATGAATTAATAAAGATAATTGATCATCCAGAGTGCATGAAATTATGTTACTGGAACACCATTAAAATTCTTTAGTAAGTACGCGCAATTTTACCGAATAAATTGCGCCCGATTAAGGCTAAATTTCCCGGTATTTAATTTTTGTCGGCAGTTTAGGTACGATTGTCTTTGTCGCGAAAAAGAGAAAAGCCCGCGATCGGCGGATGCGCTAATTGAAAAATTGCCAACGGATGGTAATTTCTTTGTACAAGAGGAACTATCTCGGCGTTTCATTACGGCTCCGAGTCGACCTAGAAATGGGTTTTGGAATGGAATTGCGAAAGAACTTTTTTGCTACAATGGATAACAATTCAATCATAAATCCAACGCAGTGATCAAAGATATGTAATCCTATCGGGTGTTGCGAAATCAATCGAAAATGCAAGGTTAAAGCAACTTCCTTCTTTCATAATTTTTATCACAATCAACCGTTACTCCGGAACCAGCGTTTGTTCGCCATTATCGTCCAAATAAAATTTAATTAATACAGATGTAATAACAAATTTTAACGGTAACTCCGAGGTGAAAAGTCAACATTCCTCGTGCTCGCCAGCACCGCAACGTTTACACACCAGAGCGGAATAACTACCGCATATCAGAAATAAAAATCCACTTTTCTTCACTTACAGGTACGTTCTAGTCCCGGAAAAAAACACCCTCCACAGCCCGAACCCGCGATTCCTCCCTCTAGACTCCCCCTTCGCTCGGACCCCCAACCCCGTCCATCCGCCGCTGTTCGCCGCCATTTTAAGAAGAACCACCGGCATCAAGGTCTTGGAATGCCACGTGTTCATTTGCAAAAGAGAAGTGGCCGCCAACGCGCTGGTGAGATGCTGTTTTCACGCTTACGCCGATTCCTCGTACGCCAAGCAAGTGGACACTGCTGGAAGCATCTACGGCACCCTTGCATCAGAAAGACTCACCAGCAAGGAGAAGGTATTACTATCATACCCAGAGTAGATAAACTGCAGTGCTTACTCTATTCGATATACGTTTTACAGATAGACGAATGGAAGATGAGCAGATCCCAATCGGGATCAACGATGACTCTAAACACGCTCACCAACAACCACAATCACAGCAGCAGCAAGGACGACATCAGTATTTACAACGGCGACGAGAATCACAAGGTGAGTACAATCATCATCGTAGCGTATGAACTCTATAACTTGGTTGGAAACGAATTGCTAGGTTTGGGCCGGCTCGCAAGACAACCTGGACGGTATCTACGACGTGTACTCGACGAGCACGATCTCCAGGCCGTCGCGACCGCGGCAAATATCGCAGCCGGTGGCGGTGCCGCCGCCGCCCGTCAAGGAGAAGAAGAAGAAGAGCAAGGTGAAGAGCCTGGGCGGCTCGCGCGAAGATCTCTACCATCCGATGATGAACGGGCGGCCGGGCAGCGCCGCCGGATCGATGGTGAAGATGCGTCAGATGCCGCCCCAGATGGGCGTGCCGCCGCCCCAGCCGGTTTACATAATGGCGCCGCATCCGGGGACGTTGCCCAATCCCAAGTATTACAAGCCTCACGGTGAGCGATGCTTCGCTGGGGTTTCGGTGTGGTGTTAATTGCGATTGTGTTGCAGGAAATACGTTTTCTCATCGACCGAGGAACCAAGTTCTGATACCCGCTCGACCGATTCCTCCTCCTTTGGTGCCCGTCGCACCGATGATCATTCCCACGACCATGTCGAAGAGCAAGAAGAAGCACAAGCACGTCGAGGAGCCGATTTACATGCCCAGTAATCGAGCTTTGAGCCCGGTAGCCAGTTATCAACCAGTAAATTTTCCTCACGAAGCATATTTGATGCAGCATTACGCTACGATGGAATCGCAGGCAAGTAGAACAACGCCTAGACGAACGCTAGAAGAGTAACGTTTGAATTGATTTACGCAGGGAAAGCAACGGAAGAAAGACAAACACTCGGAGAAGTCCAAGTTGAATAAGAAATTAGCTCAGAGCATGAACGGTTTGGATGACCCTAATGTTATCACCAATGGGGACGAGAGTCCTTTCAACACCGGTATTTACAAGAAGAAAGGACATTTGAACGAAAGAGCTTTCTCGTATTCGATCCGACAGGAACACAGGAGCAGGAGTTACGGAAGTTTGGCCAATTTGAAGTTCGCCAGTCCCATACCCAATGGACATGACGTAAGTATAAAACATATAAATGGTGTCCAAACATAGTGAATTTGAGTCCAATGAAGTCAAAACAATGAGTCCAATATTTCTTCAAAAGCTATCCACTGATAACAATATTAACCCCATCTTTAGGAAGATCTACTGGTGAAATATGCGAAAACAAAAACATTCTTCGGCGATGTGAAGAAGTTCAACAAATGATCTTCTACTGCACCAAAATGATCAAAGACGTTTCATAACGATACCGACGGGTAGGCAACACTAATAACACATTTTTGATCGGAACTTTTTCGGGGTGTTTAAGGGTTGGGGGTAAGTTACTTCATCACATCGCCGAAGAATGTTTTTGTTTTTGCAAATTGCACCAAAAGGTCTTTCTAAGGTCACCACTTCGATGGCCATCCACCATTGAGCCAGAACTCTCATCATAATCTACTCATAAGGGTAGCAATTTGACTGAAATTCGCCCGTTTCCATACTTTTTGGACACCCTGTATATGTCCTCGAGTTTCGTACAAATTAATAACAATTCTCGGCCTTTGTACGAATGAATATTCGAGGTGTGTTCGGAACAGTTAAAAGTTTCGCGTCAATTTCTAAAGAAAATATGCAGTGGTTGAGTGAAATCGAAACCCGTCCGATTCCATTCTACAAATACGGCGTTGGAAGCGACTTTTTAAAAAAGTCGCACGTACGAAGACGAAAATGACGATATTTTTTAATCGTCCGGCTCTCCGGAACCGATTTGCGAGAATGGAACGGGACGTGAATGTAAATTTGGCGCTGAATAAACGGCTGATTTACTTATGCAAATATCTAATCGGATTTTTTATTGGTAGGAGGACCGCGAGGATATTAAAAAAGAACGCGAAATAATGCAGATGGTGCACGATTTGGACCTTTCCGGAGACGAATTGGAGCGATCGGAAGTGCCTAGGGGAATGTACGAAGCTCGAGCAGGTCCTCAGGGGCCCGTCATTGTGACAGCTCCCCAAGTAAACGGTAGAGGTCATAGAAGATAAGGTAAAATAATACATCAGAATTTTTACCGTTTCTAAACTACTTCTTTTTTTTAGCTCTAACGCTCACTTTTCACCGATTTTCCAACCAGCCAAGTGTTTATTTTCTTATTTATTACGATTGTGTGAAGTTCGAATTGGTTTTTCTATATAGAAATTTTCCATTTTCCAGCCATATATCTTGATTTATCCAACGAAGTACATGATTATGCGTTTATTTAGAGTAAATGAGTTTTAGTTAATAAATGTTGAAATTGATTCTTAAAAGCGAAATGACGTTTAATTGTTGTAGATAATTATAATAATTATTTCAATGAAATACTGTCGAGAGTTAGAGATAGTAAATGGGTGTTAGGAATAATTAATAATAAATGTGGCAATTTTTCGCTATCATTAAATGGTTAATACCTCAAGACAATAAGCAAAATTTAGTTTATACCACATGATATTACCCCCTTACATTATTCACTTTATTAACACTTTTTATTTGTACGTGTACATTTTTTAAATTTACGGTTTGTAAATAAGTATTTTAACAATCTTTGCATAATCGTTTTTTTATTTTTAACTGAAATCAAAATTGCTCAAATAATCAATTTATTAATTTTGTTATACTATGTACTTTTTACTTTATTAAAAAATATTTTTGAATACTTAGTAATAAGAATTTGTAATTTTAATATAATATTTCACGGGGTTTTGCAAAAATCTAAAGGAATAATGATAATATTATAAGAGGGCAAAGACTTAAAAATTATTCACTTTTGTTTTTGACTCCCCGTGTAATCATAAAATTTTTATACAGGATGAGTTTGTTAAAGCCTATTTAAAAAGTGATATTTGCTAATAATAATTCTTTTTTAATCGGTACTGATCATAAACTCACCCTGTATCTGAGGAAATTCTGTAGGTTTATTCGTAATTATTATTGTAGTAAAATGTACCTAATAAGTACTAAGTAAAATAAGTTTTATCGATCACATAAGATTTACTCCAATACATTATTGTTATAAACTAACTTAATTATTATTTTCACGTCTGTATTCAGTAAAGTGGTCAATTTAAAGAGTTTTATTTAAAAAATGCGATAAAATTTCATAATTCACTAAATAAAAACTTTTATGAAATGTAACAAATCACCGGCGATCGATAATTTAATAATTTATAATTTACCAACAAAACCTTATAATTTAATTTGAATAGTGCCATTAAATTTACTGAATCTGTTTTATTGGTATCTAATTTTAAATTAAGGCATTTTCAATGAATTGTTTTGATTTTCTGTGTTAGAAGTATCGAGTGATTTTTCTCTGTAATTAGGTATTTTGTAAATAAAATTAATTATTTTAAATGCGTTGGTTTTTTATTCTCCTATACTTACCCTTATAATTCTTCCCTTATAATTACATAGTTTTTATAAAAGAATATTCCTTAGTAGATGCTAGGTAAAGAGAAACTATAATAATAATTAATTCACTATAAATACATTTTATTCCTGAGGAATTTTTTGAATTAACAAAATACACATTTAAGTGTATTATTGGTTGCCTAGATAATAGAAAGTGTACAATAAATAAACATAGAAATAATTTTTTAAACAAAAAACCAAAGCCTGTAAATTTTTTTTTACATTTTTTAGTTGTTCTTCGGTGCATTTTTTTGACCAAAAATAAGAAAAATACTCAAAAGAAGAGGGCTCAACCGGGATTTGAACCCGGGACCTCTCGCACCCAAAGCGAGAATCATACCCCTAGACCATTGAGCCAAACAATTGTTTTTATCAAATCAAGAAATATGAAGTATTTCATGATAATTTGAATTTATCACAATTATTGTGTTACCCTGAGAATCTCGTAATCAGTAATTCCAATGAAGAATAAAGGACCAATAATAAAAGTACAGTTGATTAAAATTAAAAAAAATGCTCAATGCAATACACCTATTAAAATTTTATTAAACAAAACATCTTCGGAAATACTATACAGGGTGGCCCCTTTAAAAGGGTGGCAACCCCTTCAAGAAAACTAAATGGCACTAGGGGTCAACTACGGCACATTATTTTAAAGGTATTATTCTCTTTTCAAAAATGCTGTTATTTTTGGTCTGTGTTAAAATTAATCTAAAACACCAGTCGGGTGAAATAACTCGAAGAATAAAGTTTTAATTAAATAAATGTTCAAATTGCGGCCCATTTACTTCCATGTAATAAAGTAATAAGGTCTTTCAACATGTTCCCAAACACTTCGGATCATTTGAAGGGTTATTTCTCCACATGCTTGCACTGTTTTAAATGGGCCACCCTGTATATGAATATTCCGCGTTTAAGTACCAATTGAAAACTGGTTAAGTATTAAAAAAATCTAAATTTACACGTATTGATTGCTTAATTTATCACCTCATCTATAGGTTGGTGCTTATGCAATAGCAAAACGCATTGCTGGAATAACTAATTGTTTTATGCAAAAATTAGAGAATTAAGCTAATTTAACGCAACATGCATAGGTATAGATATTCTTATACCGGTTCGCCTTGGCGAAACAATTTCGAATTAGCGATTTTTTGTATCGATTATGTATTAGTACCGTTACGTTAATTATTCAATGTAAACGAGCTGAAATTAACAATGTAATTTCATCCTCTTAAAAATGCTTCGATTGTAATACGAGAGCATTGAAGCATCAAGTGAATGTAAAAATTATTTTTCCTAATTTTCACTTCATACAGACAGTTCATATAAATAATTTTCATAATTTTATAATTTTTATACATTATTTGCTTCCTGTATTTTCTACGTATAGATCAGAATTGTTTTTCAAAATGCAGATGATATTATTTGATGATATTGCCTGACTCATACAGCTTAATTTGCCGAGAAAAAATCAGAAAAATGTTATTCTATACGTAAATAGACGAACACTACCGGAATATCGACATTTCGAAAGCCGGAAATTTTTTTTCCGGGTGAAAAACCGGTTTTTTATTTCTGATGTCGGGATTTTTTTGGGTTTTTCGCAGTTTTCTCGAAAAGTCCGCTTAGGATTTTTTTGAAAATTTTCTGGAATATTCTTTAATTTATTACAAATTGTTTCCCACAAACTGCATTTACTTACTCAAATATTTAACGAAGTTAAAGGAAAAAAATCCGGAAAAAATTAGTGCAAATATTTCCGAAACAGTATGATTTAAGCGTTTGTTGAACGGGGGTTTAACGAGTCCCCTTTACGAGCGCAGGCAGATGATATTTATAAACTATAAAAATGTTGATAAAGTCCTTGTTATACGGCAATGCAAAAATTTTACGTAAGAATTAATGATTTCATTGCCATTATTCTCACCAGAATTACAACTGCACAAAAAACGCCTGAAATAAAATTAAAATAATTTTGTCGTCTAATACGGGAAAACATGATGGGATTTTACGAGCATCTTGTAACCGTGAATCGACAAGAAACACCATCAGGAAATGCGTGAAAACATTACGTTTCGGAATTAAAGGAGAATTACGAATACGTTTCCTCGATGCGCCATTAACAATAATTTTATAGTTCACAAATGCGCCTTGTAAACGAGAAAACGCGCAGCTTAGTTTTCAATTCGCAATTTTCTGATATAGAACGGTATCTACTATTAGTTATATCTACTATAACTATCTAGGATGCGATAATCAAGGTCAGAAATTCCGAGGTATTTGCTATTCTCGTCGGATGTTAGGTACTTGTGCTGTGCAAGAAATCTTCCAACATTTATCCGAATTAATAAACCATGAATAATTGTGGAAGAAATTTCACCTTCACTTTACGTTATATTCGATAATCAACTATGCATTAAGTATAAGTATATCGTAAAGGATTGTTCGAAATTACAATAGTCCTGTTCAATTTCCTAGATTTTGGAATACATGCTTTAATTAGAAATCTAGGTGAATACCAATCTATATTTTTATAATTTAATAATTAAAACAGCTGATTTCATAAAAAGAGACATTAATTAAACTTTTTAACTCCTTTAACGGCATTTCATAACAAAGCATTAGAATATTGTTGTACAAAAGGAATTGCTTTAAGATAAAGATGTCCTTTAACTTCAGTATTACAGTTGATATCAAAAAGTTTCATAATACATGTAAAATGTTTCTTTAAAATAAAGTTTAAACATGTTTTAATGCGTTGTGGTTAACCTGAAAAGCGGTATAATTGAACCAATTAGTACATTTCGGAAAATTTATACCGGGTGTTAATTTATTAAATGCGGATACTTCAGTATGTGAATATTTGGATAGAACCTCTTAGTTTTCGAGCTACAGAGTTTTACCATTTTGGAAAAAAATAACTTTTCTGTCATAATTTTCTTACTACTCCTGCAGATATTTTCAGATAAATTTGATTCCCACTTTTTAATAATTAAGAAGAATTTTTTGAGACAAAAGATTTTTTTTTTAATTTTTACCAGTGTCGTCCGTACGGGGTTTTAACTGAATATGTTTGAAGACAATATAAATTTGGAAAAATAAACATGTTTGTTCTTTAAATTTGATAGTAATTTATTGTTCTTTTATGTTATTTTATGAATCCTTAAGTTCCTCATCTTTTCCATGTACCTACTCCATCTTCTCTAAAGGACAAAAGCTTCAATCTTCTTCAAGCGTTCTTTTGTTAAAGAATACTTTAATGCTTTAATGAAATCATCCCTTATTTTTATACATTATTGTACATTCTTCCTTTAAAAATCATGTAACAAACTGACCTATATCCAGCTATTAAGTTACTTCAAAAAATTATTAGACACCGAGATGAATCATCAGAGAGAATTTGTTACACAAAAATTATTTTTAACGACCTATAAATCAAGAGAAAATCCCCGTTCCCAAATCGGCGATATATTGTAAAGCTAAATTCAAAGGTAATTTCAAAACCGCCGACGATCGACGATCAGAAAATACAAGCGAAGAAAGTATACACCGGGGCCGGGGACCGCACGCAAATTTCGCCGATAAACAAACATCTCCCCTAATTGCGTCCGATGCATCGCGTACGGTGCGCGTCCGCACTTTCTAGCACCCGGAGCGCTCGCGATAATACGCCCGGAAGAAAATCCCAAAGACGAAAACCGCGACAGATCGCACAAGACGACACGTTTAGTCGGCGAGCCTGCGTTCACCGATAACTCCTCTCTAAACTACTCGCTTTTACTATACTCTAATGGGCGTAAGTCTGGTGATCTTGTGGGTTATTTAATGCACCGTAACTCGGATTGTTTTACAATCGGTTTTTGAAGAAGGTATTCTATGCACCACCGTGTGTTCCATCGAGGAAATTACGGAAGGCGCATGTACTAAAAAATCGAAATTGTCGACAATGAAGAAGAAAGTCGAATGATCGGCATCGGACATGCCGAATATAATTCGTAAGAAAAAAAAGTTATCTAGACAGCGAGTGGCCTACTTATATCGGACGACATGCTACTTATCAGGCGACTTCGGTGTAGATTTTTTGGTTCGAGGTCTGGTTTGGTATAATACTCGGACACCCTACGGAATTAAATAAGAAGTAGAATTTGTTCGTATCTATATAGGAAAAAATGTAATGGGATTTACGAATTTATTAACTACTCCCTGCTGTTGTAAATGGCACCTTATTAATTTGCTGAAATAAGTAGCAAAATAACAGGAGTGTGCTTAATAATATACATAAAATATTAAAAATTATTTATTCATTATATATTTGTACACTTTCTACCCACCGCTATCCCTACCTACCCTCATCTTCATCTCCCTATACCCCCTTTTTTCCTACCATATCTTCTCTTCTTATCCTTGTATAAGTCATTGCCTGGAAATTATTGTTTAGGAACTATCAAGTACTTGTTGTTTGTCAGTTGTTGGTCAATTGTTATGACCAAAGAAATATAATGTACAGAAAAAGGGTGATAGACTAGAATGAGTATGGTATTGCACAAAAAAATTATCTTGTAATTACAGAATCAACCTACTTTTACTCGAAACGTCTTAAAAAATTCGTGATGATGCTTATTGATGATAATAAATATCTGTTATTTTAATAATTCCAGTAACGGTACCTACTTCTGATATATCTTACAAAATTGATTTTTGCTATTTTTGTAACACAAAAATGTTAATTCACTTTCACCTGTGACAGAAAAAAGCGTGTTGGACCCACCATTTGGGTATATCGGCCAAGGACCATATGGTAGAGACCATTTTTTTTTGTTTAAAATCATTGAATAAAATAACTAATCTCGAGATGGCACCGCGAGCGGCATAAATT